TCACTTTCGATTAACGAATTATCATTTCGTTTAAACGAATTAATCATTTCGTCAAAACGAAATGTTATTTCGTTTAAACGAATTAAATTGTTATTTCGTTAAAACGAAATAATTATTTTGTTTAAACGAAATAATTAATTCGTTTAAACGAAATAATTATTTCGTTTTAACGAAATACCCTATGTTTATTTCGTTCAAACGAAATAATTAATTCGTTTAAACGAAATAACTAATTCGTTTAAACGAAATAATTATTTCGTTTAAACGAAATAAAAAGATGGGTTAATTATTTCGTTTAAACAAAATAGACGAAAAAATTAATTCGTTTAAACGAAATAATAAATAAATATGTTTACAATTGCGCCTTAGGGGCTCCGTAATATACAGTGTATGTTTGTGGGTGTGTCTTTTCAACTAACATCATACTAATACACAAATGTGCTGGACTGTGGGTCACTTTTAAGATGAATATCCCAAAATAAATTTTTAACAAATTTCTCTTAAAAGAATAAAGTGTATATACATGTAAATAATTCAGCTGATGGAGCTGTCTGTAGTACTTATTATAAAGTCCAACATCTGGTTTGTCTGTAATATAATGTAACATAATGATATTCTACACATTTCTCAAATTTACTTATTTATATTTATAATATATAATGTTTGAGGGTAAAATTTGAGTCATATTAATAACAGCTGGGACAATTGAACTGTTGTCACCTCCTCCTCTACATTCCTAAAATGACTGACAAACCAGACGTGGAATTCTCACAATAAAAAGTGACACATACAGTTGAAATTGAGCTCTACTAGTCAAGGAGCAAATATTTTAACTACAATAAATGGATGAAAGAAGAAGTTCTAACAATAAAATTAACAAGATAGCTTGCCAGGCAAGGTAATATACGCCCACTGGCAGCTTTGATTCTGAATAATAATATTTGGCAGTACAGCAACAGTCACCATTATGAAATATTCAACCTTCAGTCATACACTTTTTTTTAACTCTTTAGGGCGATAATGAATAATATTGAGTATGAGTTATTGCCCTAGTTCTTGAAAACGTGTTCAATCTTTAGCTCGTGAAAATTTCAATCTTCAGCGTGGTAATGATTAATAAAACCAATTGTCAAAATTCGGCAAAAAACATGCCTTCTAGAGTGTTTACAAGCTAAAAATTGAACGCGTTTTCAAGATCAAGGGCAATAACTCATACTCAGTATCTTTAGATTCTTCTGATTTTCAATAGGCTTAATCCATGGGTGATAACCAACACTCAAGCCAAATTTCGTTAAAATCCGTCAAGAATTGTCCCTTCTAGAGTGTTTACTAACTAAAAATTGAAGTGTTTTCAAGACAAGGCAATAACTCATACTAAATATTTTTCGATTTTTCTGATTTTTGATAGGGTTTATCCTTGGGCCATTACAAACACTCACACCAACTTTCAACAAAATCCATCAAGAATTGTGCCTTCTAGAGTGTTTACAAGCTAAAATTGAACGTGTTTTCAAGAACAAGGGCAATAACTCATACTAAATATTTTTCAATTTTTCTGATTTTCGATAGGGTTTATCCTTGGGTGATAAGGAACACTCATACCAAGTTTCATCAAAATCTGTCATGAATTGTACCTTCTAGAGTGTTTACGAGCAATAAGGGCAATAACTCATAGTAAATATTTTTCGATTCATCTGATTTTCTATAGGGTTCATCCTTGGGTGATCACAAACAACCATACCAAGTTTCGTCGAAATCAGTCAAGAATTGTGCCTTGTAGAGTGTTTACGAGCAATTGTGGACGGACGGATATGGGTGACGGCAATATACGCCCCACATTTCATGTGGGCGTATAAAAATTAATACTTTTAGTAATATTTTATGAAATGATATTTATAAATGTAATAATATTAACAAAAAAGATGGTAGATGTATATGATAAATATTAACAAGTGGTTGCCTAGCAAGATACACCTACTTTCCTCATACATTTTCAGTATATCAAGGACGGTCACCTATCTGTGTCAAATCATACCAAAAATCTAATTTGTGCAGATATTGTTGATTTAATCAAACACACAAAATATAATAAAATTCTGACATAAATTGTCACCTCTATCATGTTCACAAGCCAACAAATTTTGATGCGAATAACAGATATATTATGCATAAAAGAATTGTTAAAAAGCTAGTAATTACCATATATTTCCAAATATAATGTGCAAGCGTGTATAAGGCGCACCCCTTCTTTTCCCCCATGGAAAAATTAATTTACCAGTATCTAATGCGCACCCCTTGTTGATACTATGAAAGCCATACAAATTACTTCGACCGTGATCAAAATTATATTTTATTACCGCCTTAGAACATCTCTCATTATGGAATTAATTGCGTTAAAATACCTATTCAGTTTATTAATTTCAAATATATTAATACAAAATATTTACAAAATACATTAAATCTTAGTGAGTTGTTATAACTCCCAAAACGATCTTATAAACATCAATATGGCAATGTATGTATTTATGTATAGTGCGATCCTCTTTTGTAAGGTGCCCATTTTGGGGTAAAAAAAAAAACTGTGCATTATATTCAGAAATCTACGGTATCACTAATAATAAAATTATATTCAAAAACATCATGTTCAACATGACTAAAACTAATAACCAAATATCCATGAGAAATGGAAAACCCCCTTTTTTTAATCCTTAACACTGTACAAACATCGAAATATTGCACATATATTTGTTTCTTTTCTTCTTTTTTTTCTGACAGAATCTGTTCAGGACCTGCCAATAGAGTGCCACCCAATAAACAAGCTTGTTTTGTCCTCTCATGTTAACATACAATTACTCTAATAGGATATCACTGATTAACCCAAAACTTATTTTCATCATAAACTGTATTTCACTACTTTAATAAAAATAGACTGTATTCTCACTTTTTTGGAGAATTTGAGGAATATCCCCATCTTTATGTTTATGAATATAATTTCTCTGTCACTTCTCCCAAAATCTTCTTCAGTCAGCCAAAATTTCTGACCAAACTTAAACACTGTATTATGTACATTATTTTTATTTTTTTTAGATAAGTATTTTCAAAAATGGCCTGATACTTGTCCTTGACAGTTCCTTTAAGATGACTGAGCAGAAATGTCCTTCAAAATAATGTTTGTGGAATACGCACCACTGGTTGATGAATCTGTGTGTATGAATGTATGAAATGTATCAGATTGATCGCTGTCAGACAATGTCTTAGTTGTGTCTGTTTGGTGGCTGTCTGACACTGAAGACAAGTCTGGTTCAGGTTCATATGACTGAAATGTATAAATAGTTAATATTTAGTTTTAATTCTAATAAGCATATCAGTCTGTATTACAGCTTTCATTCTGATGTTTAAAATCAATCAAGATTTGTTCTGTTTTTTTCATTTTTTTTTTGCAGGTTACTATACATATATTTCTGATTTTTCTGGAGTTAATTCTCAAAAGTAATAAGAAGAAAATAAAAATAAAATAGTCTATAGAATTGAGCTTTATTCTTAAGTACAGCAAATATTTATATTGGTTTAAACAATATTTTACTTAAAGGGATTGTCAAGAGGTTTTCTAAATTGTTTATGTGTATCGAGGACACTGATAGTCAATAAAAATAAATGTTTGATGACGTCACTAATCGCGAAAATATGCTTGTATCACATAAGGCCTTTGCGATTAATGATGTCATCAAACACTTAGTTTTAGTGGAATTGCAGGAACCAGAGACATCTGATTGTATATTGGAATGGTGCAAATTGATACTAAAAGTGTCATGGATACACATACAAAATTTAGAAACCTCTTTACAATACCTTTAATCTAAAAATACATATGAATCTTTCACAGAAGATAAATAAAGTCAAGGCTTATGCTATTTCATGGTCTAAATATTTAGATTGACTATCCTTTTAAAGCCTTAAGGACCTAATATTTGATTTTGAGTTTGTCTGATCTTGTTTGTTAAAATCTATTGATACTGCAATATACAGTCATGAGGATAATGTACATCTCTACATTCAAAATTATAGTATCAAACTCATAATATTGAAAACAATTATGCTTTTTGATTCAAATTTCAAATTGAAAATTCAAATTCACATGAAAATTATGCTTTGTGGTCTTACCTGATTTATACTATCATATGGTTGGATCTCCTGAAAAAGATTATATGGATAAAAGGTAAGCACAATTATCTTAAGGGATTTTGCAAAGATTTTCCAATCTTTTTTTTCCAATAATCAATTTGCATCAATTTTCAATTAGACATCTGTGGATCTTGCACTGCCACTAAAGTTAAGTCTTTTATGATGTCACTGTCACAAATCTGCTATTGATCTTTGTAATATTGACAATTTCAAACAATTAAGTTTTAATGGAATTGCAGGAACAACAGACATCAGATTGGAATTGGAATGGCACAAATCGTTGTTTTCAGTGTCTTTAATACATTTTAAAGAAACCTCTTTACAATCCCTTTAAATACATATATTTATTTATATTGTGTTTGTGTCGGTGTGACTCAATTAAAATATCTTATAGTGCGTTCAGACGACAAAAGTTAAGACAGCTTAATTATCAATTGTTCTGTGAGTCTGGTTTACAGGTTTTTGGTGTGCGTTGTGACAAGGTAATTTGTTTAGAAGAATGTGCACGGACGGACATGACATATCTGGCCTAATGTTAGACAGTTGCTTTCAGACGGCAAAACTAAGCTGGCTTCACTTTCCAAGCCAGGTTTTAAGCCACCTCCATGTAGGTGCAAGTTAATGTAGCTTAAGTTGACTGGTCGCATTCAGATGACTAAAAAAAAAAAGGCTCGAAGAATGGTGGATAGTTAAGATGCCTTAACTTTTGTCATCTGAATGCACTATTAGTTGTTTTGTTTCATTATGCAGACCAAGAATTAATGTGCACAGAAAACATATCTTATGAAAATTTGACTCAATTCATTTTGTTTCCATTAATTTTAGTAAATTCTAAACAAAATATCCAGAACTGTATTTAAAAAACAAAAGTAACTTAAAGATGGGTTTCCTTATTTTTTAGTATCAAATTAACTTTTTGATTAAATGGTGTTATCATATATTCTTAATCATATCATTATGTTATTATTGCATATAATTAAGAGTGTTAACCAATCATAAATGTATGTACAGTCTGGATAAACAAATTTAGACCTTATGACCTTTCTTGATTGGTCACTCATTGGAATTCTGCTGATAATTCTCTTCTAATTTAGCTAATTATGAATTCATTATGGACATGTGAGACAAACTGGTATTTTTCCAAGTCATTAGAAAACCTCTACTTTCTATTCATATAAGTATTAGCAATTTCATTTTCATAAATGGAAATAAGGGAACCCATCTTTAAGGGAATTATGGAAAAAAAAGATCAACTTACAATCTTTCCCATTGGCCACGTTGGCTGCGGCACCTTTTTGGCCTGTCGATAGCACCTGTGAAATAGACAAAATTACTTGAATGTTCTATCAACCAAAAAGGAATTTAGTCACTTCGGTAAAAGGTTCTTAAGACAAGTCGCTTGAACATTTATCAATTTAATGATATCCTCAGCCAATCAAATTTCATCAAGCTCCAACGATAGAAGTTTTTGTCATGAACAAAAAGTGCATTCAGTGTCAAATGCTTCTTAGAATACACTTTTTGTAGACACAAACTGAAGTGGCTTGATTAAAAATAGAAATTAATAAAAAAAAAAAAAATGAAACGAACGTTTGGTTTAATTCAACATTCAACGATGAAATACTTTGTTCTGTGAGAAATTTGATTTCGTGGAAGGGAGGGTTTGATTCTCCCAAATGTACAGACCTTGGATGGAGCAGACAGATGCATATATTAGTTAATTTGCAAAATTTTTCTTAAGCCTAGATACATTCATCAAATGCTTGTTATGATTTCTCATTTCAGCGATTCTCAGTAAACTGGACCATACTTATATGCTTGTATAGTATTTGGTGATGAATGATTCGGCAATTACAACCATTGAAGTAGAAATTGAAATAGTGAAAATAGAAGCTATAAGTGTCTCTGATATATACATGATCCAGAAAACTTCAGTCTTTTAAATCCCTTTAAATATGTTTTCCACACTTAACCAAAAATACTTACCTGTTCATGCAGCATACTATAAAAACAATAAATACCAGTGCCAAAATACCGACCGCTATGTACAGATATTTATATTGATTCTCTCCTAAACAAATACAAAATATCATTTAAAGAGGCATTATGATAATATTTTTTAATCATTTATATGTTTGATAGGGTCCCTCTGGATTATTATGAAATACCAGCTTGATATTTTCAAGTGTTACCAAAAACAAGGGCAATAACTCCTATCAAGTATTTTCTGATTCTTTTTATTTTATCTGCTGCAGACAAGAGGTTGAGAGCGGAGCTGTTTCCCCTGTGTGTGCTGAATTTTTAGAGAGATTTCTATCTCGAGAGACTGTGAGGAAAATATTTATCCTGTTTGATATTTTCTGCTTCAAGAGGCCCTAATTCACTGTGACGTGACTGTGAATGATGCAATTTTAGAAGATCAACTTGCTGAACATGAATAATAATTCTGAGGAATTCCAAAACAGGAAATGAGGCCATTTTACGTGAAATGGATGCAGTCTTCATTTTTTTTTCGGTTGTTTTCTTTGACGTATGCAAATGGCCAAAGGTTTCTAGTGAGACAAAAGCTCCGAGGAGAGGACTCGTCTGTGGTGAAAAAGTAGTGAGAATGTTGCTCAGCTAGTTCCTCTCAGTCTGCAGCAGCGTTAAGATTCATTGTGATTATTTGTCCAAATCTGTCAAGAATTGTATCTTCAAGACTGTTAAAAAGCTAAAAGCTGAATATTTTTCAAAAACAAGAGCAACAACTCATTTTAAATATTTTTACGATTTATTAACCTTAGGTGATAATGAATGGTTTCACCAGGTTTTTCACCAAGTTTTGAGAAAAAACGTCATGAAAAATATCTTCTAGGTATTGGTAAGCTTACCTGTGGCTTCATAAACATTATCTACTAGTGGTTCTGATGCCGAATCCCACAATATGGAGCTAGTTTTATTGAGCTGTTGAATTGCCACACCATAATGTAGCTGACAATTTGAGCAGTTAACATTGGCGTTTGAACTTCGTCTCTCAATGTAACTTGTTTTCTTGACATCTTTCAACACTACATGTCCAATAGACTGCAATCAAACACAGTATTAGTATCAAATACCACTTCCTTATGTTCTTATGTGATCAAGAACTTTTAATTCAATTCTGATCCAGTTTCCCAAAAAAGCATTATTAGCTCAATTTGAAAAAGAGAAGGCAATCATGTAACATATGGGAAATATGTGATGTATGTAATAATCATACATCTATGGTAATAATTCAAATATTTGAACTTTGAACTATAGTGAACTGATTGAACATAAAGTGTAAACTCAAACTTAATTGATATAAGCTCATCCTAAACTAGTTATAATGAATTGATATTAAAGATAAATACTAAGAAATGATAATTGTACCACCCGGTATCCATACAATGTGTTTTTCTCAACTTATTTATAGATCGAACATGAAAAAGGTGACGGATTTTGCAGCCGTTCTCAAGTTGTTTTCTCATGAGTCTAAGTGGGGAATTCAAAAAGGAAATCGAAACAAACCAATAAAAGAATATCTGAGGAAAAATCTAAGACAAAAAAAAAAAATGTTGTTTTTTAATTTTGTGGAATTCGGTGTTGAATCCTTATATGCACGAATCTAGGTTACACCACTGTACTACATATTCCATGCATGGTAAAAGCTTGATTGTTGATTCAAAATCAGTAAAGACACCTTTTCTTAACACCTTAAACTTAACTTTCCAGAAAGCTATGCTAAATAAAATTCCAAGAAGTGAGCACCATGTTTTATTATACTTTAAGTACAGTGGAGCTGCGTTTATCCGGTTGCCAATAATCCGGAAACCCCGATTACTTGCATAAGGGTTTTCAACTAGTAGAAAAAAACTCGACGACTGGTTCTATCAGGCTGGCACTATTGCCAGTAAAGATTTCAGTCTAAACAAGGAATTGTTTTGGTTTTCTTACCTTACAGTCTACTAGTTGTTTTTCCTCTAAATATTCACCATAGCACCAATAATAATGTAAACTGTCAACTCCATCAATACTGTCTATAGTAAGTGAATCATGTGTTCTGTTGTATTTTATCACAGTAAGACGTTTCACATTTTTAACCTCTAAAATATCAAAGTGAACTATTCGATAAAGACATGGGGTGGTTGTTAAAAACAGCCTTACTAATTATAAGATTGTATTTTTGATCAATATGACTATCATTGTAATTAGATCTACAGCTTGGTGTCATCCCATAAGGCTCCTTACCAATTCAATACTTTCCATTTTGCCCCTAAATCATTCCCATTTTCTATGTCAGGCCGTTTCTTTCATGTATCATATTATAAAATTTACAGCTTTATACATTCTCAGATCAGGGTTCAATTGAAGCAGCAATGCATCCTATTTTTAAGTCAAATGGACCCCTTTTGAGATCCAATATTTCCTATGATTAGACAAATAAATAAACCAAGTGTTAACTTCAAAATCAGAATTCATCACGACCATCTGCCAATCAAATCAAATTGTATATATTTTCTATGAAAATTTATGTCAAATCTAGAAATATATGGCAATTTTAGACAGTCTTGATTTAAAGACTAACGTCATTGGCAAATTTTATATGAAATTTGCAGCTGGAACATTTGAATTACTATCAAATTTTTATGAAATGTGGGTCACAATTTCATTTGAAATTTGAGGTTATAAATTGCAAATCAATTTTTTCTATCTAAATTGTACCCTGTTTCAGATTTGGTACCACTTACCTTGTGGAGTTGAGAAGAACACTTCAGAATTTTCACTCGATATCCCAGCAGACGTAGCATACTGCAATGTGACACTTTCATTTCCTGTATCATTATATTTCACAAACACAGTCTGTGAGAAGTTCAAGTGTTGTGAATCTGGTAAAGACCTGCGAGACCTTGGACCATCTACACAGGGTGTGGTTTTATTGAGAACCAAGCTTATTGGGCCATAATAACAATCTTCAGATCTTTCCTGGAAAAAAAAGCATTAATAAAATATTTTGGAATCAATCAAAAGCTGGCTGTACAGTTATATTCTAAAGTTAAAGGGACAGCCGCTCCATTTTTTTTTACCAATTGTACCGTAGTCTCAGAAACGGAATCTTTTTTACCTAAACCTTTCAGTAATAGCTCACCTCGCATTTGAACGTTAAAAGACTAGTCGTTTTTTCTTGAGACACTTTCAAAGAAAATACATGCACAGAAATATAAAAGAAATTCTTATTTTTGAAGGAATTAAGCGATTTGCATACATTTCTAGTACTTTAGAAGACTATTTATATATATTCAAAACTCAAATCAACACCTAAAAATGTACTTACTTTAATATAAATACCTACAAACTGGTTACCTATGGCCTTATTTAATACTAATGGAGACGTTTTTGGTACTGAAAAGATACAGGAAAATTAAAAAATCACAATATAGCAATAATTAACAAAATTACCTATTAAAACTAAATATTATTTATAGACATCAAGCATATATATATATACATTCTGATTTGAAAAATAGAAACATCCAACATCTAATGTTCATGAGTTCTCTGTCTACCAGCTGGTCCTTGGCAAAATCTTTGAGCCTTGATCTTTCGAAGACCATCGTACCCATTTACAGCAGGGTCAACTGGAATGAGGAAAGATAACTCATGGTCAAAGGTCACAATTTGTTTAGCGTAACTAATTAAAATGTAATGCAAGGTTTGTCTTACCTCCAACCTTGGTTGTAAAGTTCAAAGTTGCAATATGGCTCCAAATTGCATCTTCTATCATCTTCCATTTGATGCTAAGATTATGTAATGTATTAGGCCGTAGGTTTGTCATGTTGATTGAGGGGACATGTCTTTTATCTGTAGTTCTATTATGCTAAAAAACATTCATATTCAAACATTAGATGGCCTCCTTTTACATTTTAATATAATCACCAGTATGAAATATTCAACCACCATCATATACTTCTTTTGAACTTTTTGGTGTCATACTGAATAATATTACCAAGTTTAGTCAAATCCAATAAGAATCATGCCTTTTAGTGTTTATGTGCGAAAAATTGAAAGCATTTTCAAGAAAAAGGTCAATAATATATATCAAATATTTTTTGATGTTCAACTGGCATCATTCATTAAACAATTTCACCAAAATCATAAAAATTTCAAAGAACAAGGGCAATAACTCATTCTAAATATTTTTCGATCTTTTTCTGATTTTTAATAGGATTCATCTTTGGGTGATTACAAATACCTAAGTTTCTTCAAAATCAGGCAAGAATAGTAAATGAAATGAAATGAATGGAGTTTTATGTCCTACTTTTCTGCACCATGTGGGCTAATGAAGACGGGCAACACCATGCAGGGCGCAATGAGGGAAATTTTGCCAGGACAGCGGCATTAGCCTGCTCTTTTTCGATTTCCAACTGTTGAGGGATCTTTAAAGTGCACAGCCTGTAGCACATGGGTCATCCGTTTCATCCGAACGACTAGACGCTTTTTCCATGTCAGCCCCTCGTACCTGCATCACTGACCAGTTTGAAAAATCCAAAGGTATTATCTCGACCTATGTTGGGATTGATCCCTAGACCTTTAGGTAAGCGAGCAAGCGTCTAACTCACTGAGCCACCGCGGCTCCCAACACCCAAGTTTCGTCAAAATCAAGCAAGAACAGTGGGCGTATGAAAACAGGAAACAAATAATCCATATCATATCTATTCAGATTGAGTCACAATGGTCATAAAACTATTTCAAACAATAATTTATGTGCATTTGTCATTAATAATATGTAAAAGTGAATCTATGATGGTTTACTACTGAAACAAGGAAATATTTGGTTTAAAAAGTTAGTAGGGGATCAAGTATGACATGAACTAAAGAATTACTCAAGTACTCAGGTTTTTGTTTTGAGTCACGAGTCTCTTGGTGTACATGTGGGAGTACTTTTCTTGAATTTTCCTATTTATTTGGTGTTACTATAATTAGATTGAGTCATATCTACCTACACATTAAAGATGGGTTCCCTTATTTTTATTTATGAAAATGAAAATGCTAATACTTATATGAATAGAAAGTAGAGGTGTTCTAATGACTTGGAAATATACCAGTTTGTCTCAAGAATTACCAGCTGAATTCCAATGATTGACTAATCAAGAATGATCAAAAACTCTCTTTTTTTTCCGACTGTGCATACATGGACATTTATTATTGGTTATAACTCTTAATTATATACATGAAGAACATACTGATATGATTAGGAATGCATGATAATTCTTTAGAAACACCATTTAATCAATAAGTTTGCTTAATTTGACACTAAAAAATAAGGAAACCCATCTTTAAATTCCGAATCAAACTGTATTATTTTCAGAGAAAAAAAACAAACATATTATAAGACTAATAATATTACCATTGTACTGAAAATGCTACCCAATATCAAAAGAAAATGTATCAGTTAGTAAAATCTACAGAGCCCCTAAGGCGCAATTTTCCATACTTGTATAACATATTTCGTTTTAACGAAATAATTCATTTGTTTAAACGAAATAATATCATATATTTCGTTTAAACAAAATGGTATCATATATTTCGTTTAAAAGAAATACTTATTTCGTTAAAACAAAATATTTTATAAAATTACGGAAAATTGCAGATTAACCTATAGGCAAACTAGGCAGCTGCCTTTCGACCCATGACAAATTTTGTAACAGTTAAATTTATCAAACTGATAATAAAGTTCCACAAGGTCCATTGAAAATTGTCCTACTAAGGAGCGTGATGTGATCTACTAATTGTCACCTAATGGTGATGAATGCCGATATCGTGCATACGATTGATGCTGATGAGCTGATTGATCTGTTCCTGAAAAAAAAAAATCGCAAACTTCCTGCCATAAAATTGTATGCCCTGTCCCTAAAATAAGAAATTAGGCCCTCTATCGTTTTGCAAGACTTTTGCAATCGGTAATAAAAAATGGCGCACCTGTCTATTGTGTCCATTGACTTAAAGAGCTTAAAATTTGTAAGCATGTATATATATCACTTCTACTATAGTGTGTATTTGTTCAATTCTGCTATCTGATGTTCCTGTCATCGTGAAAAAATGCAGAAGCTTAGGATTAGCAAAACTGTTTTGTCTCAAATTACCATACATTCAGGATACATATAAATAGGCTGGAATTCATTAAATTCTTCTAAATAGCCAGGCAAGATATTATACATCCACTGACAGCTTTGTATAAATGAGAAGATTTGGCAGAAAAGCAACAATCACAATCATCATTCAACCTTAAGTCATACACTTCTCCAAAAAATTCTATCAATAGGGCACTTCATTAAATAAGAATTTGACTTCTAGAGTGTTCACAAGCTAATAAATATTAAATAAGTTTAGAAGATCAAGGGCAATGACTCATATAAAATTTTTATGATTTTGTTGATTTTCGAAAATTAGACCTAACTTCTGTTGGTATTCGATTATTTTCGTTTCGAATGTTTTATTAGCTATTAGCTTTGTACCTAACCACTGCAGTCAGGTCTAACAATATCTTTCTTGACTTTTCATTCTGTTAACCTTTCCTTGACCTCTGTTTTAACCAATCACATGGCTGCCCTTTCCAACGACGGGATAATGTAACACGAACAATAGGTACATTCTGAGGCGTATTAGATTAGCGGACTTGATAAACCTCGCTGGAAAGGGTAGCCATATGATTGGTAAATAAAAGTTTTTTCAAAATGTGGCAATAACTACCACTATAAGCTTACCCAAATGTGGGCATATAATAAATAAACTTGTAAATGATCATAAAACTTACAGATTCAATGAAATTATAATTGATTACAGAATCACTGTAACTGATTTCAATAGTGATTTGGCACGGTGGGAAACAAATGTCCTCTAAATTCAGGTTCCAATCATCTGGTAATGTTAGGATTAATGTACAGGTTTCAGGTGTTACTTTGTCAACTTCTATGATTAATTCTTTATATTTTGCTGTAATTAAATAATCCACTAAAGTATCAGTTTTCTCTGTTGAAGGGATTGAATAGTATGTCAGTTTCAGACCCTTCTTTTACACTTTTTAACCTATGCAAGAAACTAACTCATGTTTTGGTTCCTAAAAGCCTTATCAAGATATTGGCAACAGAAAGTATTCGCTTGTAAGAGCTTTGATTGGAAGTTGAAAGATAGCATGGCAGTCCAAAATAACATCTACCCTTAGCAGCTTTGTTTTTATTTTGGTGTACAAAAATCATACAGAAAAATTTCCTCTAATGAAACAATATTTTCATCAGAAAAATTAATAAATTGAATCGCATCAAAAAATATTGATTAGCATACCATTATCCAGCGGAATAATTTGATAGTTTTTTTCAGAGGTGACATTAACATCATTTTTGGCCACCATAGTTACATATATATCAATATCGCTGTCATAGTAACTTTTTTCAAATGGACAGGTGAAATCAAACTTTGAAATGGCAGCACAAGGTTTATCATAATCTCTGAAATAAAAAGATGCCTGGTCTAATTTCAAATCAACTTGTAAGAAAAATACTGGAACAACTTCTTTTCTTTCAAATGCAAAACACAATATACAAAAAACCTCACATGACCTTAAAGGCATTGAAAAGAGGTCTTCTAGCCTTTTTATGTGTATCAGAGACTTTCTATTTGGGACATTCCAATTCTTCGTCCGATGCGTGTGGTTCCTGCAATTCCAGAAAGAGTTCACTGGAAATGACGCAGCTCCTGCATAAGAATTCATAACCACCAGTGGTAAATTAAGTTAGTCCAGTAGTAGTAGTATTACTGGACTGACTTGATTTACCAAATGTTTGCCTCACTGTATTCGAAACCAGCCATTTTATCATAAAAAAGGATATTTAGCGCTCTGATTTGCATAAAATAAGACTTGGTAAAAAGTTTTATAAGGCAATGGTTACAAATTCTCTTGTGGGAGCTGCATCATTTCTGGTGAACTCTTTCTGAAATTGCAGGTACCACAGGCATCAGACGAATAATGGGAATATCCCAAATAGAAGTCAAAGGTGTTCCAGATGCACATACAAAGGCTAGAAAACCTCTTTCCTTAAGTATACATACCGGTCACCAAACATCAAGTTGATATTCATACTCATCTGAAACTTATTAGAGATGTTATCATCTGGTATACCAGCCACTGAACAGCTCAATACTGTGACATTTTTTAAGTCCCAAATACACAATACATCTTTAACTTCTGCAATATAAAAATTGGCAACATGCAATATAAGGCAAGAAATTTTCATCATATAAGATTCATTAAAGGCTTGCATTATAGACTGTTACATTGTGGTTAAGCAATGCTACAAAAGCACAGGTACAGGCATATAAGCATAACCTCCAGTGAGGGATTATTATTTGTGCAGTCAATTGAATAATTCAAATATAAAAAATAAAAAATAAAGAATCATCCATAAACTTGGGAATTAGAATGAAACTTAACAGTCATGTTCATTTTAATTCCACCCATCCATACCACTTTCCAGAATTAAAATCTGACTTCTGGTCTCCTCACTCTTCAAATTTAGATTGTGTACATTCTAGGACATGCATTACTAACTGGCAAAATCAGTAGATATTGGAATGTTCATTGAAATGAAGACAGTCAAAATTGAAACTTGAATCAGCTTAAATAGTTGTGATGGGGAAGAGAGGCCCTTTCAGAAAGAAATGATTCCATGACCTCACGTTGAAAGACCTTACCATGAAATACAATAACAGTACTGGAACATAACCAATTTTTATTTTTACAGCAAGAATAAACTGCTTCTTCCGATGTACTAGCATTAATCTGGACTAAATTGCCAGTAGTGTTTGTGTACAGCACATTTGGACTTGAACAGCCATCTTCTTTCACCAATGTTACATTTCTCTCTTGTTTACATGACAAATAACAGTTGTAACCATTCTGGATACAAAATGTAATCGCTGAAAACAAATCATAAATCAAAAAGTTTTATTTCCCGATCATGAGAATCTCAGAATTAAATATACAAATTGTTTTTTGATAAAGTCATATCGTAAGGTGGCATCAGGTGTTCCACAAGGGTGAGAATGCCCGGTATTCTTAGTAATACTTTGGTCATAAACTTTATCACCATAACATATATCTTTAAAAAGTTTTAATGATAAAAAACTTCGTAAATTATACCTGAAAATATTTCTACAGTATGTTATTTATATCTATGTATCTTCTTGTCCAATTTGATTTTGTTTTAAAAGTGTTGATTAAAAACTGAGAGTACTAATTGTTAATTAAGCAGTTTGACTTAGTTTTGGTGTTTGGCTTTATAATGGCTCAATATTATTAGTAGTTATCTAACTGCTTCCAAAAGGCATAACGAACCTAGCAACCTTACATAATGATTTTAAATATTTTTGTCGTTTAAAAATGAACAGCTGGATTTTTTTCGTTAAAACTTTCAGATATGTTAAAGGGCACGGCACATTTATCTTGATTTTGGTGTATAGTTTTCACAAAGTGAACAATATAATAGTTCGACCTTCAAAAAAAAGGGGAATGTCCCTTTTATTAATAAAATGCAAAAACTTCCCTATTTTCATAAATCTAAAAGAAGTCTTGTTTTAATATTTGCATTTAAAAATTTAGTTTCACTTCTTTTTGATATCAAAGTATGAAATAATCTAGAGGTTCCGTATATGAATTATCAGGAAATGTTAATCATAAGTATCTAAATATGTCTTTACTACGTCTTAGAATTAACATAAAATTGAAAAATTTTAAACTTGGTCAATAAGAGCATATATTCATCAGTATATATATCACGTGTCATTAATAACATAACAGGATCCTTATATAATCCAATAAATCCAAAAAACTTAGTAATTATCCATAAAAATGCAATTAACTATTGAAAACGCTTATATCAAAATTAAGCGTTTTACAATAATTACTTATTTTTATGAATTTTCCAATTTTCCAGATTTTACCTGGATTCTGTTGTAACTTTATGACACTAGGTAAGCTAACTGATGAATATAGACTAATACTGACCTTTTCCAGAACTTAAATTTTATGTTCATTCTAAGACGTAGTATCACTTAAAGGGAAATCATTTGAAATGTGCTTTTTGAAGTTCTGCATGATTTAAGACATTCAAGAGTGGTTTCCTCTTCTTGTTTGCATTCAGGAAACTTTTTAGTTTCTTTGTGTTCCAATCTGATTTTTCGTCGCACATCTGTTTGTGGTACTATTTGATCACATTTTGTCATCACTATTGCCAGATTGAATGATGGCAAGTATTTGCTATGTCATAATCTAGTACAGTTTCACTGTAATAAACTGAATCAAATTGATGGAAATGGATGCTACATATGCATTACAATGACCCAAGTTATAAACCGAAAATTCACCTACTGTAAATCAGATTTACATATTTTTTCATCAACCCAAAGACAATCTTAAGATGGCCGTGGCTATTCTCACTGTGATAGTACAAAAATGGGCATTAAAAAACATATAGCCATCCCTACCTAACCCTACAAAGTCACTTAATATCATTCTTGACAAACAAAATGGCTTCACGCTTTAAAAGAAAACAGAAACTAGCGGCCTATTGTGTCTTATCTTATCCATACCGTCTTTAGCAGCCATGGAGAACACGCATCGAGACGGTGCAAATAGCCAGTGCCAGGTGGTATTTATCTGCAAAATATGATTCTGTAAACATTGTGGACAGATAGTAAATAATACTTACTTCCAGTACATGAATTGAATGCTTCAAAACCATTGATAATTATATACAGCAGCAAATATAAGCTTAACCTCCAAAACATCCTTTTTACTTATCATTTTTAACAATCTGAAATTAAACAACCATACAGTGATGACAAAATGTCCAAATTGGGTCCGAGAAGATCTAAAATTGAGACTTAAATAGAGCCAAAGACTGTGAATAAATTCGGAAGTGAAAACAAAGAAATAACAAATTATTTTTATTATGTACAGTAGTTTTATTTAGCGAGATTATTATAATTTTGACTATCAACTGATATTATTTGATTATTAATAAGTTTATTATCACTATCAATATTGAACACTGATTTAAACATGAACAATATATCATATATCTAGATCAAGATCATTTGGCAGGATACAACACTTGTGAGTGTAAATGAATAGTGTATAAACTTAAACAAGTTATATTTAAAGGGATTGTAAACTTTTTATGTGTCACTAGAGGGAACTGCATATATTTTAATAGTAGCTTCCGATAGCACCCCTCTAGTGACGTTTTAAAACACGTTCATTTTAATGGATTTGCAAGAACCACAAATGGAATGGTGCAAATTGATGTTATCAGTGTTCCGATAAAAAAAGTTTAGAAAACCTATTTACAATCCCTGTTAGTTACAACTTGTTATCTTTCAACCACTAGTCTCAAATTAGTGACGAATTAAAAAATTTAATGAATGAATTAACATTAAAGCAAAGCCCTATTAGATTATATTGAAAGTATATTGTGTTAATCCATCACAATAATTGGTAAAAGATTAAAAGTTTTTGATTAGTTTATTATAAATTGATTAGGGCGAAAAACCATTTAGTATACCCACTAGGATTAAAAAAAAGAGGTGGAAACCACTATGGGGTCTGTGGCAGTGTGGAGAAACCACTAGGGAGAAACTTGTAAAGGGGGCAGGGGGAGGGTGAGGGGGAGGGGACCACTAGTCTACATGCATGAAACTGAAAAATGATTCCTAACCTTCTCTTATTTGATTTGAAACTCTTGGACAAGCAGATTTCCGTTTCAAGACGAAAAATGAATGACAAATGTTCAAGTTTAAGTAGAAAAAGTGGGGGAATTCCAAGAAAATGCGTGTTATAGTTATTTAAAGCCATTTAAATACAACACTCTGTAGCATTCAAGGCGTTTTAGTCGGCCGATTTGATTTGGTTTCGACATGACAGTAGGATTTGCCGCAATTTCGTTTAGATTAGCAGTGGTCTACAAATGCAAAATTTGTAATATATATCTATCACAAATATGTCTCACAAATTTACCGATTAGTCCAAACTTCCTGGTTCACAAATGCAATAAATCTATCAAATAGAATCGGCCTACAAAAACGCCTTTAATCTAGCTACACTACAGAGTGTAAAACTGTAAAGTTAAGACAGCTCAACTAGGCCTACCTTAACATCAGGTTTTCTGCTATTTATCCATATTTAATTCCATAATTAAGTACAATGCTGAGTAAAATATTAAATAAATGTAGAGTAATATTTGAAAGGTCAGCGAATCAACAAACACTATATTATTACGAATTAATGCTTGGCCTACCATAGAAGAGTACCCGTCCATGTGAAATAGGCCTACTTCAAATAGTTTCCGGTTGTTTAGGGTTATATAATATTGCACATATGTGGCCTATATATGATACATCGCAACTCCTCCCTGTAATATAAGACACTCCGTAGGAGTTTAAAATACACCGTAGGCCTACTTGGTCCGTCAATGAAAAAACCAGCATTAATCCCGTAAAATACCAGTATTTCAAACTTTTCATATTTTTGCTGTTTTTGAATGTTCTCTAGCCAATCACATTTATCCGGACATATTATTAATTTGGCTTTGAAAGTCGAACCAGCCTAGACTGAGTTTCCCCAGCAAACTATTATAAAATTAATATCCATAATATTTGATCTATGCTGCTGACCCCAGGTTATAAATTGGTTTTATTAATTTGCTATTGATGTAGGCTATGTTGCAAACTAATCTATGGCATCAAGTCGATTTAAGGGCTTAGTAAAAATTTACAATAGGCCTACCTTATTGAATTACAGGGACCATTGCGACATTACATTGTTTTGTATCGTACCTTAGTCTCAGAAACAGGAATTTTTTTTTTATCTAAATCAATACTTGTATTCATAGTTCGTCGACGAAATTTCAAATCCATGTGCGACCATGTAGGATTATCCGCGTTGGACAGTGCGGTAATTCTTGAGACACTGACATATATAGTCTATAAACCAAACAAAATAGTGTTACTGGTTCCTTTCTTCAAAGTATGGCGTTCCTTCACATGGATGCTTTGAATTCCTATAGCCTATAGAACTCTCAGTTTGAGATATTAAAATAAACAATGCAATGCTCTCTTTCAAATTAAAAAAAAAACAGCCCGAAATCAGCTCTCTTTAACAGAATAAATTGTTTTAAATCCGAAATCAGCTCCATAAAATAAACAGAATAAATTGTTTTGAGTCCCCAAATCACGTCTCATTGATTTACCAGCATAAATTGTTTTTGCTACAGTCCAAAATTAGGTCTCATAAATACATATAATAATATGAATTGAGACTTAATCCAAATTTGGTCTCAATCGAAATGATTTGTTATAGATATTTAGGAATATAATGTAATGGCCACATAAATAAAGGTGTTTTGATATAGGCCCTACCGGAATGAATAATAACGCATTAAACTGGCAATAAGGTCCCAATATAGCTATGGAAGACTACAAATCTGACAGAATATAGTTTCTTCTAAAAAAACTAGGAGTAATTGTATGAACTAACTGTAATAAATACAAAAGTATGTAAGCTATAGTTTTACTTGATACTTCATATTTGAATTCATATTGCAAATCGGAGAGTGCTCATTCCAATTGTTGCAGAAAGGCTACTAAATATCAGATGACGTGAAAATATTTCTTTGAAATCCAGAGACTTAATTTGTGTCTTAACTTTTTGAAAGTTATGTATCAGATGAATCTATCCTTGTACAAACGTGTAACCGTAAGCCAGGGCTTTAAACGACTTTAGAGAGCGTGTGATGTTTTCTCCCGACTCGTAAATCGTGTAATTTACTTTGGCTATTTTCAGCCTCTAAAAGTAAACTTTAAACGTCATATATTGGTTGAAGTTCTCTATTATTTTTTTCTATGTATCTTCTGTGTGTTTCTATGTCGTTTTAACTTGAAGTGGTTGACATCAACACTTACAATGCTATATGTAAGGGAACATTCATAATATCTTCAAAAGGTAACATTTAACATTTTTAACGTTTAATTACTTTTGAAAGACCTTGAAGCAATATATAATGTTGGATCCATTATTATACCATCAGCGAATTAAATTCTGATTTGATATTTTAATACAGCTTTTGAAATTTGAAAATGTGGTAGCGGGTCTCTTCATTTCAATGGTTAAAGACGCAGTTATAATAGACTGAGTTAATTTGTATTATAGTTAAAGGTTAATGAAGTTTGTTAACAAATAGGGACACAATTTGAAAGCTGAATATAACACTGTTTCATTTAAATTTTCAATTTACGTATTTATTTTCAAAGTTCACTTGACTTCATTTGTATTTTATAATGTAGACTACATTTTTTAATATGGCATGTCATGGTGATTATAGTTAATTAGTTTTAGTCCGCCATTTGAAATAACATTCATGCATACAAGCACTATTTACAGTCACACATTAATTTAAAGGGATTGAATACGTAAATAATATGTTTTTCAAAAGCTAAATGTTGTCAAGCTTCAGCTTATAAAATATATATATATATATAAAAAAAGAATCCTGAAAATTAGTTCTAACGACTATTGAAGTATTGGGGCTGTTAGGCCAAGTGTTCACAGCTTACCATCGAAATTATAGATTTCAAATCCATGCGTGTCAGAATTATCTGCGCTCGAAAGTTAAAATGACGACTCGTCTTTTCTTGAGACCTCGATAGAAATTTAAACAGACATACAAAGAGGGCCTTTAATTAATTTCCTTGATAGAACACCTCCTTACAGAAGATTGTCAGTATCAGATATTACTATATAGGTCCTGTTCTATATAGGCCTACTGACATTCTTCTATAGGGAGATTGACATTCTTCTATTATTACGACGGGCACACTTAGGATTTTCGTACTTTCAAAAAAAGTATGAGTTTGTGTCGAGTATGCTACTCTGCAGAGACTGTAATATTACAACAATATTAGCAATGCATTGGATCTGCATATTTGGTTTTTTAACCAATGAATATAAATTAGAACATGTTTGCAAAACGGATAGCAACACATTGCAAAATGTGAAAAAGAAAATAATTGACTCTAGAAGACGGAATTTTGGAGCGATTTTGCTCGGGTTTTCCGTTTTAGAATTTCGCAAGAATAGCAATTTGGCAGATTTTGACCAAATTTTCTATTCTCTTGTTTATGCGTTCGATTGATTTGAAATTTCTAGTGCCAGAACAAATCACAACAGAAAACAAATTGGCACAGTCAAAAATTGTGGATAACTTTCGGTTTGAGCGATATCCAGGCTCTAACTTCCGGTTGACTTACTTCCATGATGGCAATAGCTGACCTTGATCTTTTGGGTCAAACCACAACTTCCGGTTTTACAGGGGTCTAAATATGAACTTTTGTAGTGCTGTATCTCAAACCTGTACTTAACGGTTTAAATAATACTGCTCTTTCTCAAGAGCTACACCTCGGATGATGATAATATTTACAGTAATGATTACAGATTTTACATGATGTTAATATTTTCATGCCCGATATATAGTTCCGGTTTTATGGGGGTCAATAAAAGTTGAGTTTGCATCTTTAAAGCGTCCAAACAGGTGACCTAATAGAGATAGAGCAATATTTTTTTCGGATTCATAAAGCTTTCCAGTGATATATAACATGTATGCCTTACATATGCAAATTCAAAATCCCATTCACCTTCGAATGTATGTTGTAACATGCCCTGCACCAGTACTGTTTTCTTTTCAAGAGTCAATTTTTCATTCAGTAATTCAATTTGAGCTCTATGGAATGGTGGTCTGTTAAGTTTAGTTCTGTGTAATTCGTAAGCGTCTCTTTTCAGAAGACGACAATGGCATAAAATGGTATTATGGAAGTTATGTACCATTTTCGCAATAACTATAACCAGGTGGATTATGATAGCAACGTACATCCAGACCTAATGGCCGATATGAGTGCTTCAACTTTTTCTAACAATTCAACTGGGTTTAAAAGTATTTTATTCTGTGCTACTGTCTTATTAGAATTCATAGTTTTGTCCACAATAATTCTTCTGGAATACTTCCTGAGGTAAGAGTTAAGGCTAATTTCCGCATTATGAAGGCACGTATAATGAGACTTATGTAGAAAATTCAAGATTATGCAAAATGTCTTACTTCATTGATAAGTTCTGGCATAGGTTTGCAGGGGCAATACACCGAGGCCATGTGTGCTACAGACTGTGCATGTTAAAGATCTCTCGACAGTTGGAAATCGATAAAGTGCAGTTACCGCCACTATCCAGGCAAAATTTCCTTCATTGATTGCACACAGTATTATTAAACGTGAGAACTTTACCAATAGTGTCTTTTTCAATGGCATTTCCCGAAACAAATGATTTGTCTATAAACTGGAAACTCCAAATCCTATTCTACATGGTGCAGAAAGGTAGAACGTAAAACTCCGTTCATTTCATTTTTCATTGGTTAAAAGCAAAAGCAATACCTAGGAACTATTTCCAATTAATGTATGATATTGTCAGTACAAGACCATCATGCGTAAAAAAACTAAATTAATACCTACCCTTTTACCTTTCAATTTTCATGTTTACAAATTAACAAACCCTTAGAAGAACTGCTAAATGGTGAACTGTTAAGAAAGAAAAACAAAATCTTACTAATTCTTTCCTGGCCAATATTAAGTATAAATACAAGTAGAGGAAACTTCAAGGAAGTTCGATTTCAACAAATTGATTAGACGTTAAGTTGATAAAGATTTTGTGTCTTTATGTTTGTTAACGGTAGGTTTAGATTTCTTTACGCACGAAACAAAATAGTGTTACTGGTTCCTTTCTTCAAAGTATGGCGTTCCTTCACGTGGATGCTTTGAATTCCTAAGTTTATAAACGATGCGATCGTCCTTGGATGTGGTATATTTTATGTTATCTTTTAGGTGGACAGAAGTGTTTCCTATCAGAAAAGCGTCATTTTCATGTTATGATCCAGACCTGTCTTGTACATCTAAAGACGCTGAATTATTATCAGAATTTGCTTTTTCTGCTGTAGTGCCACCAGAGGCAGTTTATGCTCTAAGTTTCTCCATACCACCATTTATAGTAAGTAGCTATCAAAATATAATATTGACATTGATCGTTTTGTGCATGAAAAAATGGACGGAATGAGATGATACTTACTAAGAGTTAGCCGGCTGATAAAACTTGATTTCAGATCTTTTACTGCTTTCTGTGAAGAATATCCGACATTAGGTTCACCTGCAATTAAATGAAAGTATAGGAACTAAACAAAGTAAAATATTTTGTCATATAATTTCATTAAATGATTAAGAGTTATCAACACCATAATTTCTGTTGCAGATTCTGATTGGTGAAATAGGGTTCTATACCTTTACAGACGAAGCCCAGAGAACTATCAACATAATTAAGGATCAATGTTCCATTCCACAATTACTACGGAGATTATTTCGCTTTATAGGTAAATAGTCTCTCCTTTACGTACTTGCTTTATGTCTTCCAGTAAACAAGGCATCACGATATATTAAAACACCACCAAATACAACTTCCGGTATAGCCTACAGGGCGTCACATATAGCTAATACCAGGTACACATGCAATGCATCACATTCCTTCCTGTACACACGATATCACATAGGCATACCACCATTCAGGCAAACAAGGCATCGCATAACCTTTATTCGGGTAGACATGGCATCCCAAATCTTTATTTGGGTAAGCAATGCATAACATACCTTTATTCAGGCATTATCAGCATCCTTGCAACTGAAAACCAACTTAACGCCGTTATTTTTATACTTTCAGGCGTATTCATATTTGGAGGGTTCACATTAATGGTATTTGTAGACATTATCAAAATAATGGTAGGAAGATTACGGCCAGACTTTCTGGAAGTCTGTCATATATCCAACAGATCTGTGTGCAGCAGTATATTTCCTGGTGGTGAACCCCATGGCACACACGATCTTTGTGAAAATCCAAACAGATTAGAGTTAAGGCAAGCTCGGTAAGTGAGTGGTATTTACCTTGCCCATACTCACTGGAATTTTGAAAGAAAAAAGATGACTCAGAGAATGGCAAGTTGCGTTAATTTAATAGGCCTACTGGTAAACGGAAAAGGTTAATTTTTTTTTTAGATTGATGACAAGAAGTATTTATTTCTTTTGGATTGTTTTTGATATAGAATAGGATATTGAATTTGCGATTAGTTAAATCATTTGTTTCGGGAAATGCCATTGAAAAAAACACTATTGGTAAAGTTCTCACGTTTAATAATACTGCATGTAATCTATAATTCAGCGAAATTATTCTTTTGCAGGACGTCATTTCCATCAATGAATGGAGCGTTGACGGCGTATGCAGCTCTCTTTATCGGAGTAAGTATTTCGTTTTGTCCTATTAAAGAGACGTCAGTTTGTTTTTTCTCTAGATCTTTTTTAAGTGTGGGTTGGACCCGGGAATCTTCGGTTTCCTCTCTGCGACGGTGCATTCTGATCGCAGAAAACTCCTACAATATGTTATCATTTGGATTCGTTGATCTTCCGCAAAATAACAGACATTATTTCTCTCTACTTAATCAATGAGGCAAATTGTTGTACTGAAATGTTTAAACTATTTCAGATGTATCTTCATGGTGCAATGAGAAGTCACACAGTTCGAATAATTCGACCATTTATATCATTCGTGTTTATAATGCTAGCCTTATTGAGTGGCTTGTCAGAAATAGGATTGTGTTTAAGTTTTTGGACCGATACAGTCGTCGGGTATTGTATGGGGTCTTCACTAGCTGTTTATCTGGTAAGTGTTATTATGCAGCAGTAAGATACATTGACGTGGGTTTTTGAATGGCCTGCATTCGGCAATTCTCAGCAAAACTGAATCTGTTGCCCAGCGCTAGCGTAACTTCCTCCTTAGCGCGTTTGCATCATAGTCAGCTGACAGCTAAAACTTGGCATTGAAAGATAAATATGCAGATCTCTGAAGCTAAACATCTTTGCAGGATGTCATAAACTAAATGAACAAAATTGAATTATTGTTGTTTATTACAGGCATACGTAGTGTTAAATAACTTCCAGGAACACTTACAACGCGATGAGTTATTGGAAATATTAAACAGTTATATCGCAAATAGCTATCATAATACTGAGGTAAACAAATAAAGTTTAAGTTCGAAAAGCATTGGGCTCTTCATATTGTATGAATAACATATCCGTCGTCTTGGATCCAATTGAAGGAATTGCAATAAAAGTCTGGAAACTACAATTTACCAATTTTTATCTTTCAGAAAAGATATGATTGGTTAAGACCAGAATATGTGACGTCAATACCAACATCAAGAAATTATGTTCACGAAAGATCTCCAAGTGATTGCAGTGACGCTAAATATCGTCGACCAAGACTTCGTCACAACACCTTTCGACGTGATACTTCGTATTCAATAGAACGTTACAGACGAAATTCTCATATACATGGAACATCATCACATATGTGATAGCCTGTTATTGAACCCATAATAGTGCAATATGTATTTGAACATACAGTTATTGTTAACCTTTCTTGAGAACCAAGTGCTTGTAAAGTATAGTATAAATAAAACGTTAGGGTGGAAGGCTTAGAAGACCACATTTCAGACACACCATTTTATTCAAAAAACACAATGTGATGTTGTAATTTAAGAAACTGCATTCAAGATCACTTTACAACCATGCCTTTTAATATTTCCACCATTTTTATTTCCGATTATGCTTCTGAGGATTCTATAGATTAATTCCATGTTATAATGAGATCAAGTCTTCGGGAATTACAGGAACCACAGACGTCAGATGAAGATCAGTATGCAAAACTATGCTGTAAACATATTGGTTAATGAAATGAAGCTCTTTCTGTTGGTAAAGCAAGAATTCAGACGACCATATCTTCTTAAGAACGAATAGGCTACAAAGGTGTATATAACATCGAATCTAAATGAGATGGTCCAAGGAATTTTTAACAGCACTGCAAATCATAAATGTATTCATAGCACCAAACAGGAACCCATCCACCTAAATATTGGCAAGCATAACATTTCAATTGAAATCCCATTCGTTCATATAAGTTGCGAGCTGATTTGTGAACTTCTGTAGTAATAAGTTCAATACTTGAATATTTATGAGTTCTACTAAATACAATTGCCTCTTTAATCAGACTTTTGGCTATACCTAATCCCCGAAATTGTCTTAGAACAGCCATTCTTCTAAGCCATGCTACCTTTGTTGTTTTGTCGGTGGTCGAACGGTGAACAATTGCTATTGTCCCAACTACACGGTTACTTGCAATTGCCACAAGAAAAACAGTATCGGAATTATGAAAATAAACATCTTGAACGTTGGCCATGTCTTCTAAAGGTGGACCATACAAGTAATACAATGTACATATACACACAAATATACATAAAGAACAAAGATAAACAAGACCAGATAACACAATAGCGATTGCACTGTGAAAACATAGATATGATATACTGGAGATGGCTATTAAACACGATATACTCGTCCAACTTTTAATTTTTAAGGCGCACCAAAGGGTCATGTTACTCAAACTCCCATCCTTCAACACCTCTATGGTCTCTTGATTATCCTCTGGTCGCCATGCTCGGATTTCAAAATCCATCCTGTTTAGATGCAGAAGAAAGTGGCCTTATCTGCAATGTAAGCAAACATAGGACTATTCAGGAGGAGTTAGATTGGTCCAATAAGTCACTAATTGTATTCGGAATAGTCTGAATGTGAATTGAGAGTGGTGCGAGTGAATTCACGTTCGTTTTAAATGGCTGGAACAACAGATGTCTATGGTTTTGTTCTGTTGTGGATTTCCAAAATTTGCATAAAGTCGATATCTGTCATCGAATCACGGTAAAGTTTAACAACACTTTACACTCTTAAAGTGCAGTTAATTCTAAGCGAACAATTTTGCATTGGAAGAGATCACACTTGGCCTATAGCCTAAGCCTACTTATCGTGTTCAGTGGCAAAAGATTAATAGTTTTATATGATCCGCAGTGAGGAGAATAAAACAATATTTAGCAATACCTGTACGATTCTATTAATTGCAGGCGATTCTAATTATGTGGAATCTTGTGAAACGCATCGCTGGAACTAAGTTGTTGTTAAAACATTCTATTATCCGGTTAAAACAAAGTACTTGTAGAACACCACGGACTACTCAATGTGGCAAACCTTACGAAAACAGAATATTCGGATTATTTATCATTTCATAAGTGTACTTACTTTTTACGAAACTTTACATATATTTATAAACCATTCTTGTATAATTGCATCGATGCATAATGAAATGATCATAAATACCATCAAAGTAGGATTTAAAGCAGACCAAAATGAGCTTTATCAATATTGGTTTAACTTGCTTTAAAATCTATAAAGGTGCGACTATGACACTAAAAGCACCTAATTATGGACCACAGTTTGTTGTACATGAATCTTGTCTTGTCAAATTCTGTGATTGAACGGGGCCGATTCTAGGTGAAATGTTGTAGTCCATAACATAGACCGAGGCAGTCAGAATGTGTAAAACTGAAAAGGAAAGCAGATTTCCCCAGCGAAGTTTATGTATTTAACGGTGCATTTGAGTACATTCGTACAAATGATTTCAATAAAGTAAACCTTTTGAAGAGTTTTGTGTTATTATAATCAACAGTTTTAGTGAAACGGGCACTTGAACACTTGAAGTGAAAAACATGTTTTTCGTACCAGTACCACATTTTCAATTCTCTTCGGTTGTAAAAAGACGCATATATTGTAAAAGGAGGCGGATGTAAGTGTGACAATCGAGCTCGTCTCGTTTGTTGATGGAAATCTTGTTTACACTTGGTGATTTGTGTTTGAAATCCTTTTCTGGTGATTCATTTTACCACCCTGACATTTGAAAGATAGAATAAAGATGGCCGACGGACGAATTAGACAGATAAAAATTAAGACCGGTGTTGTCAAAAGGTAGGTATAATTATTATAAGGAAATTTTCAGTCTGTGACTGTCTGTACGTGTAGTAGAGAAATGTGGCTCGTTTTGATATACCATGGCCTGAGCTCACTGTGACTGTAACTGTAATTGTAGACAAACAAAATTTATGGGTGGATACTTCTAGAATATTTATTACTTTCAAGGTTTTAATGTGGTTCTAAAGTCATCAGGAATAGCCTAGCCTGTAATAAACTTTCATTATATTCATGATGACAGTGTGAAAAATTGAAAGTAATCAATATTCGAAAAGTATCCATCCATAATAATTGTCTTATTTATCTATAACCTGTGCTTCTAATATGCCAATGAAGGATTGTGGACTCATAGATCTCTTCCTTGAAACTGATTCTGATATCACTGTGGTCTGAAACATCTAGTGTTTTTTTCAGAATTGCAAAAGAGAAGACAATGTACGAAAAGGAGGCTAAACAAATTGAAGAAAAGATTGAGAAAATGAAGACAGATGGTAAAGATGAACATGATGTTAAAAAACAGGTAATAAGGGATAAGGAAACTTGGTATTTATTCAAATCAATCAAATCTGACTCAAGTTAAAGCTAGTTTAAATAATAAGATTTTCAATGTCACTAATTTAAAATAACTTGCCTTTGATTGGGCTTGGGTGAAAAAATGAAGGCCCTTGTTCATTGCATTGTTTGCATGTTAAAGATCAGTTGGAAATGAATAAAGAGCAGGCTAATACCACGTACTGTTTTGACAAAATTCCATCTCTGTTATCTCAATACAGGACAGAAAAGTAGGTCATAACTACATGTATATTTAATTTGGCTGCCAACCCAATTGTATCAACTGTTGCATTATTTTCAACTTGTTTTGGAGCCAAAATGTGTTAAAATATATAATATATTATGTATGGTATAATTAATATTCTTCTTATGATGTAAGCATGCACATTAAATATTTTGGTACTGTAAAGAATTTATACAAAATTCAAATGCATTTTCTTTACAAAGTGGATATTTAGCCGTGAACCAGTTTAGTTTTTTTTCCGCAGGCACTTCCGTTTACCCATGCGCAACAGGAAAATAAAAATCAAAACAAGCAATCTAGTGTCAAATATGCGATTTAGTGTCTTATTTAGGGTTAGGTAGGGATGTCCATATGTTGAAATATGTTGAACAAGGTCCAGCTGCCTTCAGGGTCTTCTTTAGGGTTAGTTTTAGGTTTTGTTTTATGGTCTAATTTGTCGCTTTATGGCCTCATCGACGGATAATATTACTGCATTTTTTCATTTTTCTCCACTGCGCATGGGTAAATGGAAGTGCCGGTAAAATAACGAAAAATAAACTAAACCGGTTCACGGCTAAATATCCACTGCGTTTTCTTTATTGTGTATTGCAGATGGAGGTGTTACAAGAGTCAAAAGCCATGGTGCCAGATGCCTTAAAACGATTACGTAATGCCATAGATGATCTAACAAATGTTTTAGTAAGTATTTAGTTAGAAGACTAAGCATATTATAAGGAAACTATCACAAAAAGTTGCAAATAATATCTGAAGAACATAGATGTCTGACTTAAAATTTGGAATGGTGTAAATCTGTGATATCAATGCCCCAAATACACTTTTTAGTATCAATAACCTCTGAATTATCTCGTAAGAAGCATACTTTAACTTTAAAAACTCTAAAAAAGGCAAGGTTACATGTCTTGGAAAGTTTCTTTTCAATTTAACACCAATACAAGTTACTTCCCTTGAGAGAAAAATTTGTTGACAATTTCCTATTTTTCTTCAATCAGCACATTACTATACAATAACTTCAATAAGTACTGTTAAGCTGTGTTTTTCTTAAAAAAAATCATTTCTTACTGCTTTCATGGGGGATATTTCTATTTCTAAATTGAGTTATATTAATTGTTTCATTCAATTATTCATTTACAGTGACACGAATTGTGAACTGTAATATTAGGACTGTGCTAGTGCCTTCACCTGAATAGTAACTTTCTGCATTTCATTCAAGGTATTTTCTATTTTTAGGACAATGAAAAAGATTTAGAAGAAAGTGAAGAATATAAAACAGCACAGACAGCTTTAACAGATGCTAAGGCAGTGATGGCTTAATGCATATTAAATCTTATTGTTATCTATTATTATTATTTCATATCTATGTTTTTCCAAGGCAAACATTTTTCATTAATTATAAGTTTTTGGCTCATACTTTGCATTTTATCACTGTTGCTTGTAATTTATTTGTATTTTGAAAATTTCTGCAAGATTAATTGTGTCTAGTCTTATGCTTTACAAAAAATAGACTTTAGGATTTGGTTGTGACCTTTAAATTGTTTTTTTTAATCATTTCTTCTTTTGGTGGATTTGTTAACTAGGCAGTTAAAAAATAACCAAAATTATCCATTGTGTATCAATATATATCTATTGTGTATTCTGTATTGTAGCTAAAAAATGGGACGAGTCTTTCATACAACTTGTTTAGAAATAACATTCAAGGAAATGGTTAGATTGCACTAAGTCAAAATAAGCATTCCTTTGAGGAGTTATCTCATTTTCTCTCAAAAACATTTCTTCCTTTATAATAAAAACTTAACAAATTTGATCAATAGTTTTGTCTTGCTCAGCATTTGCTGACTGGATGCTTTTGCATGAGTATCCTTTTTGCCATTGCATCGCAAATAAATGTGGAGAAGCTGAATGCATGATTTGGTAATAATCTATTCTCATTCCTAAATGGCAATCATCTTTTCACAATTACTGGATACAAGAATTCCTCCTGATCAGGCATCCAACTTGCACACTGCTCACGTGAACATGAACTTCTAAAAATTTGGAAATGTCTTGAAGATTGCAGACATACATTCAGTCCAATGAGGGATGATATTCAATGAATTGAATCTAGATTATGCATCACATCAAGTCTTCAACTGCTGCCCTGGTTCATTTTGGATTATTCTCTCAAACTCTTCTCAGTCAAGTGACCACAGATTTGTTCAGAAATGATATCCTGCTCAATGACCCAATGTACCTTTTTTTTAGAACAATATGAAGAGTCAGGGGTATTTGACATATCATCTATAGGCTACCCATAACAAAGAGACTCTAGAAATATCTCTTGAAAGTCTTGTCTAATGACCAGCTTAACATATAAAAGTCTTTTATTATTGACAAAATTTATAATGAAATCTTATTTGAAGACCAACATAAACCATTATACTGATCTGGATAAGTAAAGAAAAGAAAAAAAGACCAATGTTTCGACATGTATAAGATCTATTGTTATCAAACTTTAAAGACCATCTGGATTATAGGTATTTACGTAAGATTTCTTTGTCCATTTTTTGACATCCGACAAGGGTGATGAAAACGCCACAGGCTACACATAAAAAAACTGTAAATCAATAGAGTGTTAATTGATTGTAAACTAGAGATATATATTTCGTGTTGATTAATTATAGCTGTTAATTCAGTCATTAAGAAAAACCTACTATTAATTGTCAACTTTTCTCCCTACTACCGTAAAAAAAGAAATTTGACAACTTAAAACTATAAGGAGTTAGCATAAATAAACACTAACGATCTGCAATACAAATCCAAAATATATTGGTAAGACATAACGAACTTAATTGATGGTCTGTAATTTATACATGTATAGGCCCTATGTCTATCTTAGCAATTTCCAGTTCCCAGAACAGACAACGGTCGGTATCCATGAGAGCACATAACACAGACCGGCTAATAATTATCGTGTCCACCTAACAATCGGATTGTGATTCAAAGACAAAATACCACGATTTATTCCATCCAAAGTAGTACGTAAAAGATTTTATGTTCCGAAGAATATATCAATGTAAAACTCTGAATATCAAGCTTTTTCCCTTTTCAAATCAATGATTTTGGAAATAAAGAGTAAACAATGAAGTCCGCTTATTGCGGCCAAGCTCCAACCCCTAACCTCCCCCTCCATATAATTATTTTCAATAACCTACTGTTGACCCGCCCAGAAGTGGCAATACTTAAAGTTTCGCGGGAAAAGTAACCAATGAAAACAGTAGAATACCTCAGACTAAAATCTACACAATAACTTAGGTCTGGATGTTCAAAGCAATTAATAAATTATAGTGCGCGCGCAATTTACACATGCGTACTAACCAATTTATTGGAGCGTCTTTCTCTCTTTATAAACCACGCTCTGCAAGGTTTTGTCACACGCTGCTTTACTTGTGAAAACGCAAGATGTCTTACGGAGCTGAACCATCAACGTTTTACGTTGGCCAGGAACATGTTGGCAGAATTATTGGCAAAGGTGGAAACCGAATAAGGGAAATTCAGGTATGTATTTGTTATTCTTTTGATTTAAGAAATCAAGTCTAAGTTAATGGCGATTAAATTTGGGTCAGCATGTCAATCATGCCGGATATGTCTTTCTTTGTTATAAAATGTTGTCATCAACTAAAAAAAAAAAAGAGCTTCCTCTATAATCAGATCGCTGTATTGAGACTTGATTAATTGATATTCGAACAAACTAGACAAAAACATAGTGATTGAATTCCTGTTGATCCAAAGAGTCAGATATGCGCAGATCAATTCCAAAATGGTCGACTTCAATTGAATAAAATGGCTGCCGCATTGTAAACACGTGGTGTCTACGAAAATTGGAAGTAAGACAATTCCGTTGACTACTCAATAAGTTATACAGTTCTGATGTTACTATTTCATTTCAAAACATCTTTCAGTTATTTTTTTGCAGAACCTGGACCCAGATTTGTCTTACTGATGAATATTTTTCATCCAAACTTTTTTACAGGGGCAGATTGGAGGGAGACCATCTTGTTTGTCAAGATTATAGTCTGTTTCACTATTGTGCAGTTTGCAATGGTATGCTTGAGTAGTGGGCTAATTAAAATTATGCCTTGAACTTGGTAAGAATGGGTAAGTTAGCGACTCAACCTGGCACAATGCATAGATTAAAAAAGATCTAGTACTAATTGTAATAGATGGAGTGAGTTTCGCTAATTTTGTGTGGGTTTGATGTGTATAACTATGATATATTTATGAAACAGATTGTTAATGTTGATGTGCTGCAAAATTTAAAATGATTTATCTGGTATATCTTGAATTTATTCTTGATTTCGTATTGATTGTTGTACAGATTTTCTTGGAAAATTATCAATTATAGATGTAGAATAGTTATTCTGATTCTTAGTAGCATCCGATACTGTAGCACATGGTCATTGGCGATATGTTGACCTATAAGACTGTTGTCATAGATTCAGTTTTGTTTACTTCAGGATGAAAGCAATTGTCAAATCAAGATTGAGAGTAGAAACAGTGATGTAGATGGTAAAGCCAGAGTTGATTTGACTGGTTCAGAGGCCCAACAAGAGAAAGCTAAGGGTTTAATCTTAGATATATGTGAGCAAAGTAGAGAAGGTGGTTATGGCGGAGGAAGAGGTGGTGGACGAGGTGGAGGAGGAGGTTATGGTAGACGTGACGGTGGCTACGGAGGAGGACGTGACGGTGGATACGGAGGTGGCCGAGATGGTGGATACGGAGGTGGAGGACGTGATGGTGGATACGGAGGTGGCAGATACGGAGGAGGTGGAGGTGGTGGACGTGACAATTACGGTGGTGGAGGAGGAGGATGGTAGATCCCTCTCTTTCTAATTTTTTTCCTAAATGTAATTGACAATAACACGCCTGCCATACCTATCTTCTAAAAAGACCAATGTCTTGTAAATGGACCAATATCCTGACTTTTTTTCAAGCAATAGTACTTGCTAGTGTGTTTTTTTTTTTGTATGATTTCTGACCAGTGATGTATTTTAATTCCCGACTTGATAAATGACTTGATCTTGCAACAGCGGACACTGTTTTGTATTTAATAGAGTTGTCCCAACCAGAATTGTGTAAATATTCCACCTCGACTTGATAATCCTAGTAAAGGACAACTGCAACTAAAACCAATTTTAGTGGGACAATTTTTACTTCATGAACCTTAGCTTTGGATGCGAGCCATAATTATATCATTATCATATGCCATTATACCTTGTATTCATTGTACAAATTTACATTGTTGGAAGCAACTCCTGAGTGTAAAAAGATGTACATATAATTATAGTGCTAACTCGTATGTGGATGCTAACTATCCATACCATTGCCCTAAGTAATTGCATCTGATCCTGAGTGTGCTCATATATACTTGACTGACTGCTCCAGACAAACTTGATAATTCAGAATATTGACTCAGTATTTTTATTTTCGAAATTGTGTTAAATTATCATGTAAACTGCCAAGTTATTACCTGAATAAATTTCTAAAGGCATTTTATTCTTATCCCTATTTCTGAGATGCAAAGTAATGTTAACTTGTTCAAGTCCTATAATATACATCCAATATAAAATCGGGGTGCCGAGTCTTGACTGAACTGCAGCGCATCATTAAAGCGGCAATTGCAAACTTAAATCAATTGGAATGCAATTGGTCAAATTTATCCACACCCATGCCATTGAGTTTGCAGAATTTGACCTACAATTTAACCCGGAGAAGAGATATATAACTTAATATATTCATAGAACATAGTTTATACGGGAGATTGATGTATTTGGTCTTGAGCAAGCACAACATTAGGGAACCAATAAAGCTATGCATCTTTCAAAACCCGAATGGTCGAAACCTCGGGTACAGAGAACACAATTACATAAACCCCCGACTTGCCAATCTTGGCATTTACCTAACAGTATGGATAATCATTACCCCAGCTCGTCCCGTACGGCATAGACTACCCGAGCTAAGAGGAGAAAATATGCACTTTCCAAGTTTCTTAGATATTTGAGCTTTCCAGTTGCAAATCGGATCATTTTCCTAGCAGTATGTTCATTTGATTGAGTTAGTATGAATTATTATTACCCCCACTCGTCCCATACAGCATAGACAACCCGAGCTAAGTGGAGAAAACATGCACTTTCCATGTTCTTAGTTATATTTGAGCTTTCCGTTTTTTGGCATCGATTTTTAAAAAGTAATGGCACGTTGAGCAGACAGAAATAAAATTTCGGTTTGATTCATAATTAAATGTTGTTACCTCCCTTGAAGTATTAGTTATAATTTGCATAGAAAGGTGCCTAATTATTTGATGTATTGATTTCAATTAACCCATAGAAAGAAACCAATTCACAATTCCAAGTTAAACAAGTGATATTTTCTTGCTGATATACGCAACAAACTATCGACGTTAAAAATAATGCGCTCAAAGGCAAATGAGTCCATAAGTTGCGGAGTACAAAAAAAGGACAGACTTGTTTAATTGGGAGAGGGGGGACAACTATCCTGGGCCATATCAGAATCAAAGCTTGTGGATAAAGGTATAACTAATGAAGGGAGATATATTTGAGAAATTAAAGATATCAATAAACCGAGTGGCATTTCTGTATGTCGTTGTTGTGAATAAACGACCTCCCCCATTATGTTCCTTTAGCAACCAATACGATGATTATCCACATCTACTGAGAATATTGGATTGTGAAAACAACGGTTAGATGTAGATAATCACCATACTGTTGCTAAAGGAATCTTATATTTCTTTCAAACTAGAATAAGACCGGATGAAATACCAGAAATTATATTATATAGGCTAGACCTATTAGATTTTAGTGAATCCTTGAACTAAAAGTCCACATGACTGGTGACCTTTGAACAAAATGTGTTATTGTTAACGCACGTTATTTCTTTGTTTTATAGAGAAAGCCTACACTCGTAATTATCCCGTTGAGTGAATTGGAAACATCTCAACTTCACTGTCATACAAACCGCACAAAACAACAAAAGTGCAGAATACTTCCGACAAGCATTCAAACTGCCTTCAAAGAACTGTTTTGTTCTTTTAAAGGGGCTTGTCCATTGAATACTGTTATGATATAAAGTCGTTTAATTTGTGAAAATCAACTTCGTTTATTTCAAATCGTACATTTTTGGCGAGGTTTATATACTTGGAATTTACTTTTTTGATATGCTAGTAACACTATTTAAATGCACTAAACGCCATTGATACAAACAAAATGATGGAACTCGTGTCAAATCGATTGTGGGAGGTTATCTTTAAGTTTTCAGCATCTGGAGATAGACTAACTATATAAATAAATAGACTGGGTGCCTAATTGTATCCTGTTAGTGGATAACAAGGGAGAAAGTCTATTTGTGAGAAATATAATACGAATATATACATGAGTAAGATATTAACTCTGTTCTCTTGTATAGTGTGAAATTACTGTTGGCCTAAAGTAGAATATCTTTACTCGTGTTGTTGCTCTTCCATGATTTATCGTCTTTTCGACCCACTAACATGCAGCCGACAAACAGGAAAAATACTCAGTTCAGTTAAACAAGTTTAAGTAAATGACAAAATAACAAGTTGTATAAAAGGAAAGAACGTAAAATGTGTGAGAGGTGAATTTCTATGCTACAACCGTTTTGTTATTACAACTTTATTGATGTCGTTGTAAGGAATGTAGAATGCACGTTCAAAGGCTCGTGTTTGGAATATGCGCTTTAGCGGGATATATTTATTGTGATATAGCAATCGAATTATGTGATACGGTTCGGTTGTCCTGTTCGGCCCGAGATGGCTGTCAGATGGCACTTACGAACTTCTTTGTTGGTTGTAACGACGTAATATATGGAAAGGGAAATAAGTGTACGACCAAGTGTGAGCATGCTTTAATTTCGCTGCTTTCTACAGAAGATAAAGCGGGTTTGGCATTTATGAATTGCAATTGTAGTGGAAATGCTTTGTGCGAGGAAAGAAAAGCCAGGGTGGAGGTGTGTACGAGAGTTGTTTTAAAATCTATGACTCATTTAGAAAACAAGGACCATTCGATTAGTTGTAATTTGGCACAATGGATTTGTGAGGCTGATACTGCGTGTCTAACAGCTTTAGACTATTATGCCCAGCACTGTTCTAAATTGTTATTAGCAGATAAATGCACATCACGATGTAACAACAGTCTCCAAATTCTGTATAGACAGAAAAATGCCAAAAAATTACCCAATTGTTACTGTGATGGTAAAGAGGAATATGACTGTTATAAACTCAAATATAATACAGAGAAATATTGCTTCCATAAAGAACCCAATATTCCTTATGTTGATAACAGGTCAAGGAAACCATCGCATTCCAGTCACAAGAACTCAGGGAGAAAAGGTAATGATTTATAGATACATATATTGAATTACACTTTAGGTAAAACTTCTAGCAAAGATCGAATCTTCATGTCGACCATAGCAGTATTATTCTTTCACCATCAATTTGCTCCCATAATGTTATAGTATCTACTTTGTCAATATTATGAGCAGCAGATCCGATGAAGATAGCTTGCCAGGCAAGGTATCACTAGGAGCTGTCAATAACAAAGTTGAAGCCTTTAGAAAGTCAAGGGTAATAACTCCTTAAGCTTTCATCTGATTGTTCAAAACTGTTCAACCGATTGTTATCAAGTTTAAATTTGACCCAGATCTAATCGATATATTATTGAGTATCATTAAGATCAAATCAAATCCTGTCTACAAGCCAAATGTGACTAATTCAAGGGCAATAACTCCCAAACCGTTCATCCGATTATTGCCATATTCAAATTCGATTGAGATCTCATCACTATATACATGCATAGGTTACATAATTTTATTAAAATCGATTAAAAATTTGAACTTCCATCGAATCTACAAGCAAAAGTTTTTTCTAAGTTATGGGCAATAACTCTGAAACCGTTCATCCGATTACTTCCAAATTCGAACTTGGCGGAGATATCAATATATATAGGATATACAACTAGGGTTGTCATCAATTCTTGGTAAAATGAAACACTTTATACAAAATTTCATCAAGACGAGATAAAAACTGTGCTGACAAGAAATGTGAACGGACAGACCGATGGAAATATTGTGTAAATTGGGTGCTATTATTTGCCAGCAAGTGATGGTATACAGTTTTGATATATCACTTGTTACATGATCTTATCACCTTGAAAGTTCGAAAGGTTATCTGTACTATTCTCTACTATTGTTTTCAACAATTTTAATTTGAGGCCACCTTTTCACAATGTCACATATCAAACTAATAATAAGTTAAAACAATTACGACTTAGACAAAGTTTGACTATCTGATAATGTTTAGGCGGTCAAATTGTTGGGTTTCTAATACGATTTTGTGTATTATTTATGATACATACTCAATAGATAACAAATCACGACACATTTTATATTTCCTTCAATATTTACGCAATCGGTTATCTTGTCCCCGCGGCTAGAAAAGTATTTTATTTAAACGAAATCAATATAACAGCGAGTTAAAAGCTCGTCAATTCTGAAAAGTATCAATACCTCGTGCATTAGACCTCCTTTCGAAAAATGTCAATCTATTTCTGACGCATTTTCTTATGGCTGAAAGATAATGTCGAATGTTTTCCATTAAAAAACGATTGAATTCGGAAATAATGAAATATGGGAATAGACTATGGAGGGAATATCGAAAAAAATGGGTTAAAACCGCAGTTCTAGAAAAATTCAATTATTTCACACTATTCAAATTGTATATATGCTTTCAGATAAACCAAGGAGGAAAAGGAAGAGACGGTGGTTTAGAAGTAGTCATCAACGATTGAGAAAAATGTTGAAAAAATTACTTAAAGGTCATAAAAAGAGACGCAGATCACATTTAAAACGGCGTCGGAGAAGAGACAGGCGAAGAAAGAGGAAGAGATCCCATAGACCAAGAGTGAGGCGTGATTTATTCTCACCAGACGATAGTCCCTAATGTTCCAACACAAGATTGGTATATTGTAATATAGTAATTGTATTAATTAATCGATTCCCAAATTTCTATATAATAAAACTGTAAAATTACTTTTTTGATTTCACACCCTGGTGATATTTCGACGTAATTAATTTATATTCTGACCAAATAGAAGTGCCATCAATTTGGGATAGAAAGGTCTCAATATTCTAATGATTTTGATTTTTTCGTAGAACAGTGTTTCAACAGTTACTGTCGGGAAAACTTACCACATATTAATTTTATAGACCTAAATTCGTCGTACAACAGTCGTACAAATGCTTCAATTGCAAAAAGTCCAATGATTTGAATTTTGGAAAGTACAACTGCAATAAGTAATACAATTACAACGACGTCGCCTACTTTTCAAGCTAATTATACATGTTTGTAGGCCTACCGATCCTTATGGATCAAATTTCCTAACACCGTCAGTACATCACTTCATCTCGGTACAATGCATTAAAATTATTCAAGTCAATTAATTGTGTGGCGTTGTTGTACAACAAATTTATTCCTGTGGTAAACAAATTCTTAAAATTTTGCAAAAGAATAAACTTTTACCACTTGCATGCCAACACGAAAATATGAACTTTTGTTATCACAACGCCCGTGAGAGGTCGACGTCGTTACATTATCAGTAGAAGATCAAAAGAGTTCTAAGGTTACCATCTAACGAGGTGCAAACCATGACAAATTTTATAATGAGATGACAGGCCTTATCTAATGTTATTAATGGCCAGATGAAACGATACGTCTCCAGTCCGACCTCGTAAGGTTAAGTAAACAATCAGTATCGCTAAAGGAAACAAAAGAGTATCTATTACGATGAAAAAGCGGCTGAAGAGAAAATTGTCTGGAGACAAAAAACAATGTAAAACAAACTTCACGCCCAACGCATAATCTTAATTCGGGTGCCGACACATGTATATCTGTCAATGAATTCATCCATAACTGAAATGTGCCAAAGTTCAGTCCGTATATTACGTATTTACAGTTAGAGCTATACAGAATTTATAGAACACCACTGTACATCAATTAGTTTATATATTCAGGTACATTATAATTTATCTGACACACCTCTGTATATGAAATAGTGTATAAACATGTACATTGTTATTTATCTGACAACACCACTGTACAGCGCATAGAGTACATCAAATAATTTATCTGACAACACCACTGTATATTAAATAGTGTATAAACATGTACATTGTTATTTATCTGACAACACCACTGTACAGCGCATAGAGTACATCATATAATTTATCTGACAACACCACTGTATATGAAATAGTGTATAAACATGTACATTGTTATTTATCTGACAACACCACTGTATATCAAATAGTGTATAAACATGTACATTGTTATTTATCTGACAACACCACTGTACAGCGCATAGAGTACATCAAATAATTTATCTGACAACACCACTGTATATTAAATAGTGTATAAACATGTACATTGTTATTTATCTGACAACACCACTGTATATCAAATAGTGTATAAACATGTACATTGTTATTTATCTGACAACACCACTGTACAGCGCATAGTGTACATCAAATACTTCATCTGATAAGGAAAATGAGCATGGTACTTACTTGAAAAATGAGGTTTGATCACAGGGTAAATAACAGTTACTGAAAACATTTGCATGTTTGGAACAGAACCCTGAGACTCTATGCAACAGATGTGGTGGTTTAAGACTCCAGAAAAGTTGAAAATCCCAAAACTGTAGTTAAATTTGCAGTGCAATCCAGAAAAAAGTCCTTACTCTCGCTAGTAGAAAGTAAATTTAATTTTCATTTACTGGTATCAAATGTCATTAAAACACTTGAATGATTAATAAAACATTTATATCCATATAATAAGTTGAAATATACAATAACATACAAATAAACATTCAAAAAATGAACAGTGTATATCCAGGAGCAACAACATTATATTACTGTTTGCATATCCATCCCAGAAATTGTTTCAGATAAGTAATTAAAAAAAATTGGGATTATATTATTATCCAAACATATTATTTTCAGATAAATTCTGTAGGCAACCGAAACGGTCATCCATTAGGTTTCAGACTACATCCTTTGATAGCTGGACAGTTTGAATAAAGTTTTATCACCTGGCAAAGCAACAGACAACAAGTTTGGTGGTCAGCTATAAAATGAGCTCTTTCAGCTAACAATTTGAACCAATTTCAAGCTTAGAAGAACAGCTTTCTAAAACCAAGGTTCATTTCCTTGCTCATTCTTTAGCATTAAATTTTATTATGAATTCTATCAAACTAAATTAGCTGCCAGTCATGAAAGTGCAGAAAAGCTTTTGATTTAAACATGAAAATTGGCAAAATAATAGCTCTGAAATGTTAGATATGTTTTTAGGAAGGGTCCAAATAGTTTATAACAGTAATTAAAACATGTTGAAAAGAGATTTAAACAATTGGCATTCTCAACTCAGTTGGATGTCTTGTTATTGAAATATCACGACTGGTAAGAATAGTTTTATAAGCTTGTGATAGAAATTGACATCATGGAAACATGTATGTGATAAAAACAACCTCAAATCAGTGTTAAAAAAGAAAAAAGCAGCTTAAAATTAGGATTGTTGTTGATATACTCATATCTGTTACTCTGATTAGTAATTATAACTACACTATTAGTTTTCAAATTCTGCTAGTTTGTTTACAAATAAACAAATTGAACTGGAAGTGAAAACAAGAATACAACCTCTTTAGAGTGGAAATAAAATCTAAAATCTCAAACTCGGTCAATAAGTGTATATATTCATCAGTTGGACTTACCAGGTGCCATGACAAAAGAATAGAATCTCTATATAAGATGATATTCTAAAATGTCCCTGTACCCCTCATGGTACCACAATTTGGCTTTTAACATATTGAAAATTCTCAAAAACTAGTAATTCAAAGTGGGTCGGAGAAAATCCCATAAAAAGTGACATTTTATGTCTGGCCCTAAATGTATCGATATCCCATCTGTATATCAAATCTGTATATCACATGTGTATATCAAATCTGTATATCACATCTGTATATCAAATCTGTATATCACATCTGTATATCAAATCTGTATATCACATCTGTATATCACATCTAAGGAAACAGGTAGAACCAGATTTGTCGGGTTATTCAAATAGGTGTTTATTCTTTGAAATTTGAGCAGTTCCTTTGATTTGTTTCTTGAAATTTAGAATTTTATATCAAAAGGTAGTTTTGTTTGAAGTATGGGGACAATTATTATGTAAAATATTATAGTTTTTAAGTAACAGGTCATGTACTGACTTTTTGATTGAATTATGACAACTCTTTCATCTTACCATTCTAAACAATATCTGATTCCAAAATTTGGTCAACAACTGTTTTCAGATTTAATGTATTTATATAATAGTTTAAAGAGACAGATGCGCCATTCTTTTTGACCAATTGTACGTGTAGTCTCAGAAACAGGAATTTTTTAGCTATGCTAATTAGAAATAGTATTCACAGCTCAAAATTTTAGCCTTCAAATCCATGTGTGTCGAGAATTATCAGTATTTGAATGTTAAAATGACTCTGTGATATATAGAAAAGACATATACAGAAATAGTAACATTCCTAGTTTGAAGTATTTCTAAAGGAATCAAGCGATTTTCGTACATTTCTAGTACTATTGAAGAGTTTTTACATATATTCAAGGCTCAAATCAACCACCAAGAATGGTGCACCTGTCCCTTTAAAGGGAATGTAATTTAGAAATTGCATTTGTATTTAAGAGACACTTATCATTTGAATTTAAAGAATCAACACATGAAATTTCAATGAGAATTTGTGCTTTTCCAGAAAATTTTACCCATGATTTGAATGTAGTAAAAATAATATTTAACATCCTCATTGCTTATATAAAGGCTCTGCCATACCATTTATATTATCTGGCTATATTTGAAATTACAGCTAAAAATGAGCAATCTCCCTTACGGACTATAGGAAAATTGCATGGCAGTTTTTTACCAATTGCTAACTTTATTGAATTCAAGGACAATAACTCACTTTTCGTTCATTTAAAAACAGCTATAGTCAAACTCATTCGAGATCTCACCACTAATATAATTCATCAAAAATTGCAAAAATCAGTTTTTCCAATAAATGCATGTATATCAAATTTGGTCAAAATCAGATAAAAAATGTAGCCTAATTATTATTCACAAGCGATTGAAACAGACGGACAGATAATCCAAGTGAAAGAAATATACACCAATATATATTGTGAGCATATTAAAACAGGATTTTTACCACATTTTCTCTTATATTACAGCCAGTCAGTTGGAAGAAATCACAATAATATATTATTATATGTATTATGCTGGTTCTATCATCACTGTATTTCACATTGATCTGCAAATAAAAAGAGAAAAAAACTTGCGAGAAAAGAATCTATATAAATTGTCTGTTTGGTTCACTTTAGGAACGCTAGAAATTTTCAAAGAACTATATAAATGTGAGGAAAAGGAAAGATTGACATTGCTAACTTGCTATGTACCATACCAGCAATGTTGCCTGGAGCCAGGACAAGCTTTCCATGACTGAAATACTTCCAATGCACTAAACCTACTCTACATAGAAATGTCACTCTTCCTTGATCCCAAACTTATTTTATCCTGGCTGATTGGGCCAGGCAGGCAATGCTATGCAGTGTTCAATGAGATTTGAAACTGTAGAGGAATCCCTAGCCTGTACAACACATAACAGAAAGAGCCTTGATTTTGTATTAAGGACCAGTAATTTTGCAATACAAAGGTATCTGTATTATCTACACCCCCAGTTCCTAATCTAGAGTGTTTTCAGCCCCTGGGAGTGTGGGACTAGGGTGTCAGGGGTGTGGCCAACTGGTGTAGGAGAAGAATTTATTTTGAGTTGAGAGAGCACCTGAAAATGTAGATGATACAAATTGTTGGGGGTATGAAAGGTCTAAATGATTGCTCAATGATTGTGAAGGCTGAAATAGGTTGGGAACCACTGATCTACACAAAAGCAGTAATCAAGTAGTCATCATTACAATTATTGATTAATGCAAGCGCTTGCTGAGTTCTTCATTCCTGAGGTCTATTGAGCCTTTTTCTAAATTCTGTGGATGTTTCAAAGATAAACAAGCCTTACCTTTACTAAAATAACTTAAAGATGTATCTTCTTCTACTTGTGATGTATCATTAGTATGTAATTGTTTAACAGATAGATATGATTTAATCTCTTCAGCTTCACTTAACCATTTAGGAACCTGGTTTAAAATACAAACTATTTAAAATGGGTGCTTGGTGCTAAAGAAAAATGGGTGCTTGTTGCTAAAAAGAAACTGATCAGTGGTTTTGCTGGCAGCTCCAAACCTTTTTGGGGGAATCCCCTTTATGACATCATTACTGAGTGGGGGAGAGATTTTCCTCTGACCCTGTTTCCCTTTTACATTGATGGTTTTTGCAGGATCATCATATAGGCATGCGTTAATTTTGCATTCAAGTTGCCCTTACGTCATGTAATTGCAGCTAAACAGCTAAACCTTGTAATAACTTTTTACAGACAGAATGAGTTAATACAATTTAGTATGCATATAAAATGATATATACCTCTTTATTCAAAATATCCTTTCTCTTACCAGGAGGTTCTTCTGAAATTTAAATATATTTTCAACAATAACATAGATGAACAAAATGTATATCTAGGGGCCATTAGTTCAAATCTCTAAATGCATGCAGTATGATAAACAAGGCTAAAAAAAACATAAATGTGTATCATGATTTTAATATGATAATCAAGGCTACAAGTAATTTGACCTAAAAAAAATCTCAAATATGTATCCTGAATATAACATGATAAATAAGGCATTGATAACAAGTAATTTGACTAAAAAGGGGCAAAATTCTTAAATAATAAAAGGCATTTCATCAAAAATGGATCAGTGTAGTGTTTGTGAAGGATCTAAATTAATATATTTACCTGGTAAAATTTTTATCAGAACACCTAAAGACATCTCATAATGTTTTAAAGCCTTATCAAAATCTTCTTTTTCAACCTGAAATTTAGAGACCATTTTATTCCACTGTCAATATGTGGTTTTAACCATGATAGGTATTACCCTCAGAATGAATTTGGCACATCACTCTCAAATTTGCATAACAAGTAATAAACATTTAGTAATTTGTTGAAGGCTTAAAATCTGTCATTGAAATAAAACCATATGTGGAAAGAAAATAGGCATAGGACTCTTTTTTTGCTGGTTTGAAAATTAAATCGAAACAAACCTCATGTTGTGCCGCTTTAATAAGTTTGATTGCCGCTTCTAACTCTTTGTGACCCTTACATAATTCAACTGTAAATACATAAACTAAAAATATAGACTTCAAGTCTTAATAAGGGGAGCAACTGCAGTTTTAAATTCAAAATCCAGACAACAAAATTTGATCATCATTAAACATCATGAAAGCATTTAATTACTTTTTGTGGCATGTTTTTCAAAAATAGGAAATCATTGTTCTTGGTCAGCATGTGATGACCCCTGATCATTCTGGTTTCTTCTTTCTGATTTTTACTATCCAGTGCTATATAAACATAGAAGTCTAAATTTGTGCCTTTTTTTTAATTTAGGCCATTTTCAAATATATCTAACTACTTTCTTCCAGAAATGAAGCTGTGAACGTTTCAATTCTGCCACTCATTTTAGTATTTTCAAGCACTGACCAAACCAGTCACATTCAGGTTGCTCCCCTAGCATATGATAAGTCTTAAAACACTTATAGTTACAGGACTAAAGTAAATAATGACTAACCTAAATCGATATGTGTATTGGTAAGAGAACTATCACAACCAGTTGGTACCATAGAATTGTTAGATTCTGAGCTATGACCAGGTTTAATCATATCTTTTAGTACTTCAGCTCTACCCATATACTCCTTTACCTTTTTAAAATATAATATCAAATAGTTTTTACTTACTTATTAACTCAAACAAAAATTGGGAAGTGAAATACTATCAACATACAAAATGGATTCATGACCAAAATGTTTTCAAAATTGGCAAATTGAAAGCAATCATTAAAGAAATGGGCCTCATTTTCAAATGGACTTTTTAACTGTTCCTGCATCACATATCTTGATTGTTCATAATTGTCTATTTGTCATTCATCATCAAAATCTTATCACAAGCTCAGGCCTGGATGCACCAGACTCATTAATGAGGTTATGAAATTTGATTCTGTGGAAGATCAAACAAACAATATTGTGTCAAATGCATCCACAGTGATGACACTGAAAATGTTCTACATAAAACTGTTGTTGCCTTCATTCTATCAGACTGCTATTCTAAATACTTTAGACTTATATGGATCTAAAAAGTTACGTTTCTAGCAATTATTTAATATTTCCACTAAAATAGAAAACATACCTTTCTACGTAATATAGTTTTTCTATTAGAATCTTCTTCATCTAGAATATAGATTAATTAATCTGCATTAATCAAAAATCTAAACATTCAAGAATAGATCTAAATCCTGTATTGGCAATATTTCCCTTGTTGTACACAGTATGGTGTCGCATGTCTTCATTTGATCAATCAGAAGCAGAATAAATGAAGTTAGATGCAAATCCAAATTTCAGAGATTAACCTATTAAGGTAGCCAAGTAAAGAAAAAAATATTCAAGTCAAACGTAATTTTAGCTAAAACACACATAAAACAGTTCTGCATAAATTTACTTACAATGTATAGCAGCAACAAAATATTGTAAGGCATCAAAATATAATCTAACAGCTTTATCATATTCACCATTTTTATCACATGTACATGCTTCTGTTACCAGATTAGTCTGAAAAGAGACATGTCACTTTTCTAATTTTTATTCTGAACACTTTTCGCATATACATGTATACAGTGCTTTTTCAGGTCTGTGCCGAACTAGAAACCAGACCACGAGATTAACAGGTAATTTAACATAGTGAATATTACATTCCCAGTAAACAGCGTACAGAAATCAGGGTTTCCAGAATATCGGCAATCTGATAAATGTGGCTCCATTGTATAGAAAAAATGAATATATTATTGCCTATTGGGAGACAGGATTAGTCATACTTCATGTTTTTATTTACAGATGCAGGAATCTGGGCTATATGATTTGATGAATTCATCCCCCCAAAAAATAAATAAACAAATTTATTCTTACAGCATTTTGTAGCGATTGTGAATTAGGTGTGTGTTCTAAATCTATGAAAGGATGAGCAAAAAATTCTTCAAATGTAATTCTATCTTCTGGCTTTCTTTGTAGTAATCTTAGTACTATATCTCTAGCATTTTCTGATATATCTACACCATATGGTAACTAAATAAATATAAACATTAATTAAATGGTCAAAGTATACAATAATATAAACATTCGGTAGTCCTTTCAGAAATTTTGTCCAGCAAACTGGCAAAGTCAAAGATCAAAATTGTTAGAATTATATACAGTTCTCATCAATACATGAATATGTGTTATTTGAAAGTGTAGTGTGGGATGGCAAAGGAACACTGGACAACAGACACAGTCTCTCTGTTAAATTCAGGGCTTTTTAAGTATGGTTTGTGCTATTAAGAATTCATAAGAATTAACTTTTGCACTATTTCCTTCATCTATTGGTCTTATAGTATTTTCATTAATTGATTTTAAGGGGAAATGTTTTTCTTACAATTACGACAATGTCATAGATTGTACCATTACCAATTTTAAAAAACCTTGCATTTATTTTAGTTCCTCAAATAATATATTTCCATTTCTCACCTACCTCTACAGATCTTTCATCCCAAATTTTGGCTCCTAATTCTTTAAAACTTTTGGAAGCAAAAGGAGCCTTACCAAACAAACATTCTAGAAATAAAACAAGCGATGGTAAAATTATACTTAATTAATGCTTCTAATAGTTTTTTTGTTTTTTCTTCATTTTTGGTGAAATTAACCAATAAGAAGAAACAACTTCAAGAATATTGTGTGAACAACAAGAACAATTCTGTGATGAGACAGCACACGAACATCTCTGTGTTGAGATAGCAAAAGAACATCTTTGTGTTGAGACAGCACAAGAACATCTTTGTGTTGTAACAGCACAAGAACATCTTTTTTGAGATATCACAAGAACATCTTTGTGTTGTAACAGCACAAGAACATCTTTGTGTTGAGACAGCACAAGAACATCTTTGTGTTGTAACAGCACAAGAACATCTTTGTGTTGAGACAGCACAAGAACATCTTTGGGTTGAGACATCACAAGAACATCTTTGTGTTGTAACAGCACAAGAACATCTTTGTGTTGAGATAGCACAAGAACATCTTTGGGTTGAGACATCACAAGAACATCTTTGTGTTGTAACAGCACAAGAACATCTTTGTGTTGAGATATCACAAGAACATCTTTGTGTTGTAACAGCACAAAAACATCTTTGTGTTGAGACAGCACAAGAACATCTTTGTGTTGAGACAGCACAAGAACATCTTTGTGTTGAGACATCACAAGAACATCTTTGGGTTGAGACATCACAAGAACATCTTTGGGTTGAGACAGCACAAGAACACCTTTGTGTTGAGACTAATAACTAATAACAATATCAATAAAATTTAAAATTCATAACTAACCATATAAAATAACTCCTATAGACCAGAGATCAACTCGAGCATCATAATTACCAGAACATATTATTTCTGGTGCCATATATAACGGCGAGCCTCTCATAGTTCTCAATTCATCACCATCATACAGATGTTTAGCAAATCCAAAATCTACAATACACAGACAGACAATCAGTTAATTCATAGCTAAATATTGGAATATCTTTATAATATATAGCGAAAGGCAAAAAAACCTCACTGCTGAAAATACTAATGAAATGGGTCAATAAACCCATTTAACATTCCACTGCTCCCTTTTGTTGCTCCGATGTCTTAATATATAAGCACACATCCTCATGAGGTTTCTTTTGCCTTTCAGTATCGTAATTGTCATATAAGCTTATGTTTGTCCATTATTACCCTCTTGCTAATTGAAGAAATAAAGAATGAATTACAAACCTGCTATTTTTAATCTAGGATGTGTCACTGATGTAAGTAAAATATTTTGAGGTTTTAAGTCCATGTGTGCTACATTGTTATCCCACAAAAACTTCATAGCTTGTGCTAAAATATATATCATGGTTTGTATCAGTACTGTTCTACAGATCAAGATACAAATTTGTTGCACATCTATTAATTGACCATGAAATTTGTTATGAAAGTAGTCAAAAGCATACAGATCCTTGGTTTAATGTAAACAATAAGATGGCTTTTCAATGTCCTGATTCAGTTCTATCTAATCTTTTCATATCTACACTATTCACCTAGCAAGGATTGACACAGAAAGAAATGTGGGCTACAAAAAAAGGACATAAACATAATTTCTTACTATTCTTACCTATCTGTTGCAGAAATCTTTTAACAATCTGCTCAGGTAAGGCTCTCTTCTTCCTGATGAAATGGCTGAGATCTCCACCACTACAATACTCCATGATAAGGTAAATGTATACATCATCCCACTAAAATAAATTAATTGGTATCAGAATGAAATTGAGTCCTCAGCCCCTGTTGCCAACAATATATAGCCAGAGTGAAAACTTTGGGGGAAGAATGTTATTTATTGACTCTTGACCATTAGTTAATCGTTCACTGATAATTGCAACATTGCAAACCATCAATATTAGGTTATCGGATTGTGGACTGCTAATGAAAATGTCAAGAATTTTTGTGACTAAAATTCCAGTGTCTATGATGTTTTCTCTAAGTTTGACAATCTTAACAATGTGCGTTCAGCTTAATACATATTATAAGTAAACTGAAGAAGAGAAACCATTACATTTCCAAACATATGAGAAAATTGTTTGATTGAGAAAAGAGAAAAAAAATTTCAAAACCTGCAAATTTGACAATTCATAAATATACATATGTATGCATTTTTTTCTATTTGCTTCGTATTACTCAAGTCTTGTCTGAGCTACTGTAACGTATGTCAAGTCTCAAAAACTTTAATATCTATATATCTGAATAATTAGAATAACTTTACCCTAAAATCTTTTAACTCAACGATATTTTCATGCTTCAATTTCTTCAACAATTCAATTTCTGTTAAAAGATTTTCTGTAGATGTACGATTCAAACTGCTTTTAAGAACACATTTTATAGCTACCACCTCTCTTACTCCAGTCTATACGAAAATAAACATTAACTTGTTCAAAATATTCATTCTAGTTAAGTAGATTATTCCTAGATAGTGCCATAGTGGGTCCACAGGCAACTTAAGAAACTCACTTAAAACAAGTTAAGCTTTAGATTATCTTTGATTAGATCTACTGACTGTTTAATTTAGCCTGATGATGGATCACCATGCATTGTCAACACTCTTCAAAAAGTTCTTAACACTTAGTTGAATAACATGTCAGTTGTCAACATGGAAATGCAAGTTCCACACTTTTATAACATCAAATTATGATCTAGACAGTGATTGTATACAAAGTATGTAAGCAACTATGATCTAGGTTTATGCTTCTTATTTTACTGAAACTGAAAGTCGGATTATTATGCATGGTAATTTCCTATCTCGTGATTTTGTACTGTAAATAAAGACCTTGTCGTATCTCACAATGTTAAGGTGGCTTTAAATTGAGATGTACCTTTCTATAAGCTTTATAGACGGTCGCATATGTACCACTTCCAAGCTTTTCTGTGAACACATAATCTTTTAATTGTGGAATTACTGTATTTTTAGCAGACGAAGGTCTGCTCGCCATCTTTAGCCATATCACGTGATAACCAGCCTGTTTTGTACCTCCGTGACTGAAGAGTTCCAAAACAAAATAAGTATGTCAACAACAACATTGGTCTGATTAGAATTTATTTTGGCTTCATAATTAACGATGATCATTGTTCTTCTTTATTAGCTGAAATAGAACATTCAAAAACCTTCAATGTAATATAAAAAGTTTTCTAAATTAAATAGTTGAAATAGTGTCTTTAAAAGATTTTTTTCATAAGAACAGGTCGTAACCAAGGCGTTGGTGACGACTGAAAGAAAACAGTTATACACAATATCATAAAAAAATATAGGTTTAACAGTACAAATATTTATTACAAATGGGAGTGGACTAAAACCATTAAGGATTGTAACAAAATGGACTAGTTGTCAACTTTGAATTTGGTGAGTTATTGGCATGGTAATTGAAAGTAAAAGTATGGGACTGGAAGGTCCAAAACAGGTAGCCTACCCACAGGCATCTGTTTCTATCAATAGTCGACTCTTAATAGAAACAGATGCCTGTGAGCCTACCATACTCATCATACAGACCAGGCATTGAACATTTTGTCAAGATTTATAGATTTTTTGCTATAAGCTTATAGAATTTAAAATAATTTACTTGCTTTCAACGGTTGAACCAGTTTTTTTTATAAGCTTATAAGCTTAAGCTTGAATATCTGTCAAACAATTCTTAGTAGGCCTACATTTCATACTAAAACTGTGAACCAGACAGAAGGCTGAGAAGTTCCATAATAATTCATTAAGTGCTAATTTAGATATGGTTGGCTAAATAACAGTCTTTTATCAGACAGTTGATTGACCTTTGGCCCAATTCTAAAACGCTTGCATTGCGTTTGTAGGCTACATGAGGTCAGAAACCATCTCAACTACAGTTTCTTTGTTAAATTCAGTGTGCACTGATTATCATTGTTTTGAGGAATAAATTATTTTTTACAGTTTTCATTTTCAGAATAGTGGAAGATGAAACCAAGATCTGTAGTATGTTATATTTGTGGTAGAGAGTTTGGTTCCAAGTCTATTTCTATACATGAACCACAATGTCTTGGCAAATGGAAGCTAGAGAATGACAATCTTCCCAAAAATTTAAGAAGAAAAACCCCAATTAAACCACAAATTCTTCCAACTATTGGTGGCAATAGTAATGATACACAACGACTTAATGAAATGGCCTGGCAGAGTGCTCAGGCCAATTTGATTGCTTGTGAAAATTGTGGAAGGACTTTTAACCCTGATAGATTACCAGTTCATCAAAAGAGTTGTAAGCCAGGAAAGCCAATGAATCCTATCAAAAAATCCAATGATGCAGGTTCAAGTAATGGTCGTGATGTGCTTCGACCAAAAACAACCACTTTATCAGGTCCAGACGTATCAGAATCTTCTGAAAGTAAACCATCTGGTGGATCTATCAACAGGGATAAAACATTTGTTTCCAAAAACCAGAAACCTGCTCCTAAAAAACCTCAAGCTCCACGATTTGTTCTCTGCTACATCTGTGGACGTCAATTTGGAACTCAATCAATTGATATTCATGAACCTCAATGTCTTGAGAAATGGAAGAAAGAAAATTCTCAGCTACCTAAAGAACAAAGGAGAAAACTGCCCAAAAAACCTGAAGGAATCACTACTAATGGTGGTCCTGTTGATTATGAAGCTATGAATGAGGCTGCTTGGCAAGCTTCCCAAGCTAATTTGGCAACATGTCCTAATTGTGCCAGAACATTCAACCCAGATAGACTTGCTGTACATCTCCGAGCTTGTAAGCCTAAAGATGGCGGTCCTCAACCAGCTACCAGTACCAATAGTGATGTGGGAGGCGTCAAGGGATCAAACTTTAATGGAGGTAAAGTATAACTTTTAAAGGATATAAGCATTAAATTTTTGCTTTACCAAGTGTGAGAGCTTAACATATCCTATTTTGGAGTTAAAATCTGACTTTTGGTTTGTCTACAATTAACACAAGAGGTTGCCTAGCAAGATACGCCCACTTTCCTGATACATTTTCAGTATATCAAGAGCAGTCACCTATCTGTGTCAAATCATACCAAAAATCTAATTTGTGCAGATATTGTTGATTTAAGCAAACACACATTATTTTTAAAAATTCTGACATAAACTGTCACCTCTATTGCTAACAAATTTTGATGCGTTTTTACTAAGTCAAGGGCAATAACTCAAATTCTGTAGATCGAAAAATTGTCAAATATAATCATTATCATAATGTGGGCGTATAAAAAAACATAATATTTAGAGGTGCAGTTGTTTACTTGTGAACTGATTTTGAATGACCAGAAACATTAGAGAGAGGTGATATAATTATATTTAATTGTTGAGCTGAATTTAAATTTGTTAATTTCAATTATATAGGTTCAACAAAGAGAGATCCATCCCCACAGAAAGGTCCCAGAACTCTGGTATGTTACATCTGTGGTCGAGAATTTGGCACCAAATCATTACAGATACATGAACCTCAATGCTTAGATAAATGGAAAGTCCAGAATGCCAAACTACCACGAGAACAAAGAAGACCTTTACCTAAGAAACCAAAGGGTATTGGGGAAAGTGGAGAAATTACAAGGTAATTCAAAGGCATTAAAATTATAAGCTGGGTAAATTTAAAACATTTTCTTAGAACGGGAAATGAACTTAACCAAAACTAAGCTTATGCAATTTTTCTTAAAACTTGTGAAATGCCCATATATCGTTCTTTGTTTCACTTTGAAATAAGGAAAATTTAAACCTACATTCCCAAAGAGCTGCTCTAATTTTTATATTTGCAATTTGCAACATATGAGTAAGCTTATAAGATCATGTATAAATGGCACCCCCAATATCAATCATGATTTTGTTTTTTCAGAGAGCAAATGAATGAAGCAGCATGGGAGGCCTCCAAAGAACAGTTGGTACCATGTCAGAACTGTGGTAGAAGATTTGCACCAGATAGATTACCAGTACATCTAAGAGCATGTCGTCCTAAAACAGGTACAGTAAGAAAAGGTGGTGGACCTTCTAATGCCGAGGTGAGTGGTCAATTAACTGAAATGCAATGTTATAAGATGAGCAAATCTATTCATTAACATCCTTCATTGCATTTTCCATACAAAAGTTACATATGAAATAACACACACAAATGTGGTTTTGAATCACTATTTCGAGTAAATAAGTCAAATTTTTGAAAAGGCTTCAAATCACATTTAAAGCCATGTCTAAACGATAACATGTTATATGTAGTTTCATATGGGATAATTCCCAGGTTAACAATATCTTGAAATCATGAAATAAAGTACTACATCCCTTTTCATTTGTTATATTGTTCTTCTTCTAGCCGCCACCCCCAATAAAACAACCAGTTTATAGACCTAGACCTACAGTAGTATGTTATATTTGTGGTAGAGAGTTTGGTAGTAAATCTATTTCTATACATCATCCACAATGTTTAACTAAATGGCATAATGAAAATAATAAATTACCACGTGAACATAGAAGACCTGAGCCTATTAAACCAGAAGTACAGGCAATAGGAGGTAAGTTCTTTCCTTAAACATAGCTTGCAAAACTGGGTAACAGATTAGCAAATGAACTGTTTTCCATAGCGATGAATTAGGCCAAGACAATTCAAAGTCATTGTTAGATCTGACTTATGTACATTTATTCATGCATGAATCAAGTTTCATCCATATGGGGTAAAAATCAAAAAAAATTTCCAGAATCTTTCCAGAAACAAGAATGTTAACTGACTTAACATAAAAATATGGCTGAAGGCCATGGACTCACATGGTTGTCCGCTGATAAGGCCATTACAATGTCTCCCCAATCATCCTTAAGGTTTTATCTGATAGATCCTTTTGATTTACCGGTACCATTGATAAGATTGCTGTAAGCATATGGAAATCAAAAAAATTAATTTTTGTCTTTACAGCAAGTGGTAAATATGATATTGAAGCTGTGAATGAAGCTGCATGGAAGGCTTCCCAGGCTAATCTGGTACCTTGTCCTAATTGTGGCCGTACCTTTAATCCAGATAGATTGCATGTACATCTACGTAGTTGTAAACCTAAACCACCACCAGAATAATTTCAATCATCAGGTCATCTTGATGTTGTTCTTATTGTGTTACCTAATGGGATACTTATCCATCGGAAGTTGTAGAACATAAAGGATATAAGGTTTTTTGACTGGTTTCAACACGAATTCAAGAATTGTTTTTACATTATCCATGGTAAGAACAAGGCTGCAGATCATCGGTCAGCAAACATATTTAAAGGTGCCCTCACACCATAGCGATCACCCGTTTTGTATGGTTGCGAACAAAAATAGCAGTTGCATTCATTACTCTTGACCACTTTTATTATTCGTAACTGGTGTGTTAAGGCATCTTTAGGCAGGACTGAATGCACCTGCATCTAGGTAAACAAATACATTCTACTATATTTTGAGGTAGTCAAGTTATTTCTGCACATCTGGGCCAGTTTCAATAAATAAATAGGAGTAGTTTAATTGTACATAGTGTAAGTAGTAATTTACAGAATAAGTCTGGCTCATATAGTTACTATATAGACACCTGATACCACTTTTAATTACAAAGTACTTTCTCACTTATGATTGATATACTTTCTCATGTGAAAAGATCATTAGCTGCTACCAATGTTTTGTTTGGATATCAGGTTTTGTTTTGCGGTTCAGATCGTTTATTCTATATATAGTAATACTACCCAAAAATAACATGGACAACTCGTATTTGTTTTGAAAAACCTTGCTTGACTTTTGTTTAGTCATTTATTTTTCTACATAAGAGTTTACTCCGTCAAAATGTCCCAGATGCGTGTAAATATGTGTATCCCACAATATTTTTTTTTCAATAACCATTATTCCGTCCAATCATGACTACTTTGATTCTTTTAGCTGTGATTATTATTAGTTTATGTTTCAAAATCATGTTATTACATACTAGCTGCTGTTCCATTTTCATTCTGTCTAATCATGATTATTTGGATTTTTACAACTGTGATTATTTTTAATTTTGTCTTTCCAAATAAAATGAAACTAGTAATATTGTTGATGTCCCATTTTCATGCCGTCCATATTTTTCTTGTAAATACCATAGATGAGATACTTCAAAATCAACCATAAGATACGTAATAATCAAAATAACACTTCAAATTTGTATATCTCTATTTCTAAAGTTGAATTGGTTACTATAGCAACACAATGCATAAGCTGATATTGCAAAAGTAGCAAATTAATTCTCCTGATAGTGCTTTTTTATTTTACCTAATTGAAATAAGTTTTTTAGTTCGGTTACACTTAATAACATTTTATTATTAATCATTCAGCCTAATGACTTTGTAAATATAAAATTAGTATCTTCACTTTCAAACAAATTAGGCCAATTTTGAATTTTCTTTTTGTGTTCACAGACCCTTGGCAAAAATGTAAATCAACAGCCCTGCATTATATCTGATTTATGGAACGATTCAACTGAACAAATAAAAGTTGCTTTTAAATCAAAATGATAACAATATGTGTCAATTGTATGAACGTTTTATGGCGATATTTCATTTCATGTGGCATAATTTATTAATTTGATTAAATACCACCCCATTCCACCACCACTTGTCTGAATATTTTTTATCAGATTGATGATTGTTTGTACATCTGAAAGGCATTTGATCAAATCATGTAAACTGTCTATAAATTAGGTAGAGTGTTTATATTACATTATATTACCAAACCATTGATTGTTCTTCAATATATACAACCATACCTGTTAACATTAAGACCCTATAAACGCTGACAAATTTTGAATTTTAAGAATTTTTTTTTTCATTGTTGTTCTGTGCATCAATCTCCTGCTTTGGAGGGTAATTGGTCGTGTCACATGATAATCAGGCGTTTATTTTCCCATGATAACACAATCTTCATTCATTCCTTAAGTAGGCTAGTCATTATCCTCTCTGTCTCTTGTTTAAATCATATTTGCTATCAAGTTATATATTGTGTTTTGTATAGATTATCTATGTATATATATAGTTGTTTATTTATGTACCAAGCAAACCTGTGATTTACAACACCAATAAATAGTATTGTTTTCTTTTAAAAGACTGTATTTGTTATCAATATTGCTGTTTCTGCCAATGGCAAGGCAATGGATGTGTCGACTTAAAGGCATACTACCTCAAAAGATGTCCAAAAAATTGAAATTGTTTAACTTGGCCAAAATGTGGTTTTGTTCATGTGGAGTTACCTGGTGTGAAAACTATACAACAGAATCACTCCATAAACCAATAAATCCACAAAATTAAGTAATAATTCATAAAACTAAGTTATGTTGAAACATGCTTAGAAGCGTTTTTCAATAATTATTTAGTTCAATAGATATATGGTCTTATATAGAGATTCTATTCTTTAGTCATGGAACCTGGTAAGTCTAACTGATGAATATATACACTTGTTGACCAAGTTTGAGACTTTAATGTCCATTCTAAGATGTAGTATTCCTTTAAAGAGGTGTATAAATTATTTATTTTATAACAGGACTTCTGAAAATAATTAAACAAGATATAACACAAGGGCTGAAACAGTTAATCTAATGATAGATATACACATGATATGTAAATTGTCTGAATTCTGTACAGACACGGGTTACATTTTCTCTTGATCAAGGTAGAAAAGCACATTAATAAATTAGAAAGTTATCAGTTCAGGTTCCGACCATTCTTTTAAGAAGATGGTCCTTGATCAAAACCGTTGGCACTGGTGTTTCATGTGATCGCGTAAAATTTTAAAAGATATAGGCTAAAGTTGATTTTGAAAGTAAAATACATACATCTATAAAGTTGGCAAAAGTGACACAAATATCATTTATTTGAAAAAAAAATTTGTTCCAAAGAAAATTCAACTGAAGTGTCCGTCTGCTATAAATTGTTTCAGCCCTTTATAACATCTTCAAAACAATCAAGATTTTAACCATTTACCAACCACACCAAAAGCAGAACTAAATGTCTGTAAAATAGGATGACTAGATCTTGCCCGTAGCAGCAGACTTCCTGCTTCAGCCTCATAACCTTTAGCTTTTAATTCTTGAGCAACCACATCAGGTTTGAGATGATCTGGTAGATCTGGACTACATTGAGCATCAATAAGAACATCCAGTAATAGAGGATAGTAGATTGATGAGACCAATGAAGAAACTAGATGATGTTTTAGTAGAAGGTTGAAAAGCTCAATATCTACTGTACACTGAAAAATTAACAAAACCAAAACGAATTTTTTTTTATGGAAAATGTACTATTTGAATTTGAACTGTCAAAGGAACCTAAATAGGCACAGCCAGTTGGACATAGGGCCTCAGCTTGTTATTCCATCCGAAAACTAGGGGCTATTTCCATGTTAACCCCTCAAAACCGCATACCAATAGTCACACCAAGCTCAAATATAAAATTAATATAAATGTTAATAAAAAGTTACCTGTTTATGATGATTTAAAATCTCTACAGCGTGATGATACAAGTCTGTATGTTGAGATAGTAATAATAGTTTAACACCTTCTATACCTCTAGTGTTCTCAACTAGCTTATCAAATATATATCTGGTACACTAGCAAAAACAAATGTAGATATATTGGCAAAGTGACACTTTGATGCTAAGGTAACCAATGTGATTACTCCACGTCGAAATGAGCAACTTAAAAGAATCTTGTAGGTCAACAGCAAAACTCCATGTTTTTTTAAGGGGAAAATAAAAATCAAATCAAAAGCTTACCATGCTTCAAAAGCAAACCTGCATGATTTTTTAACGAGCAAAAGTTTTTTGAGAGTCAACAGAAAAACAAGCAAAACTACAAGGATTCTTTTACATCAAAAGTGAAACTCAACGAGTCTTGTATGTCACAAGCAAAACTTCAAATATTCAGAGAAAAAATCAAAACCTTCATTTTTTTTGTGTGGGTCAAACAAACCCTATTTGAATTTCGCTTGTCAAGAGCTAAAACCATTATGAATTCAAAAGCAATTCTTGTAGGTCAAATCCAAAAGTTTAACAATTCTATTGGAAAAAAATATGATCCATGTGGAAAAAGAAACATCTCATGAAAGAAACCATTGGAATATTCCCTTTAAGAAAGAATATAAGAATATAAAATAACTTACCTCTAGATTAAGAGGAACATTATTTTCACAGATATCTTCTACGACTGTTACAATCAAACCACTACATAATATATCTTCACTAATAACTTCAAATATCTTTACCCATAAACTACTTTCTTTATCTTGTAATCTATAGCATATATATCAAAAGATATTAAACTTGCACCATCAAAATATGTTTTACATTTCTGCATCTTACTGGGCAAATGAAAACGAATACTGCAATGCAACGTGCCATAAAGGAAATTTTTCCAAGACAGTGGCATTAACTTCATCTTTTTTGATCCTGTCGAGGGATCTTGAACAAAACATATCTGGTACGAAGACAAAATAAAACCATATTTTACAAGGATAATCCTCCAAGATCCTGTTTACCATCTGGTATGTGGCCAAATTTCTTGATATTGATCTTTCCAGGATGGGTAATCTGTACCCAGTTACAGCTTGGTCAATTGAACAAATGAGGAAAGATGACTTATCAAAGCTCACCAAACTCTCTCGCAACAGAGATTATAACCTAAGGCCACCATTTGTGATATGAAACCGACCAAACGACCTACAATTCTAACGCTCTAATCATCTATGCTACAGTCCATCCTCCTCAGTCAATCGAAACAACAGGCCCCTCCAAAATAAAGAAACTGTGTCGCTATTTGATATTGAAAGTTGACTCACTCATATTTGATTTTTGTCGGCCACAGTTTGAGTAGTTGACAAATAGTGGTATATTGGGGTGCTGTAGTACTGTCTTGTAATATTTTATTAAATAATTTAATACGATTATCTTCATTCTTAATATCTTCTTCTGTTATCTACAAACAAATACACAAAAAATAAAATTGATCTTAGCTCTATATCAAAGAACAAACGTTATTTCATAAATAATTTCAACTGTTAAACTCACTTCTGACTTGGAAATTGCAATTTAAGAAATGGAACATAATAGGTGTTAGGTTTGGCTTAAAGCATCATGAACGCATGCATTTTTGCAATATTTGATAAAGCAAGACCAAACATCAGAACAGTCTAAAAAATCAATTGATATTACTATAAACAAGAGAAGTATTACCTGTATTTGTGTCGAGGCTTGTGATAAAACAGCTTGAGTTCTGTAGAGATTTAATAACACACTATCTTCATCACTCAAATCAAAACTCTGCCAACAAAAAATAACATAGAACATATACCATTGGGGAATGAACTAATCATTAAGATACATTACATAAACTCTGTTAGCATTTTTGTCAAATATAGTTAGATTTTTCAAATATTCTGCATCAATACTAATATTCCTTACTCTTCTTTCAAATTATAATTTTCAAAATTAAGCCAGTGAATTCTCATTCACAAAGCATGAATTAGTGAAGGCAAAGTTTGTGTCCCATTATTGAGGCAGGTCATTTAGGATTATCTTTTCTTTCTCTATTTCTATATGAAATATTCTCACCTTTCCTAAAATATTCAAAACATCTAATCTAGGTTGAACACCAACAGTAGAATCTGAACAAAATGGCCGTAGTAATACCATAATATCTTCAGATTTGACCAACTCCCCACTGCATAAAAGAAATGACATAAAGACTTCCATTAATACCACAGGCAGAAATAGAAACAAATAATCATTTTTTGCTATGCACATATGAAAAGTTTTTCCACATGCATTTGACACATTAGTTGATAACCTTAAGGCAGGTGTGATTGCTAATGGCCATTGCAATAAAAACGCCACAAATTTCTTGAATGCAAGCAATAAGGACGTACTGGCTTGATTAAAGGCAAAAAAGCCTTTTTACAAATCCTTTCATACTTATATTCATTTAAGTAATTTCTCTCAATCACCAACTTACCCACTCTCTTCATGTTCTTTTACATTAGTAACAATCATTTCTAATGAATTTAAACAGTCATCTTGTTTTATATTTAAAACATCTTCTCCCCTATACAATAGAATACAGCAAAATCATAATGATTGAAGGTGAGGTTATCTAACTTATTTGTGCTTGGGACAATCAAGCTTCTATTTCCACCATGTTTAGTCCGAGCCCGACATATCTCATTCTGAAAAACTTGATCCGATTATGACTTCACTAATACAAAACCCTCATAGCTTGAAAGATATTTTCAACAGTAGCAACTTCATCTGGTCTGGAATTACAGAATCCACAGACAATGTCCCTGATACCCATAAGAAATTTAGGAGATGGGTATAGCTGTATTAGGTCTACACCAAGGTAGGTCGTACACCAATCCAAACAAGGTATGCAAATTGGTTCTGATATCCTGGAAAATTTCATTTCATTTCAAATGAAAAACGAAAATTATTTCATTGTATTCTAAAGAATGCAATCAAAAAAAAAAAACAGGCCAGATGTGATAAAAGTTATGTCCCTTCCCTTCAGATTTGGACAAGCATGATAAACATGGATGGAGCTTGATTGGTGAGTTCTGAACAGGTTCTGTTTGTTCTAATTCTTGCCTCAATTGAAGAGATTATGTCACATTCAACATTTTTATTTCTATTCCCTTCTCCGCCATTTTGAATTCTGTTTTCACCTACTATTTTTTCATACATACATCAAGCTAAAGAAAGAATGTAACCTTATCTTATCTTCTAGTAAATGTATAGAATCTTGAAGAGCTGTTTGAACTGTAAACTCTGGTAAAGGTGATATTTGTAAAACATCATCGACTAAATCAGGTGTCTGTCCATCTAACATCATCTTAATATACAACTTCTCTAACTAAAAAACATTCATAATTTCTCTTATGGTTGAACATGTCTTAGTCAGCCAAAATATAAACATGACCAGTACATTTTATTTCTAGGTAGTTTAAGTAGTAATCAATACAATGTGTTTTGAGTCCACATAGGTTCTATTACTATTTATTCTACCTAGAAATAAAATGGATTGCTCCTGTTTATGTTTTGAATAAGTTTTTGGAAATAAATTTCAGAAGGGAATTTTCAGTCATAAATTTCACAAGTACTTTCTGGGTGGGAAGTAGCTTCCAAATGTAAAATCATCAAATTATATTTATGAAAAAGTCAGAGATGCCTGTGCCTGTGCCTTTGTAGCATTATTTAACTGCAATGTTACAACCTAAAACTCCGAAGTCATGAACATGAATGTATATGCCTTTTTATTCCATATGTACATTAAGGTTAAGGAAAACATCAAATGCCACATAAACATAAGTCCAAAGTAAAAGAAGCCTTCTGTTACCTTGTCTTGTCTTCCAGCAGATAAATCATACATCTCAGCATACTGTATATAGACAGGGTCTTCAACTTGACTGAATGATCGTAATACATCATTAGATAGATTATCTAGATGTAATAATCTATATTGTAGATTTGATAATACATCTTCCCATGTTACAGAACTAAAATAGTAATATAAATTATATCTATAAGAGATTATCTAGATGTAATAATCTATATTGTAGATTTAATAATACATCTTCCCATGTTACTGAACTGAAATAGTAATATAAATTATATCTATAAGAGATAATCTAGATGTAATAATCTATATTGTAGATTTGATAATACATCTTCCCATGTTACAGAACTAAAATAGTAATATAAATTATATCTATAAGAGATTATCTAGATGTAATAATCTATATTGTAGATTTAATAATACATCTTCCCATGTTACTGAACTGAAATAGTAATATAAATTATATCTATAAGAGATTATCTAGATGTAATAATCTATATTGTAGATTTGATAATACATCTTCCCATGTTACAGAACTAAAATAGTAATATAAATTATATCTATAAGAGATTATCTAGATGTAATAATCTATATTGTAGATTTGATAATACATCTTCCCATGTTACAGAACTAAAATAGTAATATAAATTATATCTATAAGAGATTATCTAGATGTAATAATCTATATTGTAGATTTGATAATACATCTTCCCATGTTACAGAACTAAAATAGTAATATAAATTATATCTATAAGAGATTATCTATCTTAACTAAAAGAGTCATAATCGCTGTTAACTAAACTGTTAGTCATTATAGAGAAATAAGATGAAGATTGGCCAAGCATGTTTTTTCTACTCATTTATAAAATAAACTTTGAAAAAAAAACACCCAAAAAAATACTAGTGGTTATATATACCTTGACTTGTCTTTTAATTTGGTAGGTTGTTTACAGAATTTAATAGCTCTTTCTATTATAGCTTTACGATTCTCTAAACTAAGCTGAAATACAATTTTTTCAAAAATGAAATTTATTGCAAGAATTTGGATATCTACATTTTGGTCTGTGCACTGGGCCAAGTAAATTCACATTGCCCGCATTGATTCACTGTGACTAATAATGATGAACATATTGTCCTTTCAAGTACTTAAAGGTGCGGGCACACAAACAGTTTTGATCAGCAACGCGAAAATCTTGTGGTGGAAACACGGGTTCATGCGAGATTTATATTGTGTACTCTTATATTTTATCTAACAAAATCTTTTTTAAAGTCTATCCTGATAATGATGTAGCTATAAATCGCAAGCAGAAATCAATGTTCAATAGTGAATATACAAGAATTCTTCACAAGTAGTCCAGCAGCTCACTAAAATATCATTTGAATGGTTAATTTTCAGATAAAAGTCCATAAAACTATAATAAACAATGTAAATTTAATTTTAAAATAAAAAAACTTACCCTTTCTCTAGATGGTTTAGAAAAGACAATTTCATCTATAAACTGTTGAAAATCTTCAGGTAGCATTCCTTGTACAGTTTTCTTACAGGCTTCATATCTTTCTATCCAATTTACCTAGAATAATATTGATAAAGTTACAAAATGCACCAATTGCAACAGGGCCTTGTGTGATAAAGCATATATCTTGTTTAGTGATGTCATCAAACACTCAGTATTAGTGGAAGTGCAGAAACCAGAGACGTTTGATTGAAAATTGGAATGGTTAGAATTGATGGTATCAGTGTCCACGATACACATATTAATTTAGAAAACCTCTTTACAATCCCTTTAAGGTGGCAACAGGAGCAATTACCAAAATGTCTAGATGGCAATAGGGGCAATTTGCAAAATGTCTAGGTGGCAATAGAGGCAATTTGCAAAATGTCTAGGTGGCAAAAAGAGCAATTTACAGAAATTATTTCTCCTACCTTAGCTTTTGAAGATGTTGTTTTGGAATCACCTTGCCAGAATAATTTCACAGCCCATATTCTATAGATTACGCTGGGATCCAAAAACTGACCATTCTGAAACGGAGAATCAGACAGCAAATGATACAGGCTGATGCAACCAAAAATCCATAGAGAACAGTTTTTACCTCTTAGAGATTCAAACTCATCTTGTTCAGTGACTTTGTTTAATTTGTTCATATGACTCAAATCCAAACCTTGAACAGTTAACCTCCATTTCTAAACCAGCCTTCGAGCTGAGAATTTTATATTTGAAACATGTATCAACAGAATGAGTTGAGCCTTTACTAATTTGAATTCAAGAGTCTTTGTATAATAACAAACTCTCATTCCATGAGTTCCCTTCACTTTTATACAATAGACAATGAACAATTTTCAAATTTTTTAATTTAAACGATACACACATACCCCAGCTGGTATACTTGAGGCATATCTAGCAAATGTATTAATAGTTTCATTAGAAAGTAATGGTTCAATAATATCTAGCGGATCATTCTTCTCACTTATCAATTCTTTATAGTCTAAATCTGAAATAAAACATTAAACCATTTCTTCAAGAATGTAATGTATTGCCTGGAAACATAATGCTAACTTACCTGGCCAAATATTCTTAATAGGTCTTAATGCTAGGATGTCCTAGATACAGTGTTAAAAGTAAATACCCTAGGATATCGCAGTGCTAAGATCGTTCAGATAACACACTGCCAGGCGACATATTCTCGAAACGATTTTAGCGTTATGATGTCCTAGGTTCTTATCTTCTAACATTGATTCTAGGACATCTTAGCAATAAGATCGTTCAGAGAACACACTGTCTGGGGACCTAATAATCAGCTCTAAAATTACTTCAATAAAAGCTTTAATGTGCAGTTGGCTTTGGAGGCACTAAGAACAAGGGCAATAACTCATACTGAATATTTTCCAATTCTTCTGCTTTCCGATAGGGTTCATCCTTGGTTGATAACAAACACTCACACCAAGTGGGCATATAAAAATGGGTGAAAACTTTCATAACAATATGCAATTATACTTACTAGGCATTTTAATTTTGTTGATTAATTTCATATGAGCCTCTGGTGATAAATCACGTAAAACAGCTGTTTGATGGTTATTCAATAAGAAGAAATAGTACTGTAAGCGTTGGTTATCGGTACCATCAATACTAGGATAAACATATTGGTACATTCTCTTACAAAACTCTTCCATATTAGTACTTAATTCTTTTATCAATTCTTTCTTCTGTACTTGTTGTTTAAGTTCTTCTGTTTTCAATCTGTGGTAAATAGATTCCATTAAATGAGTATGAATATATACCTAGTCCATGCAGTGTACAATGAGCAAAATTTTGCCAGGACAGCAGCATTAGCCTAGTCTTTTTCGATTTCCAACTGTCTAGTGTTCTTTAACGGCACAGTCAGTAGACTACAGGGCCTCCGTTTATTTTTCATCTGAATGACTAGACGCATTTTCCAAATCAGTCACGGGGAAAAATCCAAAGGTATCATCTCCACTTTTGCCAGGATTAAACCCTGGAGCTTCAGGTTAGCGAGCAAGTATCTAACTCACTGAGCAAAGAAGAATAATGGAGCATTATGTCACTTTCCGCTCCTGCTTGGGATAATGAATATGAACAGTGTCATATAGTATAACAAAAATTGCCAGGACAGCTGCATTTGCATATTTTTGAATTTCAAAGTATTGAAGAATCTGTCATATGCCCAACCTGCATCAAACCTGGGTCAGTTTAATGAGCTATCAAAAGGATTTTTTAGTGTCATTGATATTTTTTAAACTACAGATTAAAACGATAACAATGTAGTAACAGGAAAAATATAAATAAAAATATTGCAACAAACTTACCCACTGTCAGTAAATAGAAATTCTAAATGAGTCATATACACTTCCCACATAGAGACATCATATCTTTTAGCTAGAGTTTTACTGATATTATAAACATCATCTTCTATACTCCTACAATAAATATTAAATATATAAATATCATTTCTTATAGCTAGAGTTTTACTGTTATTATAAACATCATCTTCTATACTCCTACAATAAATATTAAATATATAAATATCATTTCTTATAGCTAGAGTTTTACTGATATTATAAACATCATCTTCTATACTCCTACAATAAATATTAAATATATAAACATCACATCTTCTAGCTAGAGTTTTACTGTTATTATAAACATAATCTTCTAAACATCATTGTTGTCAATTTGAATGTCAAATTTTAAGCTCTATGGGTGGCTGAAATTGAGCAAATTCAGCAGCTAAAGCAGATATTTTTACCACTTTCCCTGTAATATAGAAACTATAACTTACATAGCTAAACCAAGTATTGTTTCTTGTTTATAATCTTGATCATCAGTAAACCTTACAACATCCACACCTAAAATATAATATTCATTCTAATCATTAGTCTGTAAAAGCACTGGCTGTAACACCATATATTTTCTTAAAACAAAAGTGGCTTGAAACTATGCCACATATTTGCTTATTACAAATCCATAATTCACCTAGATTATAGCTATGCTATATTAGTTTTAAATAACAAAGAATGCTCCAAATTTCTTATTTTGATACCAAACATACAACATAAGCCATGTCAGAATTAATCTTTTCTGTAAATTCTACAGTAAAAATATTACTCAAATTATTACCTTTTCCAAGATTCTTCAGTATTTTAGCTTGGTTATAATCTTCTAACATTTCACTGTAATTCTTCAATTTGGGTATCAATTCTTCTATCTCTTTAGGCCAAGCTGATTTCTTACTGGTCATAATATATGTTAAGACTTTCTCTATGATAATATTAGGATCATGCTGGTATAGACTATATTGATGAGGGTCAGTATTGGGTTTGATATGACTATAAACTTGTAAGGCATAGTAATAAACAGCTAGTTGAAGAGAGATAGCTGTACTAGGAAATTCTTCAAAGCACTTGGATGATTCCACTGGCTACAGATAAAAAGAAGATAAGAAAAGAAATGAAATGAGAGATTAACTGGGTCAATAATATTAATCCCCTCTAGTGTGGAACGAGAAAAATTCTGTACAGACAACTTTGTTATTGTTCGTTAATGAAAGTGGATAATTTTACATCCTATTGGAACAATGAGACATGTCTTCATTTCTCAACGTTGCTTAAACCACGCCTTCTTAATAAATAGATCAGAACTGGCTTCACTTTATCGTAATAGTTTTCAATGAAGCGGTAATTCTAGCCATTCAAAACACCTTTTTCATGGGAGATGGGATGACTGTACTTGGACATTACCAATTGACTAATACAAATTAAATACATGTACTATCAAGCCATTATAAGCCAGGACATTGATTGACTGATGTGAAATGTGTTGAAGAGACAATGAATAATACTTACATGAGGTAAAGCTAGGAGATATGCTAAACCTAACGATGTATCACATGGTAATACAGATTCAGCTAACTTCAACAACACTACAAATATATGAATGATAATTCTATCATGTACAGTACAATTAATTACACATTTATTGATAATGAAGGTTGGCAATTTAAAAGACATGTTTTCAAGCCATATAGTTTCTACTATCAAAGCTAGAGCTATAACTATATCAACATTGTAGCTATCTCAACAATTGTCCTTGGTAACAAGAAAACCTTGGTGGCGTGTATTTAATTACTCATGGAATCAACAGGAAGTTCAACAAAATGCAGTTCAGAATGCATTCCACATGCGTAACAAAATGTAGGAATAGAAAAAAAATGACATATAGATTTTTTAGAAGCTTTATGTTCATATTATATTTTGACAAGAAGCCAAGTTTTCAAATTTCTATATACACTTATATAACATTTCAAGAGCATTCTAAGTCAAATACATGTGTTTTAGAATATCCACTTTAAGGTATGCATATATATCTGAACACAAATTGTGTGAGCTTACCTTCATTAACAGGCTGTGAGTTCTCAGTTAAAATTTCTTCTAATTTAGCTGTACGTAGTATAGTCTCACTCATTTCTATATCTCTATTTATTTCAAATTCACCATTACTATAGTCAATGTATGTCTGAAATAATTTAAATAATTCAGAGGCCATTTTAGATAAATATGACAATCAGACAAAAAATACAATGATTAGAAAATACCAGCTTAAAAATTCAAATGTTAAAATATCATAAAGCCCTAATTGACTTTTGGAGCAGATTGGAGAAGGACTCCATATAAAAAATGGCGTAGAAGTCCATTCTTCACACTGGCTATTTGCACCATCACAGTGCGTATTGTCTTTGTATTCAATCTTTTCCATTCTGTTGTTAGCAGCCAATGGGGGGAGATTCATTTGTGTTGGGCATGCATAATGGATTATTTCCCCCTGTCTCCAAGCTAGTTTTTTTTCTCGCGTGTGAAGCCATATGGATAGTTAAAAATGCTATCAAGTGAGTTTTTGAGGTTAGGTCATAGGTGCAAAGATTTATTCATAGCAAATCTTTCACCGTTCAAAATTTGTTAGCTGTAGGAATTTTACTTACTGATGAACAATAGGCTTCAGGAAGAACTGTATGATAAAATGGATGACAACCCAACTTAGTCATTTTCACGTTTTTATCATCGTATTTTTCTTCCATACTTTTCTGTCTGGATGTAGGATGTTTTAAAGTCTTTATGGCACCCTGCCACCATTTTTTATCAGTTACAGACGACAAAACAGCCTTTGTTGTTTTACTTGTAGAAGACAAGATTTGATTGGCTTGTAAAATGGCCGTCTGGGCAGTAAAGGGAGATAACCTCTTGCCTTCTGTGCTTTCATGGTGATTATTATCTCCACTGCTGTGATCTATTGTACCATTTATTTTCTCATATAATATCTATGAAGGAAAAACATTTGAGAACTGATGACTCTTGAAAAAGTTTCGCATTAATTTTACAGAATAAATTCAGAGAGAATATCGTCATTTTACTTTCTAGAATGTCAAAGCTGCATTATTCTACAATTGGTAGGCAACACCATGTGACGTGTATTATGGAAAATTTTCTTGAGACAAATTGATAACTGCCTCTGTCATTTTGAATTCTGTCTACACCTACTGTTTTTAGGTACATGTGGAACTCGTTCTGAACATTGTCCAGTTTATTCCATAAATTCGGAATGTGCAGAAGTCACCAATCTAGCGCTCGCCTTAATTCAAAACTTTATTAAATAGTTATACAGACCTGTCTTTCAAGTAGAGATCTAGCTTGTAGTATACGTTCTATCATATCTGGTGTACAATAAGCTACTGCATATGATAACAATTCAATTCTGTAATATACAGTTAAAAATTAAACTATATTCAGGACGGTGTATGTAATTTTTAAATTTGATAATTCTTCCATAAAACACAGGGGAAAACCCCATATAACTGGCTTAAATATCAAAAAATGTCCCCAAAGATCAAAATAATATCTGGATAAAGCTTCAATCAAACAAGATTGGCAAATACATAGAAGAATCAACATTTCTGTTTTGCTACCAATCTCCAGTGTAGGCCTATAGTAAGGGACTTACTTGGCATTGATGTTAGTAAATTCTTTAACTTCAGCTAAATCAACTAACGCTGTCCAACCTGGACCATAATTCAACAATAATAATCTTTGACACAGTTCATAGGCTACTGTAAAATCTTTATTCTAAAACAAAATTACAAAGGACTGGTGTCACAAAAAATACTTCTAGTGCATCATCATGTCATCTATTATATCTATCAATTTCAAACAGATACCCACTTGAGCTTGGGATGGAAAAAATCACACAGCCTTTGACTGAGACTCCATTTGGATGAAAAATGCCCTGATAGGTACTTCAAAGATCTACAACCTTGGGATAAGATGTCAGAACCATCGTAATTGTCACATAATCTTCAATGGACATTGATTAATTGATTGCAGTGATATCATCAACCATCAAATGTATAGATGTCAAATAGATACACGAAGCATAAATTACTATCTTACAACTTTTCAGCTTATTATGCGTATGTGTGACAAAGGCTTAATAGAGCAAGGGATCAAGGAAGTTCAAAGTTTGGAACTGCAGATCTACAAAATTAAATACTGTATATTTGTGTGTATTATGCACAGTTTTTTACCCTAGACAATCATACCTACCTTGATAGCAGCATTAGCTATTATTAGTAATATTTTACCATCTCGATCATTTTTATCTTCACAATCAACTCTTAATAAATGTCCTAGTTTCAATAGCTGAAATAATAGTAGACTCAAAGATAGTGGACCATAGCCATATACGCCCACCTCGGCATGCAGATGATAAATATTCAAGATTTTGGGGCAAGGGCAATAACTCTGCTTCTAACAGTTGAAAATAGCTCAAATTCGAACTTGATCTTCGTTTTATGTATATGTATACACATACCAAATTTCATTTGATTCCATCAAAAAATCTACGGACAGATAGGGGTGCCAACAATATACGTCCACATAGAGAGATGTGGGTGTATAAAAATAATGTTAACAAATTATTTCTTTGTCATGATGCTTTAAAGTCAATGGCTGATTTGGGTTTTGAATATATGTAAATATTTTTCAGTTTTTTTATGTTTCCTATGCAGATTGCAGATGTTACTTACATCATGGTTGTCAATAAGGTTCATTTTATGAAATTATTTTTGCACAATATCATTCAGATGAGAAACAAAGCAGTGTGCAACGAGAAGAATGCCAAGTTTTGATACCCACCTTTTCTGACTGTTTATAAGCATTAGGTCTGGTATTGGCTGCCTCTTTAACTAATGTTAATCTATCAGAATGTAACCGTACTAAAAATATTATACAACAATAACTAATAAAATTAGACAATCTAATGTAAATTGTTAATCATATCTTTTTTTTTTATACATAAACCTTTTTTTTTGACATTTCTGCTCAATATTAACAATATCGTTTGCTTGAAAAGGTATTCTGAAACTTAATAACTTTTCTTAACTCTGATTAGTATTAGTGACAAAAGTCTGCAAAATATCAAACTTTTCGACTGCTATGACATTGACTTCCTACAGACAGACAATACAATACAGCGTGCAATGAGACCAATATCGCATTAAGAGCAGCATTAGCCTGCTCTTCCTCCATTTCAAGCTTTCGAAGTATCTTTGTTGGGCTCATCTGATGGCATTATGTCTCAATCAAGGTACCCATTATATATATAGCATTAGATCCTAATTACCTTGAAGTGGTAAGACACCAACACCAAAATCATCTAATAAGGCTAAGGAAGCAATTAAATCTAATTCTTGTTGAATGATAGCTGGAGTATCAGTTATTAATGAGAGACATGATCTAGAAAATAAAAAATAAATACATTAGTCTTTTAAACATGTACATCTTGCATACATGCCTCGCAAGTGTTGTATGATGTAGATGAAGTTTGCTTCTTACAGAGAAATTGCAGAGGGCCATACAGAAAAGACTTATATTTTCAAGAACAGTAGCCTTCTCTTATTTGATTTTCAATTTTTGGGGATCTATTTCCAGCCTTGATGTACATTGGCAATCTTTTCCTGATTATCTGTATCCATTTACAGATTGGTCGACAATGAATCAGTGAAGATGACTTATTCAAGGTACAACCAACTTTGAAAAATGTCTGATTGACAAAAAAGTAAACCAACAGCCCTGCAACACTCTAATACTGACCTGGCAAGTTCCATACAAGAATCCATAAGATTTGTAGAGGAGTTGAAATATTCTCTAGCAGCAGATAAAGTTAACTGTATAGCTTGTTTATATTGAACTCTATTAGTAGTTCTATTATCATCATTATATTGTTCTATTAATTCACCAGCTAGTTTTATATTATCTAGTCTACTAGAACATAGTAAACTTTCTACAAATATCTGAAATTAAGTAAACTTTCTACAAATATCTGAAATTAAGTAAATATTCTACAAATATCTAAAGTAAACTTTCTAAAAATATCTGAAACTTTCTAAAAATATCTGAAATTATGTAAATATTCTACAAATATCTGAAATTAAGTAAACTTTCTACAAATATCTGAAATTAAGTAAACTTTCTAAAAATATCTGAAATTAAGTAAATATTCTACAAATATCTAAAGTAAACTTTCTAAAAATATCTGAAATTAAGTAAACTTTCTACAAATATCTCAAATTATATAAGTAAACATTCTACAAATATCTCAAATTATGTAAGTAAACATTCTAAAAAAATCTGACATTAAGTAAACTTTCTACAAATATCTGAAATTAAGTAAACTTTCTACAAAAATCTGAAATTAAGTAAACATTCTACAAATATCTGAAATTACGTGAACATTCTACAAATATCTGAAATTAAGTAAACTTTCTACGAATATCTGAAATTAAGTAACTTTCTACAAATATCTGAAATTAAGTAAACTTTCTACCAATATCTGTAAATTTTCTACAAAGATCTAAACTTAAGTTAACATTCTACAAATATCTGATATTAGGTAAACTTTCTACAAATATCTGAAATTAAGTAAACGTAAGCGTTTTATGATGTCATTAGGGCATATAAAGCATATCATTTGATTAATGACATCATCAAACACTTAGTTTTAGTCAGTGTCCCCATTGTACATAAAAAAATTAAGAAAACCTTCTTACAATCCCTTTAAATGATTTTGATAAAATTAGCAAATTATTAGTATAACAAATGAACATACCTCTTGACATTCACTTTGTGGTAGACACCTATAGACTTTATCTTGTATTTCAATAATATCATCATATAACCTCATCCATTCACTACCTTTTAAATATGGTACTCTGAAAATAACATTTTCAAGATCAAAACAAAGCATGCTAGACATGATAACAAAAGCCCACTGCCACCTTTTGAGAAACTTAAAAGAATTTGACTGATCTAAAACTATTATCAATGTGAAATACATTTATATCTTAGAAATATACATTCTTTGTGGACTAATATTAATTATTTTTCAGAGGATAGATTCAGAGAATGACAAAATGGATGAAAGAGTATCTCAAGTACTAACTGATTAGATGATAATCTTGTCAGCTTCGTTATCAATGATTTAGCTTCTTCATAATCATCCTTAAATGTAAAAAAACACAAATTAATCCTGAACGAAATAGCTGCAGTAACCAATAAAATTAGTCCAATCTTGTGAGGGAAGGGATCTTTAATGTTAGTCCAATCTTGTGAGGGAAGGAATCTTTAATGATAATCCAATCTTGTGAGGGAAGGGATCTTTAACGTTAGTCCAATCATGTTAGGGAAGGGATCTTTAACGTTAGTCCAATCATGTTAGGGAAGGGATCTTTAACGTTAGTCCAATCATGTTAGGGAAGGGATCTTTAACGTTAGTCCAATCTTGTTAGGGAAGGGATCTTTAATGATAATCCAATCTTGTGAGGGAAAGGATCTTTAATGTTAGTCCAATCTTGTGAGGGAAGGGATCTTTAATGTTAGTCCAATCTTGTGAGGGAAGGAATCTTTAATGATAATCCAATCTTGTGAGGGAAGGGATCTTTAACGTTAGTCCAATCATGTTAGGGAAGGGATCTTTAACGTTAGTCCAATCATGTTAGGGAAGGGATCTTTAACGTTAGTCCAATCTTGTTAGGGAAGGGATCTTTAACGTTAGTCCAATCTTGTTAGGGAAGGGATCTTTAACGTTAGTCCAATCATGTTAGGGAAGGGATCTTTAACGTTAGTCCAATCATGTTAGGGAAGGGATCTTTAACGTTAGTCCAATCATGTTAGGGAAGGGATCTTTAACGTTAGTCCAATCATGTTAGGGAAGGGATCTTTAACGTTAGTCCAATCTTGTTAGGGAAGGGATCTTTAATGATAATCCAATCTTGTGAGGGAAGGGATCTTTAATGTTAGTCCAATCTTGTGATGGAAGGGATCTTTAATGTTAGTCCAATCTTGTGATGGAAGGGATCTTTAATGTTAGTCCAATCTTGTTAGGGAAGGGATCTTTAATGATAATCCAATCTTGTGAGGGAAGGGATCTTTAATGTTAGTCCAATCTTGTGATGGAAGGGATCTTTCATGTCTTTTGATTATAGTATAAAAAGTTAGTAAGAGTTTTCAATATGTGTCAAGTTCCCAACTCACTGTACCTGACACAGCTCAATAAACCAGCACAGAAAACATGATGTAAATATGAAAACATATCATTTGCAAGACAAAATAACATCAAACCAGAAAACTTACTTGAGTCTGTTTAATAAAACAAACTGGTTTCTTTATACCATGATTCTTTAACAATTTAACAACTCTGATCAACAAAAATAATAAATTCTTACATTTTAAATGTTTTATGTTATACTATTACTTTGATCATAGTTCAGTCAAAATATTTTCTATTATTCAAACCTTTACATCAGCAGTGTTGAGTATCCAAATTATATACTTAACCTTTTGAACCCTAAGTGTGAATGGAATATAATGTCATATACCCCAAACTCCAAGTAAAAAAAGTAAAAGTGTATGACGATAACGCTTAGTATACCGGCGACTCGGGTATATATTGCTTTAGTGTGTGGCTGGTAAACTGGCTGGTTAAAAGTGTTAAGGTCTACATATGCTGTTATGCACAAATGTTGATGTCCATGTCTATTCTGTTTCTAACAGCAGACAATGCTACAGTTGTTTTCAAGGTTTTAAAAATGATTACGTAATTCTTACCGAAGTTGTCTCTCTAATTTGTCTATTTCTTTATGAAGTTTCTTAATTTCAGGTGAACTATCACTATAAAGAATAAAGAAATGGTTTTTTTTTCAGCTTCTACTTAAATAATCAACCTTTTTGATTTAAGAGTGAATTGAATGATGTAGAAAAAAATCATAAATGGTCAAGAAACACACAAAAAATTTAGCAAACCTCATTACATATAAAGTAACTTATTTAACAATTTGAAAGACAGCTGCCATTAGCAGAAAAAGAAAGTAAATAATCTTATTATGAATCTAAATTTTATACTCACTTTGTAGTTTTAGCTGGTAAACATTGAAATATATCTAATGCTTCTTGTAACTGATCATCACTAAAAGATAAAGATCATTTTCAAAACTAACACATCTATACCTCAATATATAATGTTCTATTAAAGGGACAATTGTACCTCAGAAACAAAAAATTATTAGTTAAAGGGGAACAGTGCTTTAATAGGCTTAAAAAGTACTAAAATGCACAAAAATTGAATAATCCCTTCAAATATACCTCAAATTAGAAATTTCAGTGTCTATTCCTACATATGTGTTTTCTATATATGGCATAGTCTCCCTAAATTTGAGTGAATTTTTTAACTTTCAAACATGAATAATTATGGATACACATAGATTTGAAGGCTCAAATTTCGACGATGAGCTTGAACACTATTACTGATAATGTAAGCTAAAATAAATTCCTGTTTCTGAAACTAAGGTACGATTGGTTGAATGGATAGTGAAGGTGCTCCTTTAAGCTAAACAGTAATAGTATTTACAGCTCACTGTCACAATTTGAGGTATATTTGAAGGAATTATGCAATTTTTGTGCAATTGAAAATGAAATGAAATGAATGGAGTTTTACGTCCTACTTTTCTGCTGCAATTTGTGTGCAGTTCTAGTACTTCTAAAAACTATTTACATATATTCAAATCTACCCTCAAAAATGATGAACCATGAAGAATATGAAATATGAAGTCACCAAATATACAATTTAAAAATAATTTCATCATTTGCAACACTTGGTGTCTAATTTTATGTTTTAATATTGCCTAAAATCTTGACATTTGAATTAAATTCTTACCGTTGACAAGAATATATAGATTCTAATGCCCAGCTCATTAATTCAACTTGTGTTGGAATTACAGGGAAAGATTCCTTTAATAAAACAGAAATCATAAATGTTAATATCAATATTGGTTTAAGTGGATATTTTGTGAAAGATCTATGCCAAGAGGTTTGGCCAAGGACAAATTGGAAGAAAGGATCCATGTGAACTTAAGTTGCTATCATAAAAAAAGGTTAATTCTTTTCTTTCTAAGCTAACTCTTAAATTCTTAATAGTGATATACAGAGAAAAATATCAACTTACATGTGGTAAAGAAGTTTGAAAGATTTTTACTATCAATGATAAATCATTCACAGCTTCTTCTATAATATATTGTTTTAATAGCTGACTGTATGAACCTGCTCTATGGCGTTCACATTGTTTCAAATATGGCACAACCCATCTTCTGACATTCTTGGTATACATTTCAACTGATGACTGAAAATAAAAGTAAATTGTTTCGTATCACACGAGAGAATATAATTCAATTAATCATAGGTATAAGATGATTTTGATTAAAATAATTTTTTAATCCAATTAGCATCAACATGTGAACACTCAAAAGGAAATTCTGAGATAAATACTGAATTGCTTTGCCTCATTAGCTTGATAATGATAATGATAATGTTAATGATAATAGATAATAGACTCCAAAACACTCATTAAGGAATCAGCAACTTTCTCAAAGCCGAGCACACACTGACTGAATTTTTGATAAAATGAAATAGGAAATCTATAGGAATCATGTCAGTGCACACTTGCCATCTTGGGAGCTTCCAGAGTCTTCAGCAAAGTAAGTGAAATGAACAATATGGCGTCTAAAGTTAATAATGCTTAGCTGTAAAGCCCTGGCATTTCCAACCAGATTCAGATGAACCTTGACATAAAAATCATAATTGACCAATAGATGGCTTTATTTTAAAACAGACAAATTTGATCGATCAGATCATGCCAATAAATGCAAGTAGTATATGCACAATGTCTTCTGAATCTTCAAGTTACTTGTTCAGAAGGAGCAACCATTTTGATTGGTTCTATCAAGATTTTATAAGAGCAGTTTTCATTGGCTGAAATTGTTCCATTCTGAAACATTGCTGTTTGCTATTCAATATGTAAAGTTGGAATAGATCTAGATTAGAGAGCATGGAAACATCAAAATTAAACATTAGAAATTATGGTACCTTTGAGAATATAAGTTTTAACTTGTCATAATCTGACATATTCTGTATTTTATCAAAGGATAAATTATCTGATATATTACATTCATATACCAACATTTCCATAGTAAACATATCATCTAACAAATCTTCTAAATCCTGAGACAAAAGAAATGGAGTTTTACATCCTACTATTTTCATCCTTATTAAGTAAATGACAGGCAATGCCTTTCAGTGTGAAACAAGTCAAAGAATCTTTGAATATTCATCTTGTAACACACAGTGACTCTGTTTTTCATCTGATGCAATCTACAACACACCTTTCAAAACGTGACTGACAGTGGGTCGATGTTTTGAAAATTTGAAGGTACTATCTCATCTTAAGGCGATACTGAACGGTTCAATTGGAACCTCAGCCTGCATGTAAGCGAGCATGCTGACTCTTTTACTCGCTTTTTCAAATATTCAAACGGTTATACAAATTTCATTAGATCACATAACTGTGCTCTTGTCTATGCATAAAATGACACAATCCGATATGGAATTTTCTCCTGGTCCAAAGGCCAAATATATCGAAAGACCCTTTAGTTAAAACTCAAAATGTTCTTTAGAATTACCTGTATTCCATGCTTTACACCTATTTTAACTAATTCAACACTATTATCAACCTGTCTGGATAATCTTTCTATTTCACATGCTCTGTATTGATACCACTGTGTTAATAATTCACTGGACAACTGTTCTACCCTATAAACAAACTAGCATGTTAGAATGAAATAAGCTCAATTGGTAGGTGCAGTAGGTTCAAATCCTACATCAAGTAAAACAAATCTGATGCCAAGGCCTGTGCTTCTGCAACCCCTATCACAAGAATACATCCATATTACCACTCAAACACATTTGTGAATAAGGTCTATGATACAATCCGAGAAGCCACTCTTACCTAAATGATTTAAGATTAGGATTTTCTTCATAAAGAAATGTTCCTAAATCAACAGGATTTGGATAAACTGCTAACCTACAAAAAGAAAATAATTCAATTGATATCTACAAATACTCAATAGTACTGGCACGATACATAGGTGTACCGTTACATTGTGATACAATATGTATCTCTTATCATGTATCAATACTGAGAGATTCATGTTTATATGTATTACAGTTAATATATAAGAGACATCTGCCAGTTGATACATTGTCTATCTAAATACTAACCTAAATTCATCTTCTTCAACCCAATCTATGTTTCTCCATGTATCTGTTACCCATTCCTCTATACTACCATCTTTCCTATAACATATAGATTCTTACATGACTTTTCTTAGTAAGAAATCAGAATGGAGAAAGGACAGGGCAAATTGTGTCAATCTGGTATATCTATTGCACATAAATTGTGTCTTCTTGTTCAATCTACAATCCATAAGCTATCACCTATCAAGTCCCTGTAGAAAGACTTCCTTCATTTCAATTTAAAGACAGGAATGCTATCCCTTTCAGTGCACCTGGTACTACTCTGCAACAGGGTTTATCAACAAGATATACTTTAAAAAGAGTGTACATAGCTTATATACTGTTCATTTGGAAGAAATTGGTGATTGTAATCATTTTTACCTGATAATTGGAAGCAGAGATTGATAATCTGATGGTGCCATTGTTTCAGGAAAATTTGATAAAATAGCCAGCCTGTGAACAGAAAAAAATCACAATATGAACAGTTCACATAGATGTGTCTAAAATAGTAGAGCATTTACTTGTGGTTTTTTGATCTTTTGCACATTTATTCTACATGTACATACATATTAATATTATCATGATAATTTCATTATCATCATCAAAACCATTACTATCATCATCACTTCATTATTATTATCATCAATACCATTATTATCATTATTAAAATACTATATCAATACTATTATTATTATCAATAGCATTATTATCATCAATACCATTATCATTATTATCATCAATACCATTATTACTATCAATATCATAATTATTATCATCAATACCATTATCATCGATATCATTATTATTATCAATACTATTACATCATCATTAAAACTTGCTATTATCACAATAATCTTAATCAATATCATCATTTCTAATACTTTTATGAAAAAGTGAAAATGAAATGAATGGAGTTTTACTTCCTACTATTTATGAAGTTACTAACCTATGATGTAGAATGTCTTCACTATGAAACGTAAACAATGAATGTAAAGCTTCATAATCACCATTCTATAAAGAAATACAAATTTAAACATAGAAATCAACATCAGAGAAAGTTAAACAAAAATGTCTAAGCAACACATAATGATACCACTCCATTGGAGTTCTGAGCAGAGTTCGACCACATTCAAAATTTGCCTTTCTAAGCATTTCTTCTCCATTTTGAAATCTGTCTACATCTGCTATTTATTTGGCAAACATAGACCACATTCTGGACCGTGTTCTAACTTGTCATATTGAGCTTCTAGTTGATTCCATGAACCCTGAATATGCAGGACACACACAGCTAGTTTACATATAATCACATCAAAAGACATAAACTTGCATGAACTGAGTGTTATGCAATAGTGTATGGCCAAGAAAAAATTCTAAAAAACTTCAAATGGAACAAAACAAACTTTAAGTTACTTACCCTAGCATATTCTGTAGCTACTTCCACAATGTTCTGTGATCTGAACTCTTTGAAGAACTCTGAGTCAAATCTTTGAGGCGCCACTGAGGGTCCTCCCAATATACACTGTAAAAAGTTCAATAACATAAGTATGAATTAATACCCCCCCTCCACCCCAAAAAAATCTAATCTTCAACAAAGAAGATAAATGATAGATAGAGCCCATAAAAATTGGATAAAGTTTTAGCAATATTAACTTAGTTCAGCAATTCATCAATTTGTAATTATCTGAATCTTACCTCATATGTTCTTAATCTATCTAGATACTGTAGAAACCTTAATCTAGCTCGACACAATTCTTTCTGTTCCAGAGTTAAACTAAAAACATAACATAATATTATTAATAATGTTAATAAATTGTAAACCTCCAAAACATCATCAATATTCTATGATTACAGATGGCTTCCCTTATTTTCATTTATGAAAACCCATCTTTAATAGTATTGTTTTGAAGCTGATTTTCCAACTCATATAAAATTAATCAGTAAAAAATATACCAACGAACTTGCAAAGACAGTATAAGAGAGACTTCTACATATATTTTCAGTAATTTTCAGTGATTTAACTTACTTTTTCATATCAATCTGACTTAATAGTTCATTGCTTCTCTGCTGTTTTCTTAATTCTCTTTCTTCTTCTGCACTTGGATCAAACTCATCAAATGACATATCTTCATATAAACCTTCATCAGGATCACATAATATAAACCTACAAATATTGATATAAACCTACAATATTGGTACACATGATATAAACCTACAATATTGGTACACATGATATAAACCTACAATATTGGTACACATGATATAAACCTACAATATTGGTACACATGATATAAACCTACAATATTGGTACACATGATATAAACCTACAATATTGGTACACATGATATAAACCTACAATATTGGTACACATGATATAAACCTACAATATTGGTACACATGATATAAACCTACAATATTGGTACACATGATATACACCTACAATATTGGTACACATGATATACACCTTTCAATATTGGTACACATGATATAAACCTACACTATTGGTACACATGATATAAACCTACAATATTGGTACACATGATATAAACCTACAATATTGGTACACATGATATAAACCTACAATATTGGTACACATGATATAAACCTACACTATTGGTACACATGACATAAACCTACAATATTGGTACATATGACATAAACCTACAATATTGGTACACATGATAAAAACCTACAATATTGGTACACATGACATAAACCTACAATATTGGTACACATGATATACACCCACAATATTGGTACACATGATATAAACCTACACTATTGGTACACATGATATACACCTACAATATTGGTACACATGATATAAACCTACACTATTGGTACCCATGATATAAACCTACAATATTGGTACACATGATATAAACCTACAATATTGGTACACATGATATAAACCTACACTATTGGTACACATGATATAAACCTACAATATTAACCTTGATATTACACTTTACTAAAATCACATGATATAAGCTTACACACATAATCCTATGTAATATTCCTGTCTTACCTGCCCCCATCTTCTCCTTTACCAATAACTATCAAAGCTGGTAAATCAGTTCCACATAAACCATAGTTTAATAATTCTCTCATAGCATCAATATTATCTGGTACTCTCTCTAAACATTCATGTAGAACCCAAGATCTCTTACCAATTTTACTCTACAACCAAACAACTGTGGTTTTCAATCAATCAAAGACAAAGTAAGGAGATCAACTAACAATGTAATTTGAATTGTTCATACAATACCTATTAGTAATCAAGCCAATAAATGAACATTGAAGTTGTGATCTTTTATTATGAAAAGAATAGGATAATTTTCATGGAGAAATTGGATGTATGTTAAGAAGAAGGTTAAAGGTATACTACCTCTTAGGATGACTAAAAAATTTAAATTTTAAAACTTGGTTAAAATGAGTCTTTTAACTGGTGTTAAAACTATACGACAGAATCCCTCTATATTCCAATAAATCCATAAAACTTTGAAACATGCTTAGAAGTGTTTTTAAATAAGTATTTAGTTTAATAGATATACAGTATTATCTAGAAATAATAATATACACTTATTGATCAAGTTTGAGACTTTAAATTTTATGTCCAATCTTAGAGGTAGTATCCTTTTAAGTAACAAGTATACAGGGTAAAAGCCTTTTAGTGCTCGAGGTTCTTGAAATGAACTTGAATTAGGATGGTATAGGAATGTCGATGAACTCAGAAAGGTTGAAAAATTTGCTATTTGGACATCATTAAAAAGATTATTAAGTTGAAAAAATGGAACATAATGTCTCTGTCATCGTAAAGAATTCCTACGTACGTACGTCCATGAATAAATCTGAGAACTTTAAAACACCGAATAAATGGACATTATTTTCAAATATACTAATGCCTACCAAATAATCTTGTATAGAGGCTACAGACACTGGTGATTTCCTCCATCTTCTTTGATAAACTAAATCACAATCTAATCCATATGTCTTAGCTAATACTAGAGCTTCACCATATTCTTCACTGTCAATCTAGAAAAGATCAAAATCAAAAGTATGAAAAGTACATTAACTTAACAATAAAATAAACAGGAAATTTTTGAACACATGTGTACTAATGATTTGTATGAAGATCCTAGGAAAAGAAAACATAATTCTTTGCTGACCCCAGGTTGAAAGAGATTGTAAAGAGGTTTTATAATCTTTTTCAATGTGTTGTGTACTTACTCTGATAGCATCGAATTGCACCATTTCAATTTTCAGTCAGATGTCCTGCAATTTCCCTTAAACAAGGCATTTTATGACTTAGCTACACGTATTTATAAGGAGCTTTTGCTTTTGTGACATCATATCTGTGTAATAACAGGATCTACAGGCATATCAAAGAAAATTGAAATGATGCAAATAGAAACCTAACATGATCCTGATAAAATACAAAGCTATAAAATTTCTTTGCAACCATTTTTATCAAAAAACTTGAAACTGATGAGATAAAATTACCTTTCTGGCATAAAGTTCTTCCGGGGTAGTGGATTTGAAAGAAATGAGTTTGTATGTCTTTGATACATGACTGAAATAGACAGACAAAAGAAAATCTATTAATGGAAACATTTCATTTTGAATTTCAATCAAATCACGTAACCATTGACAAAATCTGAAACTGAAAAATTGGAACAATGCATAGAGATTTTGAAAGTGTATTACATTTAGACATTAAAATACTAACATTGGCTTTTTTCTGGGAGGTGAGAATCTTTCACTATCAGTTAAATAATACAAAGCTTGTTTGGTATATCTGGTGGCCTTGGTTACCATGGTAACGTCTTCTTCATCAGAATCTTCATATTGATCAGTAGATGTATCAAGTATACTTCTTGATGGTAGTTTATATTCACACTGAAATAAAAGTAGTGACTTTTGTTGTGAAAAGAATGTCGTCTGCTAGATAATTTGGTGCAATGAGTGCAAATCAGTTCTGGTCCTCCATTGGAGAGTTCTAAATAGATTTGGCCTGTTCTAATTCTGCCCTCAATTGAATGATACAGAATATGTCATATTCAAATTTTTCCAATCTATTTCCTTCTCCACCACTTTGAATTCTGTCTGCACCTAATTTTTTTTCAGGACATGTGGAATGGATTCTAACCTCTGTTCCAACATGTTTTATTGAACTATCGGTTGATCAGATGAAACCCTAATGTGCAGACCTCATCAATCAAACAACCCCACTTCTAAGATGTTTTATATATTGACTTGTTGTTTTCCAGCCATTTAAGCATTCAGTAACAGTAACCTAATATATATTTTGACTTACCTCCAAAATGAGAAATTCTCCCTCCAATGTTTGGGACAGTTTGAGACAAGGTGAAAACCATTCTGGTAATGTTCCTAGTAAATTCTCTAATGTTTCAACTGATGATATAGTTAATGCTCCAGTACATCGTGCCAGTATCACAGCCTACATAATGTACAAATCTTTTAGTTTTTGGTCTTCATTAGAGTCAAATCACAAAACCGACAATAGTCATAAGTTCAGAAGCTGGCAAAATCATAGGTAGACATTATCAAATGAAATGAATGGAGTTTTACGTCCTACTTTCTGCACCATGTGGGCTAATGAAGACGGGAAATGCCATGCAGGGTGCAATGAGGGAAATTTTGCAAGGGCAGTGGCATTAACTGGCTCTTTTCCGATTTCCAACTGTCTTAACATGCACAGTCTGTGGCACACAGGGCCTCGGTTTATTGTCCCATGAATGACAAAGTATCATTTGCACAACTGTATGCAAAAACAATATCAAAGCATTGGCAATTCATATGCTATATAGGCTGAAGGCAGTTTGATTACTTTGATAGTAATCTATCAAATTGATTCTTCTTATATCAAATATAACATGAACCAATTTTTTACTTCAGAGACTTTACCAGATATAAGATGAAGTGTGGTTTATGTTTCTAGTGGTCACAAATTCAAAACAAGAATTGGTAATGTTGATATTTGACATACCTTATCAGACCAGAAATTTATATCTAACAATTGTTTATGTGGTACCAATTCTACAAAAAAAATTCAGACATTCCTTATTAAACTCATATATACAACAGTTGATGTCATTCAAGTCATAGCTCTACTTTCAGTTTCACCCTGAAAGGCTTTATGTGAGCCTTATTTGATAATGCATATCTTGCAATTACTGACGTCATCAAACACTTAAGTTTTAGTGGAATTGCAGTAACCACAGATGTCTGATTGAAAGTTGGAATGGTGCAAATTGATGCTATCAAGGTTCCTGATACACATATACAAATTTTAGAAAACTTCCTTATAATCACTTTCAGTATTTGAAACTATTTCAAGACGTGGTTAGGTTCATTAAATAGATTGTATGTTCACTGTTTTATAGAAATACAGATACATGATATTGAACATTTGGGGTTGAAGTCCAAAGGATTTAAATCATCAGGAATAACAAACCTTTCATAACTTTTCTCTTCTGTCTATTGATACTTTCTTCTTTAGTATTGATTTCATCTATATAGGGCTACAATAGAAGAAAACATTGCCTATCAAACTAAGACCTACCTAGAAATAAAGTGAATTGTCCATATCTTTGTCTTAAATCATCTCTTCATATACACCAACATGTACTATTGTTATCTCCACCACTGCCCATTCTTATGCATGAAATCACTTTTGAATGTTTAAATGTATCATAGCTTGTTTATAGTGCTTAGGTAACAGAGAAAAGTAATAATTCTAACTGCATGTTATAACATACCTGCTCTTCATGGTGCCATGATTGTCGTGGTCGAAAAGATGGTACATCCCAAAATGATAATTTACCCGAAAAATGAACAGCCGCCAATATATCTCCTTTAGGTGATAAACATAACTTATAAATACCATCCTACAATTTATCACAAACATATAAAGATTATTTCTGGTCAAAGTCTGCAAATCAATGACATGTAAGATATAATTACTGTACAGTCATTCAATTATTGTAAGCCCCATGATCATTTTGATGAGTGATCATTGTAACTCTTTTCTTTCCCCAGTTTCCCCTGTCAGTGATGCAGGTCAGAGGGACATTGGAAAAGTGTCTAGTCGTTCAACTGAGGTCCTGTGTGCTACAAGCTGTGTTTTATTTATAAGTATACTTTGAATGTATGGAATATCAATATTGTGTCATTTCTATGTGAGGTAACATCTTCCAAATTAGCACCTTCCACCATCAGTGATGATTACAAAATTGAGGGTATTACAATATGTTAATATGGAGAAGATTCTAGTCTTACCAAGGGTGTGGTTTTAAAGTTGTATAAAGAACATACTCTTAACTTATTCCACATACTGCTCTTTTTCTGTATCTGAAACAACAGAGTATATTTATTTCATTATAGTTGTAGTTTGACAGTATCAAGCTATTGTGAATATTGTCTTATACCCTGACTGCAATAGCCACCTATCACGTATCAATTTAATTGGAGGCTAAGCAAGCATGATGCATGAATTAAGTGTTTTCCTTAGTATCGAAAAGCATGTTGCATTAAGTTAGCATTTAAAAAATTTCTAGCCTTAAGAAAATAGCTGTTGAAGTATTGACAATCTGAACCACAAGACGAACCGCGAAATCCAAACCAAAATTTTGGCGAAACATTGGTAGCAGCTAATGATATCATAACATAATCCCCAATTCTCCCGTAAAAAGATAAAAAGTACCTGATACAAATCTTCACTTAAATCAGTCACCATTTTATAATGTGGTACATCCGAAAGTCTTCTCCAGCAAGTGATGCCACCAACAATAGCTTGTGATGAACTTTCATCTTGAGGCAGTCCTAGACCACCTAATATCAATAACTGATGTTTTGTATTGTAGACTATAGAACTCACTCCAACAGGGTAATATTGAGAGAATACAAAGGCATGATTAAATGTATAGCCATTATCAATATCAACTATATAACTTTTTAAACTACCATGATAGTTGACCACCAATAATTCTATCACCCTGAAATAGAAAGTTCATCATTTAGTTTTTGCTAGAATATTGCGGCTTTTGTAGACAATATGTTTATATATATATTATGCAAATATTTTTAGTGCAATTAATTAAAAAATATATTTTGACGAAGATATTAAAGCTAATGAAGTTTTTGAGTTCTACCAAAGTTTGGATTTTGACAAACACCATCTGTCCATACATATAAACTCAAGATTACCAAATTGAGAGAGATTCTCGAAGGCAAGCTATCGATTAATAATTGAAATATTTTAAAAGAGAAACCCTATAAATACTCAATTAAAAACATGTCGCAATTCTTAATTTCATAGGTTATTTTTGTGTCATAGAATTATATTATTGCTTTGATCGGTTATTATAGCTTATTGTGGGTAAATAATGCGTTTAAAAGGAACCTATGTGGAAAAGATATCTACTTGTTAACAAGTACAGTGAAGAAAATGTAACTTTGACATTTAATCAATTATGAAATTTGATATGCGATAATTGAAATTATCATTTCCTAGCAACGATAATCGATTATTTAGATTATTTCCATTATTTTACCCTGCCCTACTTGACATCCAAAAAATCCTTAACAGGGACAAGCATATGCAGTTTGCATCTTTGCTCCTGTAAAAGTAAAAGTACAAGGTTCAATATAACAGATATAATATGACATGATGAAGAACTTACTCTTTCTCTTTACTAATATGAGTTATAAAGATCAGTGCTGCTACAGACATACTATAGTCTAATCCTATAGTATCAGATGAACTCACATCCTGAAATAGCAGATTACAAAATATTGCATAAAATTTTCCTTGCAGACGAAGAAAATGCTCCATTAATGGTAAATAAAGTCTGCAACACAATTTTTGCCAGGTCAGTGGCACATATAAAAATAATCTATCATGATAGTCTCTGTACTAATCTCTCCAATCCAATTCATATCTATTAGGATCTACATGAAAATACTTTCCCTGTTTATGAATCCAACAATATCAAATAAATCTAAACTTACACCAGGAATGGTAAATAGATGTGTGCCAACAATATCAAAAACATCAACAGTACCATTACTTCTAGAACAAGCTATCATCGTATCATCATTACTCCATGTTACACACCTCCATTGTGGATTCAGGTCTAAAGGTATACCACCTTTACCTAACAACTCAAATTCATCTCGAGCAGATCTGAAACATATAACAATGATCTATGACAGCAGTACATTTTTCTAGAATTGCAGAAATGAAACTCAGATTTGAATTTGTTAAGGAAAATGATTTAAATAAGAGTCATTGTGGTATTAAGAGGTTTTTTTTGGTATACAAAAATGTTAAGTAGTTTAAAACATTACATTGAAATGGTAGTTGGCCTTACCTTATCTCAATACAATTGTCTTGGAGAACTGCAATAAATCGTCCATCACTGAAATAACAAATATATTTGCTTACAAAAGCTTACCATATTGTATTTAAGGATTCTGGCATCTTAATATATTGATTTTTGTAAAGAAAAGGCATATTTACTATTTGAAATAGCTGATATCCCATTTGGATTAAGTTTGTAACTTTGGCAATAATTGACAGAGATTTCCACACTTACATTTTTCAAAATGTTAAGGTCAAAATTTTAATATTATAATTCACGATTCTGCGAGAACAGCTTAGGCTCCACCCAAGGCTTAGGCTTAAACCTCTTGGAAATAAAGTTTCACTCCAATTTTGCAAAACTTCAATGTTAGTTATATCTTTACCTGCTAACAGCAAAGTGCCAGTTGAGTTGACTGTTGACTAATTTGATGAGATTTTGAGGTAAAATACATGGTGTAGCTGTGCTGTAAAACAATAACAAAACAGTCAAAAAATTTACAATGAGCCTCTCAGTAGTAGGCCGAGCTGTGAGAGACCACGGTGCTTGGGACAGAAGACATTTATTCTAGTTATTTACAGGAAATTTAAGTTTATTTGCATGAACACTGAAGTGACAGAATTTACAAATTTTGCCACATGCCACCTTAACCTTAATTCTATGAGTGCTATTATTTGAGAAAAAGGAATTACTTACTGCAATGGTACACCTAATGTTCTTAAAAATGTCCATGCTGTTCCTGAATCAGAAAAAAGAATCAACATTATTCAGTCTACAAAATGAAACATCCAACAAAGAGATCTTTGATATAAGCCTAGTAAATTCACTTTGATAGTGCAAATACAATCAAACTTTTAAAAATAAAAGTTATACATACTCTGAACTGCAGATGAAGTTCTACTTATCAATGATGCTGTTCTTATTTGTTGTGATGTACCCAACCTTGCCTGCAAAAGTGGAAATAACTGGTAAATCTTATATATTATTTAATACAAAGCAGCTGGCTTCCTCTTACATCCATACTTCTTCCTTTTCGCCAAAGAAATTAATTCTAAGATGACTGAGGTGGGAGAGTAAAACTGCCATTTTTTCAGGATATAATTTTGTAACATACTAGGCCCTACATAGAACTCTATTTCAAGAAGATATTCATAATGAAAGTATGTTAACTGTTTTCCAATACATTACTGAATCAACAAAACCTTCTCGTTATATCCTAAAGTGTCAGATAAGGTATTGTTAGGCCAATAACAAATCAGAATTTGTTGTGGTCTGTATTTCAAAGGGAGACAATTATTTTGTTATGAAAACTGAACTAAGGTGAGTCGAACGTCGATTCATATTTATTGTAGCCTTGATCTTAATTGATCACGAAATAATACAGAAGCATCAAGACAAATAATCATTCTTACAAAAGTTTCATTTTCGAACAGCCATTCTGCTTGCACAGAAAGATCGTATAATATATTTTCATCATTATTTTCATCCACGTCCCCGTTTTCGGATGCCATCTTGGGGTCAGTTCGTTTTTATATAGTAGATATTCTTGTTAATTTATACGAATCGCAATGTTATTGTATTATAATTCATTTGATGAACAATTCATTCTTCGGATAATCCAAGAAAAAACTTCTTTCCTTCGAGCGATAAATATTAGATCAATCTCATTTATATTTTATTTTCAGGACCCAATCACATACTTGTAGTACTCGAACAGACTAAAGATTAAAGCCACTACATGCAATAATTACTGTTAAAGGAACGATATCTCATGCTGTTAAAAATTAAGTTATGGTAATGTATAATGTGCTTATCGGTACCAGTGGAAGTGTGGCTGCATTAAAACTACCTCTGATTGTAGAACAGTTACTTACACTGGATGATGCAGAGGTAAAATGTTTTATTTATATTTATATTGAAAAATAATAGGCTAATGATAATTTGTAGCCTATTAGGCTATTCTTGTGTCCAGAAAAGGGAATTAAGGCATTTTGTCATGTAGTTATCCTACTTACCTTGTCAACAAATTAAATCATTTAAGACCTTCACTGTGTTCTTATTTTCAGATAAATATAAAAGTTGTATCTACACACCATTCTTTACATTTCTTTGATCGCCAACAAGTGAAATGTGAGGTTTTAACTGATGAGGATGAATGGTCGGTAAGTATCTTATGCCTTTAAATGACAGCACCACCCCTCCAAGAACTCTCTCGGAATAAAGCAACTGTCTACTATTTTTTATCTAGTACGTTCTATCTTATAGTATTAGCCGAGTAAGCCGACATATTCCAAAGGGTAAGCTTTTCAGCATTGAACTGCATGTCCATGAAATTCAATGACTGCCAAGAAGAGACCTGAATCTTTGACAGTTAATGCATTTATGCATTCCCCAAATGAACTGACAACTGAGCATTTACCTAGAAAGACGACTTAAAATATTGTTTTTACAGAGATGGACGAAGCGAGGAGATCCTGTGTTACATATTGAATTAAGAAGATGGGCTGATCTGTTTGTTATAGCACCCCTAGATGCTAACACTTTAGCCAAAATCTCAACTGGAATATGTGATAATCTATTGGTAAGGTTATTGTATATATTATCTGTAGCAGAATATAAACGAAAGAAAGTGCCTTAAACAGATACAGTGCCTTAAATATTGGTCTCATCAGTTCAAGCCCAATTTCAGTAAAGGTGCGAATAAACGAGGTAAACAAGACAAGATTGTAATTCGTCAGGCGTTTCTGCCAGGAATCACAAATACACGATATCAGAAATCGTGTCCAGGCGCTGTTCTGATCTTCTATTTCTACTGCATCGATAATGCCGTACCGAAACATTACTATCAGTCTCCGACGAGGATTATAAGGGCTAAACGGACACCGTGTAGATCATCCGTTGATTCTGCGGGAACCTTTATTTTTTTAAGGCAAACTGACTTAGCGTTCATTTTTATTTTTTAATTACAGACGTGTGTGGTTAGAGCTTGGGATTTAAGTAAACCATTACTGTTTGCTCTAGCCATGAATACCTGTATGTTAGATCATCCTATTACCAGTCAACAAGTTTCCATCTTACTGGAATGGGGCTATAAGGAAATACCATGCGTAGAAAAATTATTAGTATGTGGCGATAAAGGTATTTATTCTGCAAATTTTTCTTATCATGACACTGTTGAAAGTTCAAAATCCAATGTAGCAACAGTTTACATTTATCTAAATTAATTAATTTAATTTGCCAGAAAATTGTTGTAAGTCGATATAGAAATATCCATGTTGAATCGTGTCCGTCATGCATTTTGCTGGAATGGGTCTTGTCTCCGAAGTCACCAATGCTAACGAAGTACACTGGTTAAAAAGCACTGACATTTTCCGAGGACAGATGGTTCTCTCACTTAGGTTGAATGATCCAGGATGACTAGCCTGTGGACTTTGACTTAGTGTGACTTAGTTTTGTTTGCTAAGGGTTTGTTTGACGACATTTTTCAGGTAAAGGTGCGATGGCTGAAGTATCAACGATTGTTACGAGGATTGATTCAGAATTAAAAAGTTTACAAAAGAAGGACACGTAAAGATACCATTCCAGTGAAATATCTACAACATAGAAACTTTCCAAGGTTACTTGGATATTTCTGATAGCTACTGGGGCTAAAACATTTTTAAGCCATTGCGAAAAAATTGCAGCGACTTGTGAATTCTTTAAAGCGTATAGTTATAGGACGCAACAGTACAGCTCTATTGGAAGTAGGTATATCTGCGTGGCTATGACCAACTACCAACTACTACGACTTCCAACAACTTGTCTGCGATATCAGCAGCTGGAAGCGGGCGTTAACTCGTCGTCACCATCCAACCATACGTAATGCTCGTGTCATCTAAGTCGCATCTTTATGTTCAAAGCCTTAGTTGAAATGATGGCTGAAAATTCTAATCCACCGAAAAGTGAAACCTGAGCTTCTATATTCTATGTGGAAAGACAGAATGACAAGCTACACTCGACTCCATTTTGTAGTCAACGTTCAGTTGTTAGCCCCGAGATATAAGTGATGAAGTATGTAAATTATATAACATTGCAAAAAGTGATTAAAATACCTTTAATAAATCTAAATCATTTGTTGATCATTAATACAATTTAATTAAATCTATATTTGATAACGATATTGATTTTATTATCGGTCATGTGTTTTGACACGTCATGTCGATCACCCCGGCAAACTTCCTCATTAAAAATGTACTGTAATGTTTTGTTGCTACCATTGGTATGCAATCGTGGTCCAAAACTAAAGGACTCAGATTTCCAAACCTCCACCATCTCATCAATATGCATCAGTAAAGATAAAGAACTCTCTGACCCAGAATGAAAGCCGCATTGATTGATAGTTTCTTGCTTAAATATATCCTTCAAAGACGAGTGAAGAGTCGTCAGGCTTCGAAATGAGAAATTTCATTTTGAATAGTTAAACAACGTATCTGACAGGAATGTAAAGAGACGACCGCAACAGATTATTTAAATGCAAGCAAAGAACTCTCAACTATAAGAGATTGATCTAAGTATGTGTCATAACATACCAAACCTTTCTAATGAGATTCGGAAATCTGAATAAACTATTTTTTTTATCTGTTCTGTTTGTCAGCACCTTGTTTTCAGCAGCACGACATTGCGTCCGATTATTCTATGAAAATTGGAACATTCATTATATGGTAGGTCTATCTATTTAACCCGGCCAATCTCGACATCGACTGTGGCATCCCTGGAATTCTCCAACAGCTAACGGGAGTCGGAAAATCATAATCATCAGCTGCTCTGCTACCAGTCTCCGTCAACCAAATAAAAAAGTTCCACAGGGATTATTCAGCTTTGATAACGTCATGCGATTGTCAGCATCTCATACATCTCAGAAGGAGGGATGACAAGTAAAAAGAATTGAAACCCTTGGTAACATGTGCGACTGTGATGGTAGTGATCGGGAAACAAACGAAAATGCTGTGATAAACTTAGTAATCCAACAATGAATGCTTACAAGAACGATTGTCGAGCAAAAGTTCAACAGAATTTTGAACACAAATTAATGAAGAGCAGTATGGGTAAGTTGGAGGAAGAAACCGATGAAGACAGATGTCCCTACAACATCATAGATATGTTCGGAAGAAGATTCAAAAAAGATTCGCGAACATGGCTTCACAAGTCTTCACGAAAAATTAAGGCGAACACAAAAAACTTAAACAAAGAGAATATAAGAGAAATTCACGGAAACAATGCTTCTCCACCATCTCAGTATGGAATTGTTGAACATGAACCTATCAGAATCGAAGAACCTGACGATAGCTCCAGTGATTCTGACAATCCCTATACCATTGTAGATAGCATGGGAAGACGCTTTAAAAAGGATTCAAGAACATGGCTGCACAAATCGTCATCAAAACGAAAAAGGTGGAATATCATCGAAGATGAGGAGGACGATGTTCCAGAGTTACCAGACATACCTAACACCCAACCTGATCATTTCTGTTTCAAGGACTCTGGAGAAAGGGATTCGGAAAGAAAATTTCACGAAACAGTAAAAACTGGAACCGATATTTCCAAAAAGCATCATTCAAACGTTCTGATGAGAAAACGCAAACAAAGGTGTCAGCAAATTAGTAATTCTGCTAACTATTTGCCTAATGATAATCAACACAATGCTGAAATTTGTATGATTCTTTCTGCAGAGTTACATGAAACTGCCAACAGACCTACAGCTATCAAGAGATCAATAAGCTTCGATAACATATTTGAACTGTTTGAGGAAGACACCGAAGACGCTGAAGATGATTGTGTAGAATGTCAACAGATGTCTAATAATTCGAGGATGAGTAACAATTGGAGGGAAACTAAACCAATCACCTCTGACACTTCTACACTTTCTAGCAATGAAAATCGGGAAATCAACCATTCGCCATTATCATCGGGAGCAAGGTATGTTGAATGGTCCTATTTCGGATTTGGTTGGTCAGACCTGATGCTTTGGCCCAAACTCTCAAATTTATCATTCCACACGGGCATGGCTTCGGCCCCATGGCAATTCTGTGGCCCTTTCTCACTCTTAATGATTCATAGAAACACTACAGGACAGTCCTCTTCACAATATCAAGCTATTACAAACTATATGCATTGACTACAATAACCACCTTTTTTGTATCACGGAATGAGCTAATTGATTGGATTGTACAGTAACCAATTCAGCCAATCGGAGCCCTAGACTAAAAGACTAAATATTATACAAAGTACAGTTCGTAATAGCTTGACATTGTGAAGATACTGGACAGTATGAAATTTATTTTCAGTATCAATCTTTCCTCTGATACAAGAATTAAAAGATCACCAGAATTAACCAGTACAGCTACAGATAATAATCCTAACAAACCAGGATATTACCTAATGCCTGATGTTAGTCCAGTTAGATTTAATCAGGACCAAACTTCTAACTGTGAACAGTATAAAGCCAACCAGACACTCAATGTGAACAGCAGTAGGAGTTTAACTTTCCTGATTCAAGAATCTGACGAGTTTTTAGGTGATGCTGTTTTGTCTGAATATGAAGAGGAATCAGATTAGCAAATTTATTTAAAAATGGAATAATCTAAGCCAAATTTAAATGTATTTCATTTTGATGTACAATTTATTATAATGCATGAATAAACATAATGAAATATGTGTACATTTTAATTTCTAATTCTTCATATTACAAATGACTTACGTATATATATTCAGTAAATCAAAGTAGCTCATCCACTGAGGCAGCAAATGCAATTTTCTCTTCTAGATGAAGGAATTTTTTTCTAAAAAGGTACAGATTTCAACATTTATATCTTTTATTTGCGCCATTTCCATGATCTCTGTGGTTCCTTTTAGAATGATTCCATTTATATCAAAAAACAATTTATTTTAGATAGCTGCATGTCTTTCAGGATTCCAAAGCCATCTTTAAACTCTTGTATGTCATCTCGAGATCATGAAAAACAGGTCATGTATCCATTTCATCATGATTAATCATGTTGGCATTATCATCATTATCATCATCATCATCATCACTATCTAAAACTGGTTTACGATATCTAATACTAAGTTAAGGTGTAAAAATAACTCTCACTCTCTGGAGTATAATGTCACTAGTGCTGATTTTTTGATCAAGAAAATATAATCATTGCCTGGTTAACACTGGAAATGCTCCAGAAGGTATAGATTTAAGATTTGATGTGCAATTACACATATTTTTTCCGGTCCAAAAGTGGATCTCAACTGTCTGAATCTTAAAAAAGATCATCAGAGGGCTTGAATTGGAAAAAATGTCATGCCATTCTGATGGGACTTTGCACCAAGGTCTCGACACTACAGACTGTGCATTTTTAATAATCCCTTCTTAAAAAGTTACAAATTAAAAATTAGCAAGTAATCTGTTCAACTACAGTGCATTCAATGAATCCTATTTGAATGAAGTACACTACCCAGGTCAGATAGCTGAAAGAACATTGAACAAGTTATAATATAGCAAAGGATACGCCATATCTGTTGTTGGTGGATTATAGGTATCCATTTTAATATTTAATCTTTCCGCTAGTCTGGCAGCAGCCCTTTCAGCTTTTAGTTCCTGAAAATGAAAGTTTAATGTTGTTTATATATTCTCAATATACCACATTATATTCAAATAATGTCTGTTAACTCCACACATCACAATATTTTGCCAAAGAGAAATTGTGCCAAAAAGAAATTTGTACATCAAATCTGTTAAGTAAAGTCCAGAACCTCAGCTTTCTGACAATAACAGAGATGACTTTACCAGTGAAAGTGGTATCAGTATCCATTTTGGATATTCTACACAATTTTAATTGCTGACCAACTGCAATAGAAAAAAGAAAAAAAAGGTAACCTCCTGTTTAGCTTCTTGTTGTTTAATGAGTTCTATAGATTCTAGTGTGGAGACTAACTGTGTTTTATTGTATTTATAATGAGGTGGACAGGCTGCAGACTCTTCTACAACACCTAGCTCTTTAATCTTCTTTTTATTACTTAATACTGGTTTCGGCGCTGAAGGCTTGAACTTTTCAGGTAAATCTTCAACTTTTGATATTAATAATGAACTGAAAAAAAGAACCAATGCCTTAAAGGGTTAGGTGCTGCATTTTTGGGGGGTTGATTTTAGTCTTAAATATATGTAAATAGTCTTCAGAAGTACTGTAAATGTATGAAAATCATATAATTCCTTTAAAATTACTTCAAACTATGAATTTTACTCACTATTTCTATATATGTCTTTTCTATATATCACAGAGTATCTTAAATTGATGAGATTTAACATACAAACGCAGATAATTCTGGACACACATGGGTCAAATTTTGAGGGTGAGCGGTGAACTCTGTTACAGATTAGCTTTGCTTAGCTAAAAAATTCAAGTTTCTGAGTATGATTCTTAAAAAAAAATGGCCTACCTGTCCCTTTCAAATATAGCCTCTGACTGGGTAAATCACAATCAGAGAATTAGAGAAACTCAGTTTAAAAAAAGTAAGAAGGCAGGAAGAATATATTTTAGATTAGCAACCAACTTACCTATTGGGTTTAAAAGAACGTGATTTAGTTTCAGGACGCTGTTCAACCCTTTGTAAAACACGTTCATAACTGTTCACATATTGTTCTGAATTGTCAGGTATTCTTTCATTTGTAATAGAAAGTTTCACTTGATTTAATGAATCACATATATCATCAGTAGTAGCACTTGTTTCAAAGTTTATCCGCATATCCACTATTTGTTTTTTATCGCCATTTAATAAAGCAGATGGGTTTATCAATGATTTCAGAGGATCAGTTGTGTCTATTCCATCATCATCTTCAAAGTCTTCTGTTGCTGATTCCTGTTTGACTGATGAAAAAGCAGAAGTTGGATTTACAATTTGAGTTCTGTTGTATTTGGAATGTACACTATTAACACCACTGAGTTGTTTTTCTTGAATAATTTTATCATGAATTAAGGATTCCAAAATTTCTGCAAATTTCTTTACTTTTAATCCTTTGTCTGGCAATGTCCTTAGGAAATTCCTGAAGTAAAACACATAAGAATATTATGTATATCTAAAATAAATAAAAATCTTAACTTGACTTTCCAGGTTCTTTTTCAATTAAAGTTTAAATATTTAACAGATCTTGTTGCATCTTCATTACTTCAGACTTAATGAGTGAGATCAAAATTATTCCTTAAAGAGACTGTTAAGAGTTTTTCTAAAAAAATTTATGCATTTTGGGGACACTGACAGCATCAATGTGTACCATTCCAATTTTCAATCAGATGTCTGTGGTTCCTGCAATTACACTAAAACTAAAGTGTTTTATGAGATTGCCCCAGCGAAATATGCTTGTATAACATGACATGGGTGACTTCATAAAACTCTTAGTTTTAGTAGAATTGCTCAAATTACTGAAATCTGATTGAAAATTGAAATGGCGCAAATTGATGCTATCATTGTCCCCATACACAAACAAAATTTAGAAAATCTCTTTACAATCCCTTTAAGAAAAAAAAATAATTATAATTTAATAAGTAGACTGATCACACAAGTTGTTTGTCCAAGCTATTGTTATTCATATATAGTTGTCTGGCAATGCAACTCTAAGTATTGACTACACTCTCCAAAAAAGGATGCCACGTTGACAAACCCTGTCACAGAGTGGTATCAGGTATTTTGTTTCCAGATTCTAAGATTATACTTACTGCTTAGATAAAAGCTTTTCTTGTCTCCTTAATAAATCTTTCAATTCATCAATTGTTTTGTCTTCAAGTTTACCTAAATAACCCTGTCTTTCTTCTGGTTGAACAGTCATTTTCCTAAAATATCAACAAATTTCAATAATTAGAATAAAATTCCATAACATCTTTGGCTTTATTTTTACATCCACAATGAATCTGTCAGAAAGATTGCAAAACAATTTCTGTTCCTATGAATCATTAACCAAGACTTAGGGGCCCCCGGGTTGAGGTCACAATACTGTCAAGCGGGCTGCTCACAGATTAGGTGCTGTGGGCCCGAATCTCCTCAAGGTAGGAACAATTCAGATGCCTGTACCTGTGCCAGTGATTCCTAACACCTAGGCTAGTCTGAAACAATAACCTAAAAAATTGGAAATGTGTGAGGGGGTACACGAGTTATTGACTAAAATCGGGTGAGGATACAGATTTGACAAGCTTATAAGTTATAATATGTATATTTAATGTTCCAATTCCCTGTCATGAATTAGAAAGAGTAAAAGAATGTACGAACAAATAAGTCGTGGAGAACCGAATGAGTCTTGTTTAATAACAACTTCTCCGGGATTTCCCTCCGTTGGGCAATCCCTTGTTTATAAGCGCCATCTATTATAGAGGGATATTTCATTTTCATGTTGGTTATAAACATCGTAATGGTTTTTTTTTTAGAAATATGGTAGGAGATAATTTTTTACATCGTAGTTCTGTAATTCAAATAAATTTCTTAACAGACATCACACTTATCTTGCTGTTCGGATTTGATATTATTCTTGTGGACAAATATAATATTCTAATTTACCTTCCTCCCTAAGATAGAATGGTTTCGTCTACATTATAGCTTAGAATAGCAGGACGTCTATGTCAATTTCTTTTATCAAGTAAAATTTTTGACAGCAGGATAATCGAGAGTGAAAACAAAAAGGGAAACACGTGTACAAGTCTGTCACGAAGTATACGAACTGGAATTGAATGGCTGACCTAAAAAATGACAGTACGAGGACGAGATGTAACATAAGACTTGTTTACATGGCTAAGTAAATAATGTTCAAGTATAAAGAATATTATATATACTTGGACGACCAAGTCAGAAAACAAGAATAAACCACTTTTTATTAGAGAAGATTTAGAGTAGAATCTAAACAAGAGGAAGTGAAAATGGAGTTGATGACTGCTGTAGAGTATTGGACCACTGCTGTCACCTTCTTGATGATGGCATCTGGCCTGTGAGTTTTTTTTCATTTGTCTGTTTCTCTCCAGTTGTACATAGAAATATTTAAGCGCTCGCTGTGTTGTTGATTTAAAGATTTCAATGAAGGAAAATATGTTGAATTTGGTGACCTACATTTTCAAGACATATGTTCAGGTCCCTGCATGGATGTGCATTTTGGAAATCGAGTTTGTTCAGACTAAGAAATACCTTATGTTCTACTTATTCTGGCTATATTATGCAATTAACTCCAGGCATAATTTTTATATTCTCTAACTATGAATAAAAGCCTATCCCTTTCATAAGAAGTAATAAAGGATCTATCAATTTGATATTAACTATGTATCATATTTTGTATTAAAGCTGTCACATAAAACAATTAATACAAATTGATTGATTATACTCATGAAATACTGTATATACAAATAAAGTTATACAGTATTTGGTATATCTACAAAAGATATCAATTTAAATAAAAAACGATATCAGATTGACATCAGATGTTCATTTTAATTCATATCAAATTATGTTATTTGTTTTTTTTCAGCCCACCCTGTTATAACATGTATAAAAATAAAAGTACCAAAAATATTCCATTTATATTCTTCCTTATCAGTGAAATGAAGTAAGTTACAATATATTTACTCCCAATATTACTCAAAATATTATTTTACCTATGGCAGTCCCTCATTAGTGGATAAAATGCCCTGATACGCATGTCGTATTGCTTGATCATGTATGGATACTTTATGATACAAGTCATACTAAAAACTAGTAAAAAGACACATATACAAATTAAACTTGACATTATTCAAATGCAGAAGAAATCGTAAGCTAAATATTCATTTGTGAAAGCAAATGTGGCACAGGAAGTTGTTTTCAATTTATCGATAAAATGTTACACATTAAAAAGCATTGAAACTTTTGCTTTTTTTTATCATGTCCTATCCTTTTTTTTTATCTTGATACATATCGTATGGTGGTATGACTAGAAATATTCAGCACTAAAAATACATATCCTGTGAACACCATTATGGAATCAAAAATCAGTTCTTTGGAATCACTCACATATGGTATAGCATCCAGTTCATTGTCAACTTTATCTATTTTCAGTTCATTATTTGGAGCGTGTTATGGAACTTTGTCAGGAAATTATATAGTATTTATTATCAATGTTGTTGGTTTTTTACTCTGGGGTTTTTATATAATCGTCTATGTGTTTGTCTCTAAAACAAAGGTATGTATTTCTTCTATAATTTAATGTTAGCTGAATCTTTTATCGTAGGATTTTATGATTTTATTTTGCAATATAAATATCTGGATAAGATATTTATGACATATTATTCAAATACATGAAAGGCCTTTTCCATAATGTGGTGAATATATAAAATCTGATTGAAACGACTACAGAAATAATGTTTAAGTATATAGGTTAGATTGTACAAACATTGTCATAGGAACAGCTGTATCCACAGAGCCTTGAGAGATGATATTTCAGGATAATCTTGGTGTAATAATAATCTTACAAATATCATACGGCTTTATATGTCAAATTTCATTGATTAAAATTGATTAATTGTCACACTATTTATTGATATGCATAATAATTTACTTTGAATTATTAATTGTTATATTATTAACAATGGTATGAATATTAAGAGTTCTATTATAAATAATAGTATAAATATTTCAGACTGATGACTATGATATTGATTATTTGATAAATGCAGAAAAATCCCATATAAATGATACTAATTTGCACTTAACTGAATTTGACGTTTTTATTAACTATTAGAATAAGAGAAATATTCTATAAATGTGTTGAAATGTAGACAAAATTGGATATTTTGAATTTGAGATTAATTAGATCTCATTCTCATTGAGAAATTATAGTAGATTTTGAGTTATTTTGGTTTATTCACTCCGTGATTTTTGGAGTGACTTTTTTACTCAAATTGTTGCAAGTTTATTGTGGTATATATCAAATTTCATAGTGCTCTTTATAAGCCGAAATCTAGAACGTAGCAACATAAAATACTCTTTTCCATATCATCTGTTTAAAAACTGAAAATTTTCTTTTTAATGCCCTTATTTGAAGGACACATGATATATAAATGCTGTAAGTTCAGATACTTCTTGTTGGATATTTTATCTCTAGATACTTAATATAGTTGAGACTCTAAGGAACTAAGTTACATTGTGCTGGATGGACTAATCCACCATTCTGGTCTCCATGAAAGCAACAAGTATATACAGGAATAAATCATACCAAGGCAGAGTTCAACACATACATTCAGTCAGCAACAGAATTAATATTTTCAAATCTGAGAGGTATTTTTCAAGGTCAACTTCAAGCCTCATACAGGTTTTTCATTCTCATGCTTTACAAAAATGATTCGTTTTCATTTCTAGGTGAGAAGTATTGGAATGGTTCTTATTATGATGATAGTTTGTGGTAGTCATCTGAAATATGTCAGTACTTTCACACAACATAAAGAAATGACTTCCATGTTGGGCCAAATATTATTTGTATGGTCCATTATTTTACTTTTAACTCCAGCATTAGATATTGTAAGTATCTTAACTTTTGTGTTTCATGATGAATACCCAATTTTGAATTTATGAACAAGACTTTATCTTATGGGGATATTTATTTTGGATACCCATGTCCTTCTCTTGATCCATTTACATTTAAACTAATTTTGTTTTGATTTTGGTATATGAATATATGATTATCAAATGCTTACTTGTGCATTATACTACTGCCTTTGTCCCAAATTACGAAATATTGTTATATATTGGTATTTTGTATTATAGATAGCTGTTATACAGCAAGGAACATCAGAAGGAATGTCTGTATCATTATTAATAGGATGTGCCTTATCATCATTATCATGGTTACTTTATGGTTATATGCTCAAAGATCTATATATTTATGTAAGTAACAGTAATAACTGTAAAACCATGTCTGCTCTTCAACCTCTTTCCCTATAGCCAGAGTATGCTACTTGAGTGGTAAAGTGAAAGAAAAAGACTAGTCGTTTCCATCCTCACAATGTCAAGCTATTATGAACTTTGTCATATACCTTGACTGCAAGCCACCTTTCTTGTATCTTGGAATGCAGTGACTTGATTGGATTGTAAGGTAGCGAACACAGCTCTGATTGGCTGTATTCATTAGCATACAATCCAATAACATTGCTGCATTCCATGATACAAGAAAGTTCGCTAATGATCTCAGATATTAGAAGCAGTTGTTTCAAGCTTATTATTAAATTCTTGATAAAATGAGATTAGAGCAAATTCTATGGTAAACTAAAATTTATCTCCTGCAACTTTGTTTTTAAATTTGAAGCACAATCATCTTCTATTTTTATTTTCAGGGACCAAATATTCCTGGTACGGTTGTTAACATCGGAAAATTCATCGCATTATTTTGTTATAAAAAGCCTTCGAAATCCTTGAAATCTGAATAGCAATCAGGGGTTGAAGCATAACATTGATTAATATCTGGACCAATAGTATAGAATATTATGTAGAATTATACCTGTAGTTCCTTATTTTATCTGTAGATATATGACAAATACCTTTATAGTATTTCTTTCTCACAGTTTTTGACAACTACTAACTATTCACAAAAATTTTTGCTTAAGATTGATTTTGGGACTAGTATTGAAAAAGAGGTTTGAAGTTAATGTTGATGCCTTTAATGTAAAATTTCAGCTATTTTGCTTTCATGTTTCAATAGGAATTTCAAATTTCATTTTTTAACGAAAACTGTGAGAAAAAAATTACTGTAATTAAATTTTAACTTCTATTTTGTTACAGTGTATGCACAACAATTAGTATTATATATCTGTATTTGCACTAACAACAAAACTAAATTCTAATAATTATTAATTTTAGTAATTGGTAAAGGTATGTGTATTAATTCTTATTATTCACAACAAAAGTTTTTTCCGTTAAGATTTTAAACATGATTTTATTTGATTTATTTGACAATAACAATCTGATTAAAGTGCAGATTAGATGTTTGGTTTCATGTTTTTTCTGTGAGAGTATACAAGCGCAATCAACCACAGAACAAATATGAAATAACTAAACCTCTTGATCTGATTCTGATTAGATTGTGACTAGTATAAAACCAAAGTTTTTATTTTTCTCTTGAATTTTAAGGCAGTTATATCTACTATCTCCAGACTGAGGCAGAATTTATTAGTAGTAGTGCACTTACTGTATCAGAAGGCTTATTTAATAAATGATGTAAGCTTAGTTTCGCCTTGTTTTAGTTCCCCCTGTTTTTTTTTTCTGTTAAAAAGTACAATCTAGTCCAGAATCTGAATGTTATACTTCAACCGTGTACGGTTATTCTTTGTTCATTATTACTTAGAGGAGAATATAAGATTGATATATTTTTATATGTCCTTTAAGATATAAAGATGACATGATTTAACTTAGAAACTGTCTGTTCTGGAATTATGATATTTCAAAAGAAAGAGACTGGATATGAACTTTTTGCTCTGAGCTTTTGCAATTGATCTAAGTGAAGATAGATCCCAAGCTAATAAATCTTGCTTGAATGCGAATATCATTATAGTCACTAATTAATTGCTTTCAGGATTTTTTATTCGCACTTAAATTCAATTCTCTCAAAGGCAAGCATTGTTTACCACCCATGGTACACCATAATAAATTGCATTTAAACTTTCAAATGCAGAACTCAGTTTCACTTGAAATCATGTCATTTTTGGTCATTTTTAATATCACCATGTATGAATGAATGAGTGTTTTGTATGATAAATTGTATGAATGTTGGTGATTATAAGCTGGATTAATTTTTTGGTCGTATCCAGTATCCCTGCAAATTTTAGGGGCAAAATATATGATAAAAAAACGATAACAGTCAACAAATGTGAATTGAATTTCTGTAGAGAGTAAGCATTTTTCTGAACTTCATTTGCTAAATTGAACATTTAAATGTTTTTCACCATGAGCTTTATTTTCAAATCTCCAGTGTGACTGTGATTTACATATCCAAAGACATTCTCTGCAAATTTGACTCACAGTGCCACTTTGAAATGTTAAAAAATGGTGGGTGCTAATAACTTATCTAAACTAATTTTTTGCCAAATTGTTGTGTTGATCTAATGTTGTTAGAACATCCTGAAAGTGCCATAAAACATATTGATTCTTGAGCAACAGGAGTTTTATGTTGTTTCGTTAATGTAAATGAATGTAATGATATTGAGCTTCTTGGTGTTTAATCAGAGTTGTGCCAAATATTTGTCCAAATTTGGTTGTAATTATTACATATATTATATGTATGGGGAATATTTTTGATGGAATCTCTATACTCAAAAATAATATATAATATCACATATTATAATATTTGAAGATGATATACTATACAAAATTAGTATTGTTATCAATAAGATCGTGGGATAATAGTACTAAAATAAATAATACTTATACTTTCGCATCTTGATTATAGAAGAATCATTATCCATAGAACTGGCATTAGAGTTGCCATTATGAATGTTTTTGAAGAAATTGTTATCCATAAAATATTATCGAGATATTTACTTTATACAATTGCTATTCTACCAAAAGAGGATGCTTCCTATTTCTTAATGTTTGTTCAATATTATGATAATGTATCTTAATTTCGTACTCAAATCAACTGTGCTGGTATACCTCCCTTCATTTTCAGATTATCATGTTCTCAATAATCTATTGTGAAATTTGTTACTCACAATTCATGATTGAGAATTTGATATTATTAAAATGATTTTACTTACTTTAAAATCTTATGTATGAAAGATTTATATAGCAGTGCCTTATTTGATAAATAGTGTCAATGATATTATACTAGCATTGTTCATTTAGCTGTTTCAGCAATCTCCAAACTCCTGTTATTTCTATACTATCATATTTTTAGATAGGAAATATTTTGCCAAAAACAGTTAGCTTTATGGTCTAAAGTTTTAAATTAGAAAAAAAGTTGAAATCAACAGTCTTGCAACCATCTTGTTTTGGTGCTAAAATTATACAGGATAAAACCTTCCAATATGTGGAATTTTTAAATCTGCTCTTCCCGTAATATCATTAAAGTATCTTAGTCCTAGTCTTAAATTTTTCACTCTTACATATCTTCTGATAGTTTTTTGAATTTTTTCCATATATTTTTTTAGAAGAATTGGAATATCATCCTCAAAATAGTACTGATGGTCTTAAAAATATCTTTGAGTTGAAACAATATCTTTTGAAAGTTTGCATTGAAAAGAAACACATTTCTCTCCTAGAATTTTCAACCCCGAAAAGTCAAAGTTTAGCTGAAAATTGTCTTCTGTAAGAACAAATTTTGAAGATATAATGTGTGCTTATGCTTATAATTTATTCAGCGCAAAGACATTTTAAGACTATCAGTACTATTTTGAGGTTGCTATTCCAATTCTAATAATAATTACGGGGAAAATTCAAATTTTACTTTGCTCAAACAATAGTCGAGTGTGTGAGGCTACAAGGGCATGGTCAGAGTCAACAAGTGTAGGATCATTTCAAATGTATTTTATAGTGTAATATGCTTGTATTAAACTGCATTTGATCTATATTGTATGAATAATGAACTTGAAATGAAATATAAAGGGATAATTGAGGTGTAAAATGGGGTTAATTAAGGTTTTTAGTCAGATGGAAACATTTTTGTTGTGAAATGTTTATTAATGTATTGCACTGTTTTATAATAGACATATGTATTATAAATATTACTATGTAATATATTCTAATTATTGATTTTAAAATAAAATGTTAATTCTCATTTCTGTATTTTATTCACATAACTTATTGCTACCCCAATGGGTCATTCAAGAAGCCTTCAGCCAATACTTTGTGCTTAGCTGTAGAACATAAAAACTTATTTAACCAAGGTCCTGGTAAAAGTTTCCCTCAATACACACTGCATGGCGTTGTCCATCTTCATTAGCCCATTAGATGCACAAAAGTAGGATGTAAAACTCAAAATATTTCATTTTCTGTAAATAAGTATCTAACAATTGCCTACAACATGGTAACGGTCACAAATATTGTTTTAAATTGTAAACGAACCAGATTCGTTATTTTAAAAAGGGATAGATCAACATAAACTCTTTATCAGCTGAGAGAGCAAATATTTAGAGGTCTTGTAATTCACTGAAAATATGTAGCCAAATTTAATCTTTTAGACACTCCATAATTCCCACTGTAACTATAGGTTCTATTTATTTTATTGTATATACCAGCGTAAGTTAACGTAATCTAGTAAAACTTATTGCTAGATGTCGGTTCAGCTTGATTGATTTAAGACAATTAACCCAAGTGAGGCCAACCAACAGCTTTGACTGTGATCACCCAATGAGTGAAAACCTTTCAGTGGGTCAAGATTTCAGGTCACTTTTCATTTAGCTGTGGCCAAAGTCCCCACGTAGTACTTTGCAAGAATTAAGGAAAAAGGTTTTTCAGATAAAGGTTGCAGAAACTGCGGCGCGTTTGGCTTGTATGTGATTCGTATTCAATATTGACCCAGCTGGTATACTCTTATCACGTGACCATAATAGAGGGAAATACGAACAAGAGACTGATATACTTCACTGGAGTATTGTGATATGGAGACCGGTGATGGGATAGTAAGAAGAAAGTTAAATTTTAATGACAAATCTTTCGCTTTAAAGTCGTTTTATGTGGATATTAGAAGTGTTTCAGTGAGAAATAGAGTAACAAAGTATATCCATGACCTCGGAGGAAGGGTAGAAACATTTTTGAGCAAAGATATTCACGTTTTTGTCACAGATACAAAACCTACGAAAAGGCAAAATCGTGTACTACAACTTAACAACCAAAGTATCAATGATGGAAGCTCCTATGCTGAATATTCTTCGACTGGCGGAGGATGCTTACCACTTAGTCGGGGAAAGGCTCTGTTACTCAAGGCTAGAGGAAATGGAACTAGTGACAATTCCAGTGCAATAGACAGAGGACTCAGTAGTAATGTTATGATACAAAAGGCTACAGATTTAGGACTTAAAATCGACCATGCACATGTATTTTTAAAGAAATGCAAATTGCTATCCGGCTCAGTGAAAGTGAACAAATGTAAATCGGATACTTTGGTGGATATTGTGCCTTTAAAATGGGACAATGAAAGTTTTGTGATAAAAATAGAAGACGAGTCGAATTTGTATAAACCATTACATAAGCAATTTGATAAATTACCTATGGTTTATGTTGACAATGGGGGTGGGTCTCCCTTTGACGGACCAGTGGTATTAGAAAGGCCAGAAAGTGTTAAGAGCATAAAAGCGGCTAAATCGACTAAATTTTATACTGCCAAAGGCGGTTATTGTGAAATGTGTGATTATTATTTTAAAGGGTCATTAAGGGAACATTTATTAAGTGAGAAGCATAAATCCTTTGTGAGTGATGAATCTAATTTTACCGGTGTCGAAAATGTGGTCAATAAACTCCCGAATTTGAGCAAATTTTTAACAAAATTTTGTTTATCAATGCCAACACTGCCAAATGAAAAGCATGTTGAAAGTGAAGAAACTGTGTATGAACATCCACCCGACCTTTGCAGCTTCGAAGATATCAACAAGAATAAAAACCTAGAAAAAACAAGCAGTGAAATATTAGCAGACGTAAACAAGCCTTGTGATGTAGAAGATATTTCCATGGGGCACACTGAGAAAGATTTTACATCAAGTGATACTATAATTTACGAATACCAGGAACGGTTGAAGGGAGGCAACTCCATTGAAAGAGAAAATCAGACAAACGTTGATAATGTTCAGTACGCCGTTGTATCGACATTGCATAGGCCTATGTTTAGTGATGATTCCGTTCCAGATTCACAAACTGACGTTTTGAAAAATATGATTAACAATTGGTCTTTAAAAGACGATGGAAGCGAAGTGAAATCCACTATGCTTTGTAGCACACCAAATGTCCTAGATCCTCCATTGGCAAGAGTGGTTCCTGGTTTGCCAAAACCAGTTGGTGTGGCACCGATTTATTCTGATTCTGAACCTGATATTGGAATGTCTTTTAGTACACCCACAGCAGACAATAGATCCCTTTTGGGTGATATTATGTCGTCTCTAAAAAATATGAACGAACCTATTATTTTGGACAGAAATGTCGAAGAAGCGTCGAAGGATGACAGACTAAAACCTGTAAAAAGAAAACATTCGGACGTGGAAGAAGATTGTGTTTATTATTCTGAAAAGACAGACGAGACAAATCTTAAAATCAAATTGTGTAAACTAACACCTGCTAGTCAAAAAACGAACCTTAAAATGTTTTGGAAAGTGAGGAAAACCGGTGACTGTCGTTTAGTGTTCAGTGCTGAAAAACTGAAAAAGCCATTACGCGACTGCAATAGTGACAATACGAACAGAGATAATCCTTCCAGAAAAAGACAAAGAACGTTACAATTTTAACCTTATTTTGAAAAAAAATATATATAAAAAATAACAAAAAAAAAGATGTCATATTTTTATGTCTATCGCCAATTTTATAACGTTTGTCATGGTATTCTTAGTATTTGCTCGTTTTATAATTTATCCATGTTATGTCAATTTTTTGTTTAATGAAATAAATGATTTGTCAATAGCTCCGTTTTTATTGGTTTTAACTTTCCAAAGACGTTATTTTAAGCCTATAATAGGCATTTGAAGACCTCCAAGTTTAAACAAAAGGCTAGGTTATGAAACATTTGGATCAAAAATAGAGCGTAATATACTATACGTGCAAGGCATTGTTTTATTTTTGAAACATATCTTCAAAACTTTTACACTTTCACTGAAATGCCACAATCCTGATATCCAGAATTATCCGGATAAATCAAAATGATGATTTTTTATTTTAATATTATAGGCCTTATTGAGTATAGCTCAAATCAATGCCGTTGTAGTCTGTAGCTATTCTGTCGGTGGTTGTATCTTATGGTCGGTAGTTAAAAGGCGGATATCTAACAATGATGGTGGACAATGTGTAAAAATACGATTTTAATGAATTAATTCCAAATAAAGCAAGCCTCTAACTTAAAGGAATGGCGAATAATCGTGTTCTGGTAACTGTTTATGTTGTACTACTATATCTGTTTTGCATGTCCTGATCCTACCAAAAATCAAGTTTAGGAAAGAGAAGTGTGTAATACTTAGGCCTTCCGACAGTCCTGTTATCCCACATAACAGTGAACACTAGCAGAATGACGTATAATACCTATAAAAAATACTATAAAGCTTCTTAAACCTCTTCATTTCAGCAATGGGCAACTTTTGCAAGGACATGGTGGATATTTGATGCAAATCATCAGTGCCACATTAAGAGTGCAAAAAGAATTGCTTTATATTTGCAGGGAAAACATAAACCTATTTATCACCCCTTAAGTAAGTAGATTTCTATACTGAAAGGGACACAGTTTTCCTATCATTCACTATCCTACTAATCACTTTAATAGAATGTCTATAACATCATAATATGATGTCATATCATATCATATGTCCATTTTATCACTATACAAATTGTTTTGAGACATTATTGGTAATGCACAGCCTTGAAGTCTGTGTCATCATATCCATGGATTCAATCACCTATAGCCATTTCAAATATTTTTGCTGAATGTCTTGAATTTGCATGCTTGCTATATAGACGCTTGTATAAAAATGTACAGAGATGTATCAGTAGTTTAGTATTACTTTATATTTTCTGACCTAGGTGACATTGGAGATCATGTAGTTGTTATTAATACAGCTGGTATTTCTATGAGAAATGATTTTTGGAGAAAGTGGAAATATAATCATCATACAGGGTAAGAATTGTTCAAAGTACGTCTTTTATTTTTATGGGTTGTGAAGAGGTGCCATTTTGCCTGTATTTCCACCATTCCGTGTCCTTGATGCATATTAAGAGAGAAATCTAACTTTAATTTAGAATATTTATTAAATTAGTCCTATAAATCACATTGTTTCATTGGAGAAGATTTTTTCTTTGCAAATTTAATCTTATATGTTTTAAAAATATGAACTGATATTTTTTGTTTTATATTCAGGTATGCTGGTGGACACTCTGTTACATCTGCCTGGAGGTTACATGAGCTTGATCAAACTAAGGTAAGCATACCTTGACTTCAATAAATGCTTTTATTATATCACAAAAGTTTGTGATTTTATCAGATTGCAACTACTATTTTTCAACTGTGCTGTTTTTTTTATCTGCAGTAGAAAATCAACCTTTTTATAATCTCTGTAAATTTACATGAAATGTGCCTAATGATTTCAAAGTGTACGACAAATGTTGTAATAACTTGACAATGTGAAGATGAAGTCAAATTTCTCATAACTTTCTCTGGCTTCAGTCATCCAACATAAGTTGAAGAAAAATGATTTTTACTTAATTCTGTCTCACTATTATTTGACAGGTAGTAGAAAAAAGTGTGTATGCAACATTACCTGGTAATTTATTACGAAGAAGAATGATGAGAAGATTGCATTTATTTACTGATGATGTAAGATTCATTAATTTATATTTATAAGCTTACACAGTTAGTTCATAGTCTTAGCTTCTTGTCTTTGTATCTACTGATATTTTTTGTTGTTGCACCAACAACTGATAATCTCTGATGCAGGCAGTTGGCATTAGTTGCTTGTGTTCAACAAAAGTGGACTTTACCGTCAGCCTCAGAAGTTAGAATCAGTGACAATCCAGTTGGACACAGTTGTCAGTTGCTAGTCGATCAATTTCTGGATATGAGTGATATGACAGATTCAAGGACATGCTTTGAATCATAAGTCTATCCAAGCCCACCGTTACAGGACATAATGCAAACTTATCTTTGCTAATTAATAAATGATGTCACCAATTTCAAAATTAACATATTATTTGGTAACTGTGGAAAAACTAATTGACAGTAATATTTAAGTAAGGAGTTTGTCTGTAGTTATTATTTCAATGATAATGAATATCAATAGCATAATGTCTGAAGATTTATACACAGTTAATTTTTATGTCATCTCTATTTCAATATGACTCATTTCCTTTATAGAATGTACCAGATGATATTTTACAAAATGTCACAGATCAGATCCGTCAAGTTACTGTGGTACCTAGACTTATTCAAGAATATACACAAGAAGAATTAGATGCTATGCCTAAATTATTTGATTGGTATGTAAGAATTTTTTTCAAGAAATAAATGGAAGCCATTTGGTATATAACATGATCTTCACACTTCATACTATTATATCACAGAAGTTTGTAAATGAAGCGATTTGAGTGGATTGTACGCTAGCAAATACAGCCAATAAGAGGCATCGACAGAGAGTCAGCACACAAAAAGCCACAAAGTTTACAGCCTTGCTGGAGAGGGTTTGATTTCATATAACTCCTATAATTGATAAGTGTTGTATATTCCCCAATAGATTTTATTGCCGAATATGTTTTACTGAAGTTTGTGTTTTATATTACAGGCCTGATGATTATGAAATAGAATTTAAACGTAGAAAAGAAGATGATGAAATTAAAAAATATCTAAAGTGACATTAAAACTTAGCAAAATGTGTGTGAATGAGTATGGAATTTGTAAAAAAAATAAATAAATAAAAAACAAATAAATTGTTTCTTAATGTGATGCATTTAGTGAGCAGGATCACTGTAACAGCAAGGACGCAGGCAATTGTCATTATATATTGTTATTTCAGCCTTCTGAGAAACCAATGTCCCACTAGTATAGGGTTTATTACCAGTGGTGATGCCAAGGGGGGCACAATAAAAATGGTTTTCATCTTCAACTGTACCCCACGTTATTTTTAACAAATTTAAAAAATAAAGAGTTTTTATACTTATTTGCCCCAAAATATGTGCCACAATGCACCAAATCAATTCAATTTTCGAAATTTTCTTGGGAGAAATATTATCTTAAAGTAGTGAATAATTTCTATAAAAAGCTTTACGACAGATCTCACAACACTATTATTTTCAATACTTTAGTAATTCCTATTTAATGATTTACGACAGATCTCACAACACTATTATTTTCAATAATTTAGTAATGTCTATTAAAAGCTTTACGACAGATCTCACAACACTATTATCTTCAATAATTTAGTAATTTCAATAAAAAGCTTTACGACAGATCTCACAACACTATTATCTTCAATAATTTAGTAATTCCTATTTAATGATTTACGACAGATCTCAAAACAATATTATCTTCAATAATTTAGTAAGTTCTATTAAAAGCTTTACGACAGATCTCTCAACGCTATTATTTTCAATACTTTAGTAATTCCTATTAAATGATTTATGTCAGACCTCACAACACTATTATCTTCAATAATTTCTATTAAAAGATTTACGACAGATCTCACAACACTATTATCTTCAATAATTTAGTAATGTCTATTAAATGATTTACGACAGTTCTCACAACACTATTATCTTCAATAATTTAGTAATTCCTATTAAATGATTTACGATAGACCTCACAACACTATTATCTTCAATAATTTCTATTAAAAGATTTACGACAGATCTCACAACACTATTATCTTCAATAATTTAGTAATGTCTATTAAATGATTTACGACAGTTCTCACAACACTATTATCTTCAATAATTTAGTAATTCCTATTTAAAGCTTTACGACAGATCTCACAACACTATTATTTTCAATAATTTAGTAATTCCTATTAAATGATTTACGTCAGACCTCACAACACTATTATCTTCAATAATTTCTATTAAAAGATTTACGACAGATCTCACAACACTATTATCTTCAATAATTTAGTAATGTCTATTAAATGATTTACGACAGTTCTCACAACACTATTATCTTCAATAATTTAGTAATTCCTATTAAATGATTTACGACAGACCTCACAACACTATTATCTTCAATAATTTCTATTAAAAGATTTACGACAGATCTCACAACACTATTATCTTCAATAATTTAGTAATGTCTATTAAATGATTTACGACAGTTCTCACAACACTATTATCTTCAATAATTTAGTAATTCCTATTTAAAGCTTTACGACAGATCTCACAACACTATTATTTTCAATAATTTAGTAATTCCTATTAAATGATTTACGTCAGACCTCACAACACTATTATCTTCAATAATTTCTATTAAAAGATTTACGACAGATCTCACAACACTATTATCTTCAATAATTTAGTAATGTCTATTAAATGATTTACGACAGTTCTCACAACACTATTATCTTCAATAATTTAGTAATTCCTATTAAATGATTTACGACAGACCTCACAACACTATTATCTTCAATAATTTCTATTAAAAGATTTACGACAGATCTCACAACACTATTATCTTCAATAATTTAGTAATGTCTATTAAATGATTTACGACAGATCTCACAACACTATTATCTTCAATAATTTAGTAAATTCTATCAAAAGATTAACCACAGGCCTCACAACACTATTATCTTAAAGTGCTTAGTGGTAGTGGCGGCTAGAGAATGGGGGTACAAAATGGGGGCAGCTGACTTCATAGAGGACAAGTGTCGAGCTTCAGACTCAAATTGTGGCAGCTCTCCGGGCCACGGAGGCATGAGAGGGATCCCCCCCCCACCCCCCCAAGGAAATTTGTATAAAATGGAATTGATTTAGTGGATTTTGACATATAATTTGGTTCGAAAACGTATAATATCCATATTTTTAATTGTGTTAAAAATGAAGTCAGGGTACAAACAATAGGCGGACCTATACATTTGTTCACTTCACTCAAAGAAAATTCAAACAAATATGTAGGAGTGCGTGATGAAATTAAAATAACAATTAAATTTTTGATAAGATCTGAGTTGAAATAAGTTTAGTAAACTCACAGAGGGCTAAGAACCTAATACCTTAGTCTTATACAGCTATTTGAAAAAAATTAACAATGGGTTATATTTTCTAGTCATTCTCAAGACATAATTAAAGATTATCATGTAATCAATTGATCGATCAAGCATTTCGATTGATTAAATCTAATGACGTAGTTAGTAATGGTAATCTAATATGGTTTTGTATTCTAAACAAAAACATATTGATCTTTGTGTATAATAAGAGCTTTGTATTGAATGTACCTTTGATGAATACTTTTGAAGGGCGTACGCAGAATAGGGTTAACTTTTCTCAGATTATTCGAACATCATAAAGGATTTTTTATTTATCACCGACATCACAAACTTATTAGAAGTAGGCGTATAAAATCGCGTATCTCTGGACAGCGAGATGGGTTGCCTCCGTAAGCATAGTTATATTTCTGAGGAGAGGTGGAATATCTGCCCAGAACCGAAAAGAACCAGAGTTTCTTTGAAAATATTTGCGACGGCTGCCCAATTAAGGTCGGGTGGTTGCATATTATACCAAGGTGTACCAAGGTGTGAATCCCAGAATATCAAGAGGCAATCTGATATCGGCACCGGACTCGTACACGAAAGAAAAGCAATCTGTGACCCAAAGTCACGTTCATTTTCCTTGGTAAATTCAGCAACCTCCTCTAACCCACCCACCCCAAACCTAGGATTTAACAGTCATTCACCACAGGGCTGAACATTATGCGGATATTGGACTTCTTTTTTAACAATAAGTCACAATAATAGTTGCATGGATTATCAAATTACCCACTAGGGAGTTGAATGTTAAAGTGGGTTTTATTTCATTAATGATCAGAATGCATAATAGAGATCACAGGGGCCCGAGGTTGTCGGTAGAAGTCTGAAGTATTTGAAAATTTCCTTTAATACTGCAGACGAAATGTACTTGATAAGCTAATCAAGAATAGTTTCCGGATAGGAAAAACATCAACTTGGGGTACCGGTTCCTGAAACCTTCATTTACAAAATAGAGCTATTTTTTTCAATTTGATGAAGATTTCAATGACCTCTCTACATCAGGATTTCAATATGTAAAACCACCCGATCTATCTTTTTGTGTAAAGACGTCGATGCAATTTCAAAGACAAGGTCCAAACGGACTCTGATAATTTGCAACTGTGGAAAATACGTTGTTGGTGTAGACCATGGATATGTCTATATTGGGTTTCTTATCGAATCTTTCCTTTGTAGCTAATTAAATTACGTTAAATTACAAATTTTATAATGCATAATACATTTTAGCGAGTCCCTGTGATGTACAGAGCTACCGGGTTTCTAAAGGTATTTAGATAAGAAATCTAGTAAAGATCACATTAGTCAGGATTAAGTGTGATCAGTAACTGACTTATACCAACTTTAACCGATAATATTTAACAAATAAGGAAAAGTCAGATTGGACGAGATAAGACAGCTACAAAAAACATGAGTACTTCTTTAAAACGAGCGTCAATTGATCAAGGTACAAGAGCTTCTTTGATCATGACTTCTGCAGCGTTGAGCGGACGACCAACGCCGTTCTTCAAGATTGAGAACACTTACAAATTGGAACCAGATAAACCGTTTTCACCAAGTGCTGTGTCTAAAGTTATTAAAGGAATTTTTGAAGAGGAATTAAAGAATAAATTTTACGAACCTGCACAATGTAATTTACTTTCAGCTCAATTAGCAGATCTCATCAAAAAGGGAGTGAAAGATTTGGGATTTTCAAGATATAAGCTAGTGACAATGGTAGCTGTTGGAGAACCCAAATCAGCGTCGGTAGCGTTCACAAGCCGCTGTATTTGGAATGACAAAGTGGATAATTATTCAGAATTTGTTTATAATGGTGATAATATATATGCTGTTGGTTTAGTCTATGGAATATATAGTGAATAACCCACAGCAGTTTAAAACTATCGACGACGTTAGTAGAAATTTTATGTGTGCACATCTGTAAAATTCTTATGATCTTTTATGTAAACTGTATGGTTACTTGATATCTTGGATGACCAATTTTGATTAAAAACGAAAAGAACTTACAAGGTTTTTAGTTAACACTTCCCCATAACGTGCTGCCACAGTTATCTACTTGAAGACATGCCCGGTTTGGTCATCACCCTGCCTTGGATATCTTCTTTTCACCAAACATGAGATGCATGGCCGAATGGCTTACTCTTTAAATAAATATGCCAGTACCAACAACAAAAATGGACTCTTTTAATCCAATCCTTTTAATCCAGTCTTTGTGTATAATATGTTTCACTTCCTATTAGTTGATATAAATCAATTCAAAGGAAACAATATAAATAATAAAAAAATATTTCTGCTTTCTATCATTTTTTTTTTATTCCGTTTTATATTTTTGAAAACAAAAAATATGACAAAACAATGTCATAGACACATATTTTTGTATAATAAATGCACATGATAAAATCTAGAATATTACAAAAAAAAATGACAACAAAAACAACAGAATGATTGTTTTTAAAAGCTATGAGAAATAAAATAATGAAATTAAGATCCAAATTTACAAAAAAATATTACTTATATTTCTTATATTTACATACAGAACTAATTCAATCTGGATTCATCATTACTTGAAGTAACAATTTATGTTATAAATACAACAAAAATTATCCCAAATTAAATACAGATTTTGACTATATTTGGGATCCTTTTTGTCTTTTTTATGATTAAAGTTTAGGTCTGATTTGACCAAATTTGTTAGGTCTGCTTTGCCTATAACCATGAGCAATTCCAAAATCATTTATTTGTTGTCAGCAAAGTACAGTCTTTTGTTATACATTTACCAATTCTCTCCCACACAAGACCACAATATGGTCATTTGCCTTAGTGAATGGTATTGCCAAGCGTGCCTAATTATGGGGTGACAGACAAAAATATATTACAACTACAATACCGTGCTCCAAAAGAAAGAAAGAAGGAAAATAAAATCAAAATAGACAAAATCATCATTATATGATTCTTCTATATACATATATAAGAATTTCATTCAAATTATTTCATATTTAATAAAAGATGGAAATATTCTACATCTTTGATATAAGTAAATTAGCAGCCAACGTTGTCACATATTTCAACATCTACTGAAATATAAAAAGAATCATTTAAAGGGACTTGAAGACATATAGAAATAAAATGTGAAATTTCTAGTTTGAGGTATTTTTATAGTACTTCTGAAGACTATTAACATTTATTAAACCCTGAAAATGAAAACCAGGGCCTTTAAAAGTGCCTTAGTCTTGTTCTCCTAAATGAAATTCTCCTCTCCTAAAGGCATCTTTAATAACATTCTAAACTCACTATTGTGATAATATATAGCAGCTTTATTTTAGTCATGACACTATAGACAACAGGAAGTTATTAAATTATTGATTTATAAGGAGTCAAAAGGATTAATTGAGAAGATTACAGGTCATAACTCATAATACATATATTTTTAATTTTTTTTCTTCTGAATTTTAAAAGGGTGCATACTTGTAAATTAACTTATCAACTTACTTTTTTTATGGTCTTCCTTGTGCTGTTCTTGATCCTGACACATACATATCTATAATAAATAATATAGTATTATTAGACATATATATATATCTTCCCTTACTTGAATTAAAGTAGATCTAGTTAATTACTGTAAAAAAATATACAGCTTCTGACTAGTCGAGTTATGTACTGTTCACATGCGAGTATAGCATAGGATAATAATCGCACTTCATTCTATTTCTTTATTAACTGTTTTCGATTTAGATGTACATATTAATGAACCCATTTTTCAAAATCCTGTTTTATTTGTAATAAGAATTTCTATAAGGAACTTTGTTCAACTTTGATAGGAGACAGTTCATCTGTCAAAATAAAATAAATGGTCTTACTAGTATTTCTGGATGATGGAATATTTGAGTGTTGTTTATAATAATTTGATCCACCATTTGGCCCCTGCTATAAAAAATGAAATAAAATATTTACAAATTGGGAGTTATAATGGGTATATTCATGACAATAAACATTATAACAAGTGAAAAGATTTTTATATAATTTCCACCTACTACGAGCATTGATAAAGATATTTGGAGAATGAGCCAAGTTACATTAATGTCAAATCAAGAAACTTTTAGTTACCGAACCTCATAGCTTTCATTGCCGGGAATTTTATGCTGGTTATGCACCCAGGTATACAAGAAAAAAACATGTTATCAGTGTCAGGTCTCTTATTGCCTACGACCATAGGCTTTCATTTGAAAGCACAGCATTTAGTTTTTTGTTTGAGAGCCTGTGTTCAATATATTTTGCAATATTTTAAAGGGATTGTAAAGAGGTTTTTTCTAAATTTTTTATGTGTATCGGGAACACTAATAGCTTCAATTTGCACCATTCTAATTTTCATTCAGATGTCTGTAATTCCACTAAAACTAATGCGTTTTATGACGTCACTATAGGGGAGCTAGCGGAAGCTACGTTTAATATCTATGCAGTTCCCCTCTGGTGACGACATAAAACGCCTTAGTTTTCGTGGAATTGCATGAGCCACAAACATCGGAATGAAAATTGGAATGGTGCAAATTGATGCTATCAGTGTCCCCGATACACATAAAAAGTTTAGAAAACACCATTATGATCCCTTTAAGATGAAAATCATCCATTAATAAAGCAAGCCAAGCCAAGCCAAGCAACAATTGGTCTGTTTATGTATATATTTCAAGGCCAAAGCTTAATAGAACCTTATTAAAAACGGACATTTGAGCTGTGATAGATAATGAGATATTAGAAACTGAGTTTGTTGATGGTAGATTGCTAATCTATGATTTAAAATGTCCAAAATTTAGGATTATATCATATTGTATAGAAATTTGCAATAAAAGCAAATATCTAGGGGACTTTATTCATAAAAATAAATACTTTATCAAACAATAAGAATGCATATTAATTTTAATAGCTGAAAATTTATATTATGTATGTAAATTCATATAACATATAAAATCACATAGCGTGAAACTCTGAGTAACAACATGATTCATGTTCTGTTTTAATAATTTTTTTTATTGTTTTTTCAATACAACTCCAGATTTTCTTATGGACTGAAAGCATTTGACCCCAAGGTGAAAGTTTAAGAATAAGACATATGTTTATGTGTCAAGGATTCTGTCTAGTTGGTGCTAGAAAATGATCTTTTTACAACTTAAGCCTAACTTAAACTTGAGAGAGATAAAACCAGAGGAATCAGTCAATAATCGGCAATTAAGTTTGCGGTACAAATTGGCAATGAACAAACACTGAATTATGGAGGTACAAAATGGCAATGAACAAACACTGAATTATGGAGGTACAAATTGGCAATGAACAAACACTGAATTATGGAGGTACAAATTGGCAATGAACAAACAATGAATTATGATGGTACAAATTGGGAATGAACAAACACTGAATTATGGAAGCACATATTGGCTATGAACAAATACTGAATTATGGAGGTACAAATTGGCAATGAACAAACACTGAATTATGGAGGTACAAATTGGCAATGAACAAACAATGAATTATGAAGGTACAAATTGGGAATGAACAAACACTGAATTATGGAAGCACAAATTGGCTATGAACAAATACTGAATTATGGAGGCACAAATTGGCTATAACAAACACTGAAGAATGAAAACACATCAAAGTAACAATGATACCTGTCTATGATGTTGTAATGGTATATTATTGTATGGTTGATGAATATATGTATTATACATATCTAAATGACTACCAAATGGAACATTACTGTGTGCAGATTGTACATTGGCATGTCCAGATGTGTCATAAACCTAAGATATATCAAACAGCATGTCAAGAACAAAATTTTCCCCAAAAAACTGTCCTGACTGTGCAAACCAATAAGACTTTATGTATACTTTGGCAGCAGAGTCGATAAATTTTTGGCTGATGCAAAACGTTCCGTTTTCCGTCAGGACCAGAATGCAATAAAGAGTGACATTACAGTAAAGTGGTCTGGGATCAGTTCTTAAACTGTAGTGATATTTGAAACCATTCTTGATACTTTCTTGGGTATGTGCAGTAAAGCATTTTGAGAACAGTTAGTGTTTACATTACATCAATTTATCAAGACTACCACTTCAAGGTTGGTCAGAATTTGAACAGTTCTCAAAATGCTGTTTACATTACACAAAACTTATCAGTGAAACCATACTAGAACCAATTCATTGAACCAGTTCATTGTAAATTCTAATTCCTTGTAGAAAAATATCTTCAAACTAAAATGAAAGCTGTTGACAATACACTCTAAAATGCACTAAGTCAATAGATATTTCTAACTATATATATTTACCTGTGAACTAGGATTGGGTATTAATGGTTGTGAATTATCTATCTTAATAGACATTAAAGGCATAGGTCCATTTCTTCCACCCTCACTAACTTGTCTTCGAACTGAAAAGAATCAATAGAGATAGGGAGATTTAAATCAGACCTTAAACTTAAGTCATAAGATAATCTGCCATTTCCACCAATGATTAATGAGTAAGAATGTATTTTAAATTGTCTATCTTCATATTCTTCAGTCATCTGAATATGTGATTTTCCAGTTGATCAAGTTAAATTTTAGCCATCAGCAGTATCATAATGAAAATCCTAAGACCCAAATCTAATTTTTATCAAATTGTAGACTAATCAGACATCAGTTTTTATCATGGGAAGTGATATGGATACCTAACATTAAGTTCGATTAACTTGTCAAAAATAAAAGCTGATAAAAATTGGATGAAAGTTTGATCTAATTGTTATAAGACTGCGTTTGGGAAATATTTCAGTATCATCATATCAGTCAAGTCTTACCTGGTGTAGGTAACAGAGCTGACTTGTGTTCAATACTACCATTATAGGAATTATTTCTCCTTCTGGACTCTCTACCTGGTGAATTCCTCATACCATTTCTATCATTATAAATACTGCCTTGTTGATGACCAGATGATGATCTACTGGGTGGTTGATGAGGGGAATGTTGGTGCTGATGATGAGAAGAATGAGATGGCTGATGTGGTGAATGGGGATGAGGGAGGGGTTGGGCTTCATAATTACTGACGTGATGAGATTGGGGATAATGAGACTGATGGTTTGATGATCTAGAATGCTGTTGCTGATGTGAATTATATTGTTGCTGATTAGAATGCTGTTGCTGCTGTAGATGATGTTGGTGATGTGAATTGTTATTTTGTTTTATATGTTGTTGTTGTTGCTGCAGCAGCTGTTGCTGTTGTTGTAGTTGTCTTTGTTCTTTATATTTTTGCTCTCTGAAATGAAAACAAAGTCTGCATCAAATTGAAAAGGCTGGACTCATAATACAAAGATACACATGTCACAGACACATAAGACACACAGTCTTGTCTCAGCCTTACAGACACATCTCAGACATACAGTCAAGTCTAATCACAGTCATATATATCAATTTGGTTAAACGCAATGAGCTTTATTCATTCCATACCTTTCTTTTTTACGCTGTAAATTTTTAAGATGTTGAGGACATTTTTTAGCAATGTGTCCTATTTTACCACATTCCCTACAACCTCTATCATTAGGAGGTCGACCTTCTGTTAGTAATAATGGATCAAAAAAATAGTCCTGAAATAGAAAACATTTAATTCATAGCACCATATTATATAACTTTCAAACCATTATTGCCAGAAGGAAAGTGTTGAAACAAGTTTTGTTCATTTATGATTTTAGATAAGATAATCCCAAAATATATTATGTATTTGGAGCATTCAAAAACAGCATCAGTTGAAAAAAAAAAAAAATGTCAATTCTGTCTTACACTATATTGAAAAACGAGAGCAGCAGATCTAGTCTAACACTTGGTCACCATTTTTCAACCAATCTTACAATCAAAATGTACTGTAAATTGTAAACTTTACCAGGGAAAAATAGAACACTTGAAATAAAAACTGAGCAAAAACTGTGGGATATAGATATACTCACTGCTGGTGTGATATATTTCTCTATTAAATGTGGTACTGTATCAAATGGAACACCATATAACTCTCTAGCATTAATTAATGCTCTTAATATATAGTTATTCACTGTAATATAAACATATAACATAACATATAACATAGCAGATAACATACCATCAGATTACCAGATCATGATCATGAAAATATTACAGAACCTGGAATCTTGGGAGCATGGTTGATATGGATTCCAATTTTGGCCAGTGTGCAACAATCAGTTGACTTTAAATAAGCCATCTTTTCTCATTATTCTACTTGAGTTCAGATAATTCAGACAAAATCTAAGCAAGATAGTTAGTTACAAGGACTCTCAGTGCTTCCATACCGTCCGATTATAGGTAGCAATGGTACAGAAGAAACCTGCTCAGAACACTCCAATTGAGCGCCACCAATACCAATAGATAGACAGTACTTACTTTTCTTTGAAAGTCCTCCACCAAGATTATGGTTTAAATCAAATGGATCTGGAAAATTGATAAGAAATTATTTCATCTTAGCATACAGAATTTCGTTATTTAAGACCAAAAAAATGCAAAAGGTCAGATAGAGGGAGTATATTATGTATAAATTTTGGAAATATTGATAGCATTATCAGTCTGCATCTATGTAAAAAGCATCATCCCTACCTTCAACAGCAAGACATTCACCATTCCACAATTTTTCAAACCTAGTTAAAGGTCTCTTCTGTCTGATATTAATTACATTATCTTTAATAGGGAATTCACTATAATATTTAAATAATCCCAACCATAATTCCCCTATACCTTGTCTGTTTTTACCAAATTCTGGCCATACCTTAGGCTGAAATACAACATAAGAGGCTGCTTACAGAAAAAAAGTAAAAGAAAGTAACCACTATATTTTATAAATATAACTACTTAAGTTCACAAGGGATCCTTTCTACCAGCTGGTCCTTGGCCAAACCTTGGTATTGATCTTTTCAGGATTCTCTGTACCCATTTACAACAGGGCCAACTGGAATTATGAGTGAAATCATTGGACTTGCACACACTAACCAACCAAAATAAGAACAGCCCCTGTTTTTTCGACCTAACCAAGCAAATGGTGTCATGTAAAGAACCAACTCTCTAAACCACTTTTACTCATCAAATCAGCAATTATGAATGCAGATAATGTAGCTTGTAAATTGTCTTCTACATCATTGGAAATATTTGTTAGTAGAGATAAAAGGGTACCAACATAGTAAGAAGAAACATACCAATGCCCTGAGATCTTCATAAAACCACACATTCCAGCCTTCTACTAGTTGTTCAGGTTTATCTTCTTTAGGATTATAAAGCTACAAACATATTCAAGAGTAATGCTTTAAAATGCTTTGAAAACCATGCTGGATAATGGTAGGACAATTGAAGTCAATTTTCGAGAGAAAGACAAAAGAAGAAATCACAAAATTCCACAGAACACTTTTCTTGCACATTTCTGTTTTCAAACAAGTTGTCTATTCAAGATCACAAGCATAGATGCTAATACTAGTAGTTAAGGAAGACTGTTTAGGACAATGGCAGTTTTTTGCCTTAACCTTTCAGAAAAAGCACTGCTCAGCCATTTTACCTCATTGATATGCATAGACCTTCCAATTGTCTACTTAATATTTCTGATGGAAAGAAATAGCCATTACCTCTTGTAAGACTGGTATAACTGGAGGTGAACATTGTTGTAAATAATGTAATAACATTAAAACATAGGCATATGATGATAAACTACCTTTAGAGGCATCTCCAATCTCACAAATCTGTAGATATATATAAATAAACCATTAAAATTCATTAAAAACTACCATTCATTAGTTCATAGCTAAGTCAAAGATTTCTAAATTTTTTCATTCATACTATACGGATAATAACCCTAGAACTGAGTCTGTTTATTGGCCATCCAAACCCTTAAACTCATTAAATTCAAAATGATTAGAAATCATATATTTGTTTAGACGAGAAGGCAATCAACATTGGGTAAATAAATTTTATAGAGAAACTTACTTTGGCAAAAACTTTAAAAGCGTAACCTAATATGGATACCCTCTCATCTATACTGGAATAGGCTTCTAGTAATTTAGTGTTATGTTGTGCCTGAAATCAATAATCATTATGATCAGATAATCGGTGATATCAGGAAAACAGACTGGAATCAAACCTTCTTGCTTAGATAAATGTGGAGCTGATCCGGTTGAGGATAATCCAGAAACCCTGATATCCGCAGGATCTGGGAACAGAATATTTACAATGGAAAAGTAACCGTTAATCTGGTGCTCCAGTTTCCAGTACACGACTGTGATTGGGAACCAATTATCAAATTCTATAGTAATTAATATTCATCATCCAGTCACGTTGTCACTGTATACATGTATAACCACTACCTTGTTAATTTATGCTATTGCCTGTTACAAAATAATCCATAGTTAATGGATATCATTTTGATGATTTTGATGCTTATTAACATAGATGTTAATGGATTTATTTGATTATAGAGGGATTCTGTAGTATAGTTATGACACCAGATAAGTCCACTGATGAACAAAGACTCATTTTAACCAAGTTGAAAAATGTCAATGTTTTGATTATCCTAAGAGGTAGTATACCTCTATAAGTAGTATTAATATAGGCTTACCAATGTATTATAAAGACTAATATCGCCTTCTAAACCACTATGTCGATGTCTAAATTTCACAATGGGTACTTTAGCTGTTGTAATTGCTGTAATGGATCTCAAGCCATCATGTTTCTCCAACACGTTAGCTAGACTTTTAATAATTTCTGCAAAATCCAAACCCTACAAATATAAACACAAATAAACATTATTTACATCTGTTACATCTGTTACATCTATCTGTTTTCAAAACAAGAAATCATGTAAAGGCTTTAAAGGGATTGTAAAGAGGTTTTCTAAATTTTGTGTGTATCTGGGAAATTTGTACCATTCCAATTTTCAGTCCAAGGTCTGTGGTTCCAGAGGTCACTAATCACAAAATTTTCATTATCACAAAAGGCCCTTTGCGATTGGTGCAAACTGATGCTTTCAGTGTACCTTTAAGCATTTATAAATCCTCTTTACAATACCTTTAAGGCTTGAGGAATGACAGCATTCTGGCAAACCTCCACAGAATCAATGAAAATTTCACAACTTTACTATAATTTATGTTCTAATGATGACAAGTTCTGCTTTTCAATCAATTTTGTATCTTAAAATATATTTGACAATAAATATTCCCAAGTTAACAATAACCATACCATCTCATACCATATTTTATATTTCCTAATAAAATGCCAATGGATATAAAAAAAATCTTGTAACTTGAGCCAAGATCTCAGAAAGTTTTATACGTCACATAAGAATGTTAAAAGAATTCCAGTAATTTTGAGGAACATTACCTCTGCAGTTTTATCTTTAAAAGTTAAACAAATATCCAGATCACTTTTAGAAAAACCAAATCCATTACAAGATGATCCAAACAGTTGTAGACAGGCATCTAAACAAAAATACCAAAATAAACCATTATAAAGTTCAAATCATCAAATTCATTTCTGATCATCAGATTATTTTCATTTCCAGGTACCCATGTATCAATCAAAGCAGTATCACAGCGCAATTTAAAAAAAATTCCTTTTAAAACAAAACGTTTTAGCATGGATGATTGGGTGGATTAACCAATTCAGATATTAAGAAGTACTCTTAAGTATACTTTGAGTCAAAAATCATTTTCAAAACAAAAATTTACATAATGACATACCTGGGTATAATTTTCTCTGTATGAATGATTCAACATCACGTAATATCCTTTGTCTATCATACATTTCTTGACTTGTTGGAGCAAAATCTTCTACAAATTGAAGAATATTGCCATTAACATTGATTTCTGACTTACTGAACACCTGATATCAATCTCATTTTTCAAAATTTACAACAACAAAAAAATTTTAAATTTAAAAAAAAAATATCTAGTCCAAATAACTTAATACCCGTTTTTAAGATCTCTGTTCTTTTCGAAAGAAAAATGCCTGCATTCATGTGTTTACTTGTCTTCAAGCCATTAACTCATATAGTATGATATTATATATATATGTAGAGAGAGCTGATGAAAAAAAACCAGAACATTCCAACTTACGTATTACATTTTGCAGTGTTTTTGTTAAAACTTGTAGATGTTGATTGGTCATAGTGGGCAATGGACGTAAATTAGGTAAAACATCATCCGGACAACTTTCTTTTAGATGACCTTCAGTATCACAAAAACCACATATCACAGGTAACCCCTGGAAAGAGCATCAACAACAGATAACTGCAGTGATATATTTAATCCAGTCATATTTAAGATTTCTGTCACATTATAGAAAATATCACTATCACTTGAGTTCAAGTGGAAAAAGAATTTGAGCAGGTGTTGCTTGCTAGGTGGATCATGCTTATTTTCTAAAACAAGCGGGAGAAAAAGAAATATAAGATCTTGTCGAAACACAGAACTACTGATCTCGTTGGACAATCAACTCATATTTCGTCAATCCCATGACTGTCCAATCCCTGTTATATATGTACATAAATAAAGGCTTACCTTGCCGTCAGATAAAACAGTCTCTGTAAACTGATAATAACACTGTTTATTAATAACACTGGGTAGATCAATATAGTCCTCTAACTTTATAGTGATCTGAGCTTCTGTTTTAACACTGCTTTTATACTCTTCTAACGCATCTTTAATAACTTTTACAGCAACACTTCTAGCAAACTGAATAACACTACTTGAATTGTCACTTTCGCTAGCGCTTGCGTCACTGTGTAGTATCGATGTACTATTTGAATTACTAGAATCTACTGAAGCAGGGTTCGACTCCCCACTAACAGAGTCGCTCTGTTCTGCTACACTTGCAGCAGAGTCCTGTTTAGATTTTTCTTTGTAATCCTCAAAAGCAAATGCGGCAGCCATTTTTTCCAGATTTTCCATTGGAATCCAGGACTGTCCATCTTGTTTTCTTGGTAAACCAAAGTAATAATAGGCTTTACGTAAGGTATCGTGTAAATATTCTGTTATCATTGCATTATTCACTGTTCTGGCTACATTTAGTTTTGGTGCAAATGGATCTAAAATGTAAAATTATTGTTGCTATCAATAACCTGGCCGTTTATGGAATAGGAAAAAGTTTTTTTTCACAAAAAATTTCAGGTTAAGAAATAATTGCAATAATGATATATCATGATACGTATTGTATCTTGGTATGGTTGAAAATACTCAGCACTAGTTGGAACATGATTTTTAATTGGCAGTTCTGATTTGTACCATTGGTCAAAGCAGAGGTCATCAGGTCACGGCAAAGGTTATTCATATGAGGAAATTGGAAGGGTGTTAGACCCTAAATCAAGTAGTTGCTTAAAAATGAAAATAAAAAATAAAACAATGCTTGGTCTAATTTTTATCATACTGATTTTAAATTTGTTACTTAATTAAATTGTTGGACCTGACAAGAGCAACTCATGCCATTGACACAGGCTTTCACTGTACAGGTGCAAAAACTCAATCACATTAAGCATAAGACACCTACCTTCAATGGCAAGTTTTTTGCTATTCCATTTCTTTTCTGTTCTTGGGATATTTTCTAATTTGATTGACACAACATCATTAACAATATCAAACTTTAAAATATAAAATCTTAAAATACCCAACCATAGTTCACTTAAACTTTCTGTATTATCACTTTTCCATTCTTCTGCCTAAAAATATGATAGACAATATGATAATTTTTCTTTGCAAAACTAACTGTATTATTTTTCAGATTGCAAATCTGATTAGCTCAGGTAAAAAAATTCCAGTTTCTGAGACTAAAGTATGGTTGGTAAAAAAATGGCGTACCTGTCCCTTTAAGTTTACCTACTTCCCTACTACTATTGAAACAAAGGTTGACTTCAAATCAATGAACACATCATCATAATGTTTGTTACAATTGAATAACAAAATAAATATGAATTGTTGAATTTATCCAGAGTGACAGGATATTGCAAAATAAAGGACTTTATAAAACAATCATGGACGGCATGAATTCAATGACCATAAGAGGTTTCAAATATTGACTTACTTCTTTAGCGATTGAAGCAAACCATTCTTCCTTTTTCTTATCACATTCTGCAAACTTAGGAAAATCCTACAAAAAAACATAAAGCAAAATTTTTATTTTGAGGTTTCATCTTTTTTTCTGTTAATTCAAGGGTAACCAATGACAACCCCAATGACGTCATCAAACACTTAGTTAACAGACGTCTGATTAAAAATTAGAATGGTGCAAATTGATGCTGCCAGTGTCCCTGATACACATAAAGAATTTAGAAAATCTCTTCAAGATGATTGATGTCAAGAGGTATACTCTAAGCCTACCTTATAAAAGACTGGTAAAACAGGAGGACTAGTATTTTGTAAATAATATACTGTCATTAAACTAAAAGAATAAGCAGGTAATGTTCCTTCTTTCTGTCTATCTAAACCACATATCTGTAAAACAAGAACATCTCAGTTGTACATAGACCCAAGATAATTTGTCTAATTGAAAAGAGCTCATCTCGTTCTATAGACTTAAATTATATATCAAGAGAGCATGTTCTTCTAACTTTCAAATGCAGGACTGACTAAAATCCTGTGCTTTAATGGCAGATTTAACACAGATTGTAAACTATACATTGTTGATCAACAATATGCAAAGATAACTCACCTTTCCCCAAGTCCTAAAAACAATACCAAGCTGAGCAACCCTAGGATCTAGACTACTATAAATAGACAGTAGCCTACTGGTATCTCTAGCAAAACAACTATTTATAGTCAGTTGACAGACTATGTTAGATTCAGGATCAGTAAATATTACTGCCGGTACTTTTGAATAAAAATCACAATGTACATCTTTAAATTTATCTTCTGAAAATAAAAAATAAACATAATTTTGATAAATCCAGTCAGACACATTGAATCTGAAGGTCTTGATATCTTAGTTCCTTATTTTCTAGTAGGCCTCCTCCATATGATATCCATGATCTGTCAAATATGTTATACAAAATGAGTTCTAGGTCACCACAAACTGGGTTGAAAAATCAGACAAGGTCACAACAACAACCTATGCTAGAATTGAAGCCCAGATCAGAAAGTAAGCAAGTGTCTTAAATGAAAACTTTTAAATGCCCTGAAAAAGCTTATGGTAAACTTTTCAAATATAGGTAATGTAACATTTACTTCAGGCACTGTATTCTCAAAATGATCTTAGCGCTTGGATGACCTAGGGTCTTGAATCGTAATAAATCTAGTCCAAATTTATCCTTTTAAAATGAAAAGCTAAGTTTTCTTACCAGATTTTATAAGAAGATCAAAAATTAAAACTAAAATCTTTGGCATACACTTCGCACTAGGTGAATTGACATATATGTTAATATTAGATGATGTTAAACCAAAACCAGAAATAGATGAACCATACATCTTCATTTCTATATCTGAAATATATCAAATTATAATGTAATCAAAGGGAATGCAGTTTTACATCCAATTTTTTTGGACTTGATTGGACTAATGATGACAGCAATAAGAGAACTTTTACCAAGACAGTGAAAAAATATAGAATATTGTGTTGTTACAATGTAACAGTTACATATAAGCTATCATTTTCAAACTTATTTGCCCACACAACTAATTTAAAGGGATTGTAAAGGGGTTTACTAAAATTTTTATGTGTATCACATTTTTTGACGTCACTAGAGAGGGGCTACCTAAGCTACTATTGATATCTATGCAATTCCCCTCTGGTGACGTCATAAAACGAGTTAGTTTTAGTGGAATTGCAGGTACAACAGATGTCGGAATGAAAATTGGAATGGTGCAAATTGAAGCTTTAAGTGTCCCTGATACACATACAAAATTTAGAAACTTCTTTATAAATACAAAATTTAGAAACTTCTTTATAATCTCTTTAATGTAAGGTAAGTCGGGGATCCCAGTAATTAATAAAAAAAATTGAGGAAATGGAAAAGATCAAGGAGACCACAAGCTCTCATATGGAGTACAGGAGTAGATTTTTACCTTTTTAAGATACTTAGGAAGTCGTTTCATCTCTCAAACCAAATCTCTAATGGTTTTATTCAAAAACATAAAAAAATGCCAATCACCAGAAAAAAGAGGAATGCCACTAAATAAAGGAAGTCTGTGATCCCTGGTAAGTTCCAGTTCAGATACTTTTTTCTTTCAAAACATAACATAGAAGTTTTACCTGGAGCAATAGTTTTACAATGTTGCTCAACAAATTCCATAATTTTATTTCTTCTATCTATATCATCTTGTTTTATAGCATGTTGTTTCCATGTATCTAATAATACTTTATCTAAACATTCTATTTGTTTTTTAGTTGGTTTTGGTATGTATCTTAGAATATTCTCTAATTCTGTAACCTGTTAATCATATCATAAACCATACAATAACTCAATACATTAATTGTAAAAAAAAACATGAAAAAAAAAAAAACTCAAAAAACTTTTCAGCACCATGTGGGCTTATAAAGATAGGCAACGCCATGCAGGGTGCAATGAGGGAAATTTTGTCAGGACAGCAGCATTAGCCTCCTCTTTTTCGATTTCCAACTGTTGAGGGATCTTTAACGTGTACATGCAATTGTAGAGCGATATCAAAACCAGAAACATGTTGTTTGGTATAAACCTTATCATATTCTATAATTTTGTAATAAATTAAAAAAATAAATTTATTATTAAAATAAAATCAGATTTATTTGATTATGCCCACCTCTTTTCTACGTTGGTGACGTTTTTCATTTACATGTCTCCTACAATCTTCAGATAAATCTAAATGATATGAACAAATTCTACAGTAGTAATTTGCCCTCGGAAACTTCGTAGATTTCTGAAAAAAAAAAACAAAGTACAAATTATCAGACACCAGATTTCTTAAATGTGTTTTTACTATTAATTTCTTCTGGACATGTCCCTATCTGTATATCTAGAAATTTCCTCATATATACTTGTGCTGTGCAAAAAGGATTCAACCACAACATTTTTCACAACTTCGACAAGATTATTTGACTATTCATCACAAATTCTGAGCACATAAATTATCAAATGACGAGGGTAACATGATGAAAGTCTACCTTTTTTAATGGAAATATCCAATTCTTCTCTAGACTCCTTTTGAACAAATCTTCCCCTTCATTAACTGGAAAAAAAATCCCGATCTATATCAGCAATTTCATTTTTTAATTTAGCTGGTGATTTAATATGCCATTAAGTGTTGTTCCTACTAATTTTTTCAGGTGACCAGTCATTCATATGAGAAGACTTGCCGTCAAAATAAACTACCGTATTCATTCTATTTGAAGTCCCTGCCCTAATAAACACCTTCCCTTTTTTTTCATAGTTACCCATGCCTCCATAAAATTAATCAAAGAAATAAAAGCAGATCTAGAACCTTACATTATTTTCTTGAAAGGTACCGGATACTTTGTAGCCGAATACAGAAATCAATTACAAAATCCAGATCATATGCCCATCACTACCTTGGTGCATGTGTTCTATAGTCTATTTCAGATTGAAGAATTTTGCAACAAAATTGATGCCACCCCTACTGACAAAATGCAGCTTCAATTAGAATGAATACGGTATTAGTAGAGCTTTGTATCAGGAAAATTGTCAAATTTGCCTAATGACCATCTCCAGGAGCATGCAGATTATATAATATGAGATTCTATTTTCTTATCAATATCAGTAGCACTATTTTTTTCTATTAATCAATACGACTTACTTATCTGAGTGACTCCTTTAAGAATTGCATTTTCTTTTTTGCCATCTTTTTTCTTCTCTTTAGCACTATGATGTCTGGTCTTATCACTGGTTCCACTATTATTTTGATCAGATAAAACCAATTCTGGTGAAGATTTACTTCTTCTCCTAGAGGATTTTGAATCAACACTTGTTTCAGAATTTGCGACCTTCTGCTTTTCATCTTTTATTTTTTTATTTTGTTTTGAGTCTTTTATATCAGGTGATTTCTGCTTATTCTTATTAATTTCAACTTCTTCCTTGGGATTCTTCTCATTCTTAGCAGCTTTGTCATCTTTTGGCTTATTTTTAGGAGCATCACCATCCTCTGGCCTGTGCTTGTTTTTAGATCCATTATTAACTTTTGGCTTGTGTTTAGAACCTTTACTTCCATTGAATTGATCTTTTTTATCTTCAGACTCTTTTGGCATAGTAGACCGAACAGATTGGTCATTAATTTGCTTTAATTGTTCAGTTGTTCTGAATCCTTTCTCATCAATTGAAATAGAAAGATTCTGCAAAACTTCTGTATTTCCAATACCTGAATCTATTTCATCTTCTACTGCACTGCTGGAACTGCTAGGTTTCTTCCTTTTGTTACGAGGAGGTCGGTTTCGCTTTTTCTTAGTTGGCTGAGGTTCCTCAGGAGCACATTGGGCATCATTATTAGATGGTAGTTTCAGCATGCGTTTGAGATCTTCAGTTATTGTATCTACATTTGCTTCTGCCATTTTTAATAAGGTACTTTGTCCTGCCTGAAATGGAATAATAATTTCAAAAGACATTTTACTACTGTACACAAAACACACACCTAAGAGAGAACAACTCACGCAACTACAGACAATTCAACACTTTTTTAGTGTGAGTAGATTAGATCTGATCTGCTATCTTTTATTACTTTCTAGTAATAGTTGTAAAACATAATTTGCACCATGTGAACCAGTCTACCTTCACTGAGTAAGATGTCAGATTAATACATTCTAAGAAAAATTCAGTAACCTTGGAAATCTACTTTCGGTTCCGTTTTCAAAATTCAAATAGGCTCACTGTTCTTGCTTGTTGTGATGATAATTTGTTGTGCAATTATTGATACAGATTTGCTTAACTTTTCCTGTATTAAAACCATAGAAAGTTTAAAACCAATAACCAAGGTCAAAACTATTGCAACTTCATTTTGAAATGATAAGCATTTGCAATGTTTGCCATCGCTGTCATCTTCATTAAGGCTAAAATAACAATAGCTAACAAAACATCCTGCGGAGCCACGACCCTGCAGAATTTTAATCTAGCAAGAGTTGTTTCCTCTTGGTTGGGAATAATTATGATCTCGCATTTGAGAGATTCGTAAATTCAAATATCCTTGAAACTATTTTTTAAAAAATAGTCTAAATATTTATATTTCTTGCAATATTCTTCTAATATATTGTCCAATATAAAAAATAGTGTTATAACTTTATTTCCTATTGTCTATCGGCAATTTGAGAAGTGATCAAACATGGCTGCTCTTAGCAAGAATTATTGCCTCTCAGTCATGAAATCACAGAAATTTATCATTGTTGAGCAATTCGGTTGAACATTGAGAACAATTTGCGTTTGTTTTAGATTTAACACAAAATGTTTGCAAGCTGCGGATATTTTCGTGGTCTCACTTGTCCTTATTTTCAAAGTGGATTATGTGAGAGACCGTACTGTCATTTTCGGCATGTAAAAGAAAAGGGAAAGGGTGAGGAACCGGGAAATCATAACCACTTTGTTACTTACAGACCTATAAGCAAAATTTTGAAAGTCTAACTTATTACAAAGAAAAAAAATAAAGCCTTCAGTGCTTTCATTCCATTTCATTGTCTTATGAATAGGCCTATTTGTGAACCCACAAACTTGAAACTGAAGATGTAAATAGAAATTAGGATCAGACATAACTAAGATTATGTCTTACACTAAGTCAGAATATCCTTCATTTTGCATAGCATTATTTTATTTTATTACAAGAAAGGTCTTCCCAATAATCTTTGATCCTTCAAAAAACCCAGCCTCAAAATTCAAAGTCTTGTGTTTTGTAAACAGCAGAAAATAAGAGCCCTGAAGATATACCATACCAATATGTTATGATTGATAGTTCGCAAATGACATCTCGTATATTTATTCACATGGCATAATTACATTTTATAAGATATAAAATTAATATTTTTTTGAATTCTCTAAGAAATATAGATTAGGATTCTAAGAAATATTTAACAGGAAAACAATAGATAAGCTTAATATTAGGAAATTCGAATTTTTTTTTTTTCAGAAACAGCCACCTCAACCTCAGATAAACCTGTAATATGCGTAGAAAATATTGGAAATTTAATATCACCTAATTTGCCAAATGACAGTTACTTTCAAAAAGCTGGAAAGAAAAATGATGAAAAAGAAGGAATTGATAGTCCTCAAAGCTTGGAAGAGGAAGACGAAAATGGCGGAGAACTTGTCATTGATGCCGAATCCATGGAACAAAAAGACAAAGTTGCTTTTCCAGCACCAAACCCAAGTTTTCAACCAGTGTACAAACCTACCCCAAAATTGGAGATCACTCCCCGTAATCCTAATGATCCTTTACCAGAATACTGCCCAACCCCTATTCCAGAATTGAAAAAAATGCACAAAACTTTGCCAATAAGTTTAGAGTATGATCCTGTGTCTAACTTTTCCTTGAAGGAGAAAGAGGAACTTTCTCAACCCACCTATGTTCCTATCAAACGTTCTTTAAGTAACGACTCAGGAGAGTTTCCATCAATGAAGCAAATGCGGTTGGATGGGCATGCTGAAAATGGAGAAAAAAGTGAATATATTGTGCAAGATGAAATTTGTGACTCTGATGGAGATGAGGCAGGTGTTGCTCAATTCAGTGATGATGAAAACAATATGACAGATATAAATGAATGCCAGGAAGAAAATAGTTTTGAGGAATTTTTCGACACCAAATCTTACGCTCGCGATACAGTGAGAGACAAAGATGCTGAGTCTACAATTCCTAACAAACTCCTAAAAAAGTTTGACTATGTTTCTGGTATTCTGGGTTCAGAATCCTCCACCAAAGGTGATCAAATTAAAACTGAATCTAAAAGATCACAAAAAAGACTTTCTGATAAGGAAAACATGCACACGGAAACAAGCAGAAACTTAAAGGAAGAGTCAAGTTCACGGTCATCAAGTTCGAAATCCACCAGTGTAAGTAGTAAGGACAAAGTTAAAAGTTCAGATGTGAATCATAAACACTCTAGTTCTAAAAGTTCAGTGAAATCATCATCATCATCATCATCCAAAATAAGCAGTGCATCTTCTAAGTCATCTTCTTCTAAATCATCGTCTTCTCATACAAGTTCTAAGTCAAGTAGTCACAAATCTGGCTCCTTGAAAAGCGACAATCATAAAAGTGATGGAAAAGAACCACATAAAACTAAAAGTAGCTCAGGTAAATCCGAAAATTGTGATAAGTCTCATTCAAATACACAATCCAAAGACAGGCATAGTTCTGGAACTTCTAGTTCTAAAAAGGGTGGTGATAAAAGTCCTAGATCTAGTTCAAGCTCTAGCCTTTCAAAAACAAATGGAAAATCTAATTCAAGGAGTGATAAGCACCACCTATCAAGTGATAAATCGAAAAGTTCTCATGACAGACATCACAGTGATCTTTTCAACAGTTCACATGATTCATTGAAAAAGCATCACAGCTCAGGAAATAAAGTGAAAAGTGACAAACATCACAGTTCTAGTGATAAATCCAAAAATTCAAGTGATAAGCATCACAGTTCTAGTGATAGGTCCAAAAGTGCAAATGACAAACATCACAATTCTAGTGACAAACACCATAGTTCAAACACCGAAAGCAGTTCTAAATCTAGTCATAGTTCATCAAGTTCTAAAACAAAACATAATTCAGGGTCTCAGAGTGATTCATCTAAATCGAAAAATGACAGTCTTAGCAATAGCAGAAGTCCTAATGGCAATCCAAATAAACGATACAGTATAGAAGATATCCACAATGATTTGTTTGGTGACACTGATGAAAGTGATAATGACAGAGAAAGTATTGTTGAGGAGCCAACTGAAATGCCTGACTCTGAAATCTTTCAGTATTTAGATGAAAGTGATTTCTCTGATGCTGATACTTATGAAGAATGTCTCAAGATCTTTAATGAAACAGCTGGTTCCAAATCTAAATCACCTGCTAAGAAAGATGTCAAAAAGGTAAGCTGTTTGATAAATATAAACGGATTAAACAGCCTCTAATTTTCACCAGTCCACTTTTTCTCCAATGTCTATTGTTTGCTAAATTCAAGAGAACTTGACCATCTTACTTCTGATGTCACTATGGCATTTAGGGAGGGGCAATATGGCAATAGTAATGATTTAAAACTTTTGGGGATTTTAAAAGGAACTAAATAATACAGATCAAATCTGTCTTTAATCAGATATGCTTATATAGCTCCTTGATAAAGCAATTATATTTCCTTCAGAAACCAGAAACTTCCACTGATGATAGTGTTGGAAAGAAAAGATTGGCTTATGAAGCAGCTTCTAAGGTAAGGTGTACATTTTAGGAAGGTATGTTATTAGGAGGTGGTCTTTTTTTATATCAGGATTAACAAGCTGGGTTAATCAAACAGCTGGTACTTTGATTAGTTAATCTGAATCAGTAGGAGCTTTCATTAACATTAAGCTTACTTACTCAGATGAACGCTGTTTGTTAAAGTTTTCAAGCTGAATGACATGGTTTCTTATAGGTAGTAAAAAAGCCAGTAGTAAAAGCCAAAACTATTTTGAGCCCAGCTCAGGTGATGCACAACAGAATTATTGCTATGCAGAAACAAGCATTAGAGGCCGCTGCTGCAAGGAAAGCTGCTTCAGAGACACCTACTGCCACTGCACCAGTAAGTTGTTATTTAGCTTGAAACTCAATAAACATGAACTGTGATTTAGGATTTAAAGGTCTTATAATTGATATGGACTTTTCAGATGTCCTTGGCTATTATTTGCAAAATTGTGGTGGTTTTAATGCTCAATGATTCTTTTTTTGTTTCCCTCTCTGTTGATGGATCTTAAACATGCCAAGCCAGCAGCACACAGAGCCTCAGATTTATTGTGGTATCTGAATGACTAGAAACTGTTTCCATGTCAGCCCCTCTATTTGTATCACTGACAAAGGGAGACCAGGTCTCTCCATAGAGACTGAGATATTTCAGGTATTAATATGATATTCTCGATTACTATATTATATTTTGTTATTACAGTCTGCTAGCAGTGCCATTACAAATCTATTTGGTGGAAGTAAACAACGTGTAGCACATACAGCTATTAATAATAAGACACAGGCTGTTACAGCTTCTAAATCAGAAAAACGTCAACAACATATTCCCACCATTGTAAGTAACAGATCATAAATGTTATTTGTCAAGCCTTTAAGCAAGGTAGAATGAATTAAAATAAAAACTACCAAGGGTTCTGTAGTGGAGTCTGTTAGAGTATTGAAAACTTTACGTGACATCATTTGCTAGGTTATCTCAACTAAATAGTGGTTTTGGGTTCTAATCTCAATCAGTGTGTGAAAGTCTGTGACCTTGAATAAGCCATCTTTCCTCATTTTTCCAGTCAGCTCAGGTACGCATAATCCAGGAAAGATTAATGCAAAGGACCAGCTAGTAGAAAGAATCCTTGTGAACCTAAGTTGTTATCCTGTAAAAAAAATTGTTGCTTCTTTCTATTTTCACCATTGAGTCTTTTTTTACAGAAAAATTTAAAGAGACCAACAGTACCAGCTGAATATGGATCTAAAGTACCAACTGCTATTAGACAGCGATACCTTAATCTGATAATAGATGAATGTTTGAAATTTATTAAAGATGAAGAAACAGCTTTTAAGAGGGTATATAATTTTTATGTCTCCTTTTTTTATATGCCCACATCTCTCTATGTGGACTTATATTGTCGGCAAATCAGTCGGTCCGTCCGTCCGTCCGTTCGTTCGTCCATTTGCTTGTAAATGCTCTAAAAACTAGATTTTTGATGGAATCAAATGAAATTCATAAAACGAAGATCAAGTTCGAATTTGAGCTATTTTCGACTGTTAGAAGCAGAGTTATTTCCCTTGCCCCAAAATCTTGAATATTTACCATCCGCATGCCGTGGGGGGCGTATATGGCTGTGGTCCACTATCTTTGATTTTGTGATGAATTGGAGACGGAGGAACTGACTTCAAAACTTGAGTCGAATAAGACAATAAACTGTGGCCAATGTGTTACAGACTAGGGCTGAACGATATTGGTTCAAGTAGATATCGCGATATTGTGCATTATTATATCACAATACCAGTATAAAGAGATGATTATTATGTGCCTCTCAATGTAAAAAATTTTCATTATTCAAATCATCTATCTCACTTGAAATGGAATGTGCCTTCTTCTTTTGAGCACCAAGTAAGTCTTTCTAAGGATTGCAAGCAGGAAAATGGTCAAATTGGCACATAAACTGCCAAACCAACATGGTTATCAAATGATTGAGGTTTTATATTTGACCTATTTCAGGGTCAAGAAGAAGAACATGTAGCCTATGGTAGAAGTTCTAATAAAAATATCTATCTTCGAATGGCTGTCAATACTATTAAACGTTTACGATCAGAGGCTGATGTTAAAAATAACTCTCCAAAGAAGGTGGTAGCTAATGCTCAATCCCATGAAGCTACTCTTGGAGGTTCACGAGCTGCTAAAACCAGCTTTACTTTAAAAAGATCAGGTGCTCATCAAACCTTCTTTGGAGATTTTTCAGGTATGTTTTAACAAAGTTTGTTGATCAATACTCCCAGAAGTATCTATTACTCAGTATTGTTGAATATAGTTTGAGATATCAGCATCCGCTGGAAGCAAACTTTAACTAGTCATCTACCTACCTACCTATCATTGAATAAACCAGCAGACGTTTTCATTTCACATTCAAAGAGATATATATATAACTGCCATATGATTTGCTTGACCAATTGGTGGAAACCTTGTTTTCTACTGAGGATGATGATAAAGAAGTAAACGTGTTGATTGATTAAAGAAGTTTGATTTACTATTTAATTGAAGACAAATCTGATGTCAGATCTTTACTATGAAAATACTTGGGGTACTCTTGAATTCAGTTGTTTTAGAAGTAGGACGAGTCTCTTGCCATGCTATGATAATCTCTATTTTGTAGGTGCTGAATTATACAAGAGATTATCTAAATATGTAACATCAGAAGAAGATCTACAGACCAATAATTTTCCTAGACCAGACTCGAACTCTTCATCTAGTGCTAAATTTTATGTTGATAATAAAAAAATAAAAGATCCAACATTGAAAGGTAAGTATTTTTTAGTTTTTGGAGGTGGCTGCCATGAAGTTTTTGTTGAGAACTAGGGCTGGGTAAAATAATTGAAATGATCGATTATTGTCGATAGGAATTTTTAATTTTGGTAATTGATCATCGAAGTACATCATCGATTAAATGTCAACGTTATATTTTCTCCACTGTACCTGTTAACATGTAGTAATCTCTGCCACATGGGTTACCTTCAGCACATAACTTACCCACAATAAACTACATGTATAACATGTATAATAAGCCATCAAATCAATAATAATACTACTATGACACAAAAATGACCCATGGAATTAAAAATTTGATATGAATTTTATTTAGTATTTAGAAGAATTCTCACTTTGATTGATCAGTATTTTACCGTCAATAATCGATTGCATTTTGGTAATCGATACCCAGCCTTATTGAGAACATTCATGATGAATCTATGATTACTCTTTGAAATGGTAAATAGACAGGATTCAGATACAGAATGAGTACATGTTTTGATACAACAAGGTTGTTTGACTGTTAATGTAAAAGCCTGTGAGGATATAATTATTGAGAATGTTTCACTTTTTCATTGTTTAAACAGGCAGAATGATTATTTTGTAGATTATGAAAAGATCTGTAATAGATGTGGTAAAAGGTTTGTGGTCTATCCTGATTGTGAATATGGTAGTTTTGAAGAATGTTCTTTTCACTGGGGTAAAGCTTGGAAAAGAAAAGGTATATTTCTTGAATTTGATAAAGGTCTTGCTCACAAATGAAAGTAACATGCTGTAGCTTCAATTTGTAGACAATTTCTGGGAGCAAAACTGGGAGTGGAAATAAAAAAATCAGCAAGTTCTTGCCATCTTCTTAGCAATGATCTTTCCTGGATAATCCATACCCATAAATTTAATTGACTTGAAAATAACAGAAGAAAATCTCCATATTCCAAGGTTGATTAAGTTTTACAGAAAATTTCGTTAGATGAAGGGGTGTTTACTGTTGATTCTGTTTTTTTTTTTGCCAGTTGCTGGTCAATGGGAAACCAGGTACACATGCTGTAGTGGTGATTTAAGTGCTACAGGTTGTGCTGTTAGTAAAGCTCATACATATGAATCTAATAAATATGAAAATATTACCGGGTATATGAAGACTATGCCTACATCACCACCATTAGATGGAAATTATGGTGTTTATGCAATGGACTGTGAAATGGTAAGGAGATCCATACCTTGCGTTCTTGGCAAACTAATGCTAGGAATTATTTGGTCACTTAGATACACCCTTGTTGCAACGCACATTTTTACTTTCCAGGCCCTTATTAACATCCTTAAATTGGTTGTAAAAGTTTTTTCCTGCTCTTCTAGCTTTTATGATTATCAGGGCCATTTATTTGCCATTTTTGCCATCAGATGTCTGTTGTTCTTGTAATTATAGAAATATGTAGTCATTATGAAAAAATGGTGCTTATAATATCTTCGGACATTGCATAAGTGACATTGCAAGAACCATACCCTGTCATGATGACCCTGGAAATGATTTATTTCCTGTGGTTTTTGTTTCTTAAATGGACATACCACATGACAGAATTTTATTCTGAGCTGTCATCATGAAAGCTTATATTGAGTTCTGTCAACTTGTTTAACAAATATTTAGAGGACAACAATTTTGTTCTGTCATTTTCAGAATAATTCATAAATTCAAATAATGTTTAGTTCATGTATCTGTATTTGAACAATTGTTATGTATGAACTAGGTATATACTACTGGTGGTATGGAGTTAGCTAGAGTAACAGTTGTTGGTTCAGATAAACAACCAGTGTATGAAACACTAGTTAAACCAGACTATCCCCTAATAGATCCTAATACAAGGTTTGTACTTAGACTTCAACCCTATCCATCATTCATGAGATTCAAATCAACAAGATTAGTCATTTATGACAACAAAAATATGTTTTTTTTTGTTTAAATTCGTGTAATGGTTGTTTGGACGTAATGGATTTATGGTGAGTTATTGTGCCAAGCCCAAGAAATAAGATTATATGAAGCAGTCTCGTCATTAAGGTGGGGTCCATGGGGGCTAGTGAGAATTAAACCAGTAAACCCTTCAGTTCAGCAGAGATTTTGCTATGTCCTTGTACAGAATCAAAAAAGATGAACTTGTTTATTTTTGGCTTCTGAAAATCGCCAGAAATGAGTTCTCTGCACTTCTTATTTTTCACATTTTTAAGGGGAAAGGGACCAAAACTCACAGCACGAAAAATTTGTGTCACCTTGCGTGGATGTACCTTGTCAGCATCAGCTAAGCACAGAATCTGAGCCCCAGCACCGATTCACTCCTAGCGACGGGGCTGCTCCAAGGTGTCAATATTGGTCCCAGAATGCAATGATCCAGAGCTCAATTTACAATGAAATTTGTTACTCTGTTGGTGTATATCTTACCATAATTCTGATTGATGTTATAGATATAGTGGTATAGAAGAGAAAGATCTAGATAATGTTAAAACTACACTGAGAAATGTACAAGCAGTATTACTGAGTTTATTTAATGATAAAACTATTCTAATGGGTCATAGTTTAGAGAGTGATTTAATGGCAGTCAAGGTAATATAATAATTCAGGCATGTTGAAGAGTTTTGAGAATGATCTTTCTTAGATGACTTCATGGTTTGGCTTTGTGAACATACCAAAACTCTTCAAAATCAATCTTATTCAGATAAGACCTAGCTTTTTATTAGCTTTTATTTTTAATATGGCCACTTCAGTTAGAGGTCTAACTATGGACGTCTTGAGCATTTGTCTGTTTAATGACACCACCAGCCAATCAAATTTCATCCCTCTTCAATGCTGGGATCTTTTGACATGGACAAAAGGTGTGTTGATAAACTGGTCTAGCCTGTCGTTAGAACCTAACTGAAGTGGCTAAAAAAAAACCATTTGCTAATAAAAAATAAACGAAACTTAAATTTGGTCTACATGTACTTCAATTAGACTGCTTCGAAATGGATTGGAGAAACTCCATTTTATGTCTGGCTCTAAGCGTGATGATGTCACATCCATCCGCATTTCATACCTGAGGAAGGGCCAGATTTGTCAGGCTAGGATGTTTTGATGATGTGAGCTCCTATGATACAATAAATGATTGATGTTGAATTTCAGATTATTCACAATACAGTAGTAGATACGTCTCTAGTATTTCCTCATAGATTAGGTTTGCCTTATAAAAGAGCATTAAGAAATTTAATGTCGGAACATCTCCAGAAAATTATACAAAACGATGGTAGGTGTAATCTTTCATATATAGATATAAGATATATTGTCACTAACACAAAAGACCAAAAGTGTACTCTGCAAAATCAGACATTTTTTAACGACCTGTAGAAAACTGACCTTTACTCTCTAATAAGAAGGCTATTAAATATTTTTATGTTTGATGAAATACAAGTCAAATATTGGTGCTGTTTTACCAGCATTCGACATTTTATTGAGAGATTGGATGCAAATATCATCTGCAAAATGGTATGAATTATCTTCACTAAGTCTAGTCTACTTCCGTAATCGGTTTATGCAGATTATTTGTGATTTTAATTGTCATTATTTTTTCAGAGGGTGGCCATGACAGTAATGAAGATGCCTTAGCTTGTTTAGAGTTGATGCAATGGAGATTGAAAGAGGATGCCAAGAGAGAACACAGAAGATCTTGATCTGAATTTGGCTTAAAGGAATTGCTTTAATTCTGTATATAGAGCTCAGGTTTAGCTGATTTCCCGATCTTAATGTAGGAATCATGGAATTGTCTTTTATAATTGCTAGATTTATAATATCTGAAGAAAACAGGCATTATTTTAAAATCTTCTGTATTTTTGAAAAATTTGTTTTCTTCAAAAGCTAGTATCCATCTAGACCCTTATACAGAATTGGAGTAACTAGTTTTGCTGTGATAATATGATAACCATTAAATTATTTCTATCTGAAGTTTATTAAGGATTTAAAAAAATAAAGTCATATAAATAAATATATTAGTTGCTTATATTTGCATAATATGCCTATCAGTGGGGATACAGGGGTACCTTAACCTAACCCTGCATCCCTTGAATTTGGTTTGCACACACTTTATTTTTTCACAAATTTAATAGTATGATTTTTATACGTTTTTGTCTCAAAATATGTTTCAGGATGCACCAGATTAATTCAATATTTCAACAGTTTTCTTGGGAGATTCTCTCCGATGCCCCATGAGACATAGCCCCCTCCCCATTGAGTCAGTCTACTCTGTCCCCTTTTTGTACCCTCAATTATGAACAATGCTATGCACAGCTGAAATTGGTTTCTATTGACTGGTTACATTACTTAATTTGTTATTCATAATTACATATCTGATGATTATTTATAAGTTTTTCTTTATTCTCATGGAACCAAGATTAAAATATTTAACAGAGCTAAAGAATTCATGGTAATATAGATCTATTTTTAGGATCTTACTGACCAATATAATTAAGTTATTGACCCAAAATGTTGGAACTTATTACCATAACCCATGTTGTTAATAAGTGTGTTATTTATTAAGATCTGTTTTGTATATTTTGTCATGTATTTAAAGTAAACAGATTTACAACTGTAATGATCTCTATTATATTGGTTGGCTGAAGAAGCCTGATACATTATGATAATTGCATTGCCTTATTGGTAATCTATTTCCCTTTAATATAGGATTTCGGGGAAGGGAGGGTTTGATTCTCCAAACAGGAATTCTTTAGCTAAGCTTGAGAGTAAAAGTGTTCAGTCTCTTTAGAAGTTAAGCCTTCTTTGTCATAATTCACCATGTTTTCAAGTTATGCTGTATTTGTTACCCCTGGACTACTAGAAAGTAGTAATTACCACTATATTCTAATACACACCATATAATTCAGATTGGATGCCCAAACATTGATATGTCACCACTCTTCATATGACGCCACAATTGATATAATTACAATTTTCTCAGAGGTAAGAAATATAGCATTACATTGACGACCAGCAAACCCTTTAAGAGTCTGGCTTTAAACCAGTTAAACTCTTTTCTGATCCTGATTGGACCGGGGACAAGGGGATTTAAATCTGGACAAATTGTTACCATATAAGAAACTCTAGTATAGGACCCCATACCCACCACTAGTTTCAAATTATAACAACAATTGTTTCTACATTATTTTATTTGTCAGTTGTACACATCTTAGAAATTTCTGAAGAAGAAAAAAATTCTCATTGTATATTGCTTTATCACAGGAATAAACGGTTTTTATTAGCTAAGAAATTCTCCACTACAAAATAAGGTTATCCACATAACTTATAAGAATGCATATAGTGATGAAATAAGTAAATTGTCACAAATACATAATAATTACTATCATAAATTTCATTAATTTCGTTGCTTCTATCACTTATTGACATTTATCAGAAAGAATTTAAATTTAGTGAAATTTTCTACAGTGTCATACTTACGGTGAGATAATTTTATCTTTTTTACATAATCTGTTGATACAATCATCAGCTTCACCCTACAATAAATAGCAGTTCTATTAAGATGTGGCAGAAAATTATTTCATAATTCAAGAAATGTAAAGCTATGATGAAATTTTTAATTACACTGCAAGCAACAGACAAACATTGACTGTTAATTTATATTTCATGATCTAATTGGACAACTTTGTTCATAAAAAGAACATTTAAAATCCTTGTCATTGTAAAGTAGATTTTGAAGTTGAAAATACCTACCATAAACCTAATTTTACCACAAATGGCATATAATTTCTGTGTACCAGTCATTCTACCAGTGGTCTCATCAACCTACAAATAACAACAATAAAATTCTATCTCTGAACAAGTAAAAAGATTTTGTTGATTAATTTTACTTGTGCACCTCTCATACTGCAGATGTGTTTCAGATAAACAAACCTAGACAGTTAGTTTAGGAAACAGAAGGTAATGATTACTGACAAATTCACACATCAGATGACAATTTTGATGCCACACAGTACATGTATTACAAATATATATTGAATCTGCTTTGTATTATATCTTACCTCAGCAATAGCCAATTGAATAGAAGAATAATCATTAGCATGGATAATCTGATTACTAGCAGAGCTAAAAAAATAAATAATAATCATTATATTCGCCATAGAAAATTGTTTCATTCAATTTTAAAAAGACATAATTCTGAATAACTAGAATTTGAAATTATTTTCCTAACTGACTCGTACATGGTCCACCATACAGATTTGACATCAAGCTCTTGAGATAACAGACCAATATTCAGGAGAAATCTCAACAGGTAGATAAAGGGCTCAAAATGTATGTATGTTCTCTAGCATATGTGGCCACCAAAAATCAAGCATAGAATGAAAGTATCTTTTGACTGTCAAGAGATTAGTTGATACAGATTCAATAATTAATATCCAAAACAATTATTACCATTTTCGTGGGATGTACATATCAACAAATTCTCCTGCCTCGTTCTGCATCTTGATTTATCAAAGTGATGTTTTCACAATACCTACAATGACATATAATAATTAAATACCATTTTATTCATAATGATCTTCTGTTTAATCAAAATAAGATCTATTTTTGTTCCTTGTAAAGATTAGCTTTCATTTTCAATCTACCACTTCAGTAAGGGTCTGACAACTTTCTTTCTAATTTATTACACTGCCAATGCCAGCCAATCATAATTAATCCCACTCTTTCTACTTTTACCAGTATTGATATAATCAGAGAGAAGATCTATACAGGTGAAAACAAATTTGGGTCATATGATATGAATACAGAGTATCTCTCAGCAGTACTTTGGATATCTTAATTCATTCTTGACTGGCAAATATGAAATTCTGTAAACATTGTCGTCGGGCAGGTCAATAAGTAGTAAAAAGGGCGACTTTTTGTTCATTTCTGGTGCACTTTCATGTCATTTTTTTCGCCATTGAGATAAGAGGCTAATAGTTAACTACAAAGGACGCATTATTTTACAAGCAAAATGGAATATATGATCAATTTTACACAGAGATATCAAAATAGCCTTACAACTTGAAATGTTGATCTAAAGAGGAAGCACATGGGTCGAGTACCAGAATGCATTGCAAATTGGAGACTCGATCAATCTGACACTAAATCTTGTGTGCGATGTGGATGCCGCGATAGAAGCGAGGAATGTATACTTTTGTCTTGTTTAGAAATTGTTTGCGATGATATCGTAAAAAAAATTTCAACAGTAAGGAAATCGCATGCCTTAAGAGATAATAAAAATCATATTGCAAAGAATCCGAGCCCGTAGATATAAATCATGGCTGGCAAGGTAAGTTATAGATTTTAGGACAATTCGACTAAATATTTTACCTATTCGACCAGTGGAACAAATCAAGAGGACATTTCGCCCATTTTCTGTTATTTTTTGGATCATTTTTTATTTATAAGAGGTTCTGAGGATTATGTTCTGTACAAAATATTATCAACCCAAAACCAAAGACAGTAAAAGATTCCTCTGGAGCTAGTATAAATATAATTGCAGTTCAGGAACTTATCGAAGTGTAGGATTAATTAGAAATGTCAAAGATTTAGATGGTTTGATTATCAATGTTACTTTTTTACAGAAAGAAACACCTTTAGATCAACAGCTACATTTGGCTGCCTTACAGGGAAATTTAGAACATCTGAAAAGGGTTCTGGCAACCAAGAAAGTTCATGTTGATTGTAAAGACAAGGTGAGATTTCCTTACATTCTTCATTAAAGGATTAAGGCCATTCATTTATCAAGGACATTTTGGCCATGGAATAAGTTTCAAAAATATTATAAAGTTTGATGATACAGTGTCCATGTAGATTTCTTTTAAAGGGACAGATGCACCATTTTGGGAGGTTTGTTTTATGAATACAGACCAATATATTATGAATGAATGTAAAAAGTCTTCAGAAATACCGTACTAGAAAAATCACATAACTCCTTTAAAAATACTTCAAACTAGGAATTTTACTAAATATTTCTATAGATGTCTTTTTTATATATAACATCGAGTCATCATTTTAACATTCAATCACGGATAATTCTTGACACACATGGATTTGAAGGCTCAAATTTTGACAGTGAACTATTACTGATTGGCTAAGCTACAAAATTCTCGTTTCTGAGAATAAAGTATGATTGGTGAAAAAAAATGGTACATCTGTTCCTTAAAGAAAAAAATAATCAACTAAAACCTCTAGGTTAGAGCTTAATTACTTCAGTTCATGATAAATTTATAATCAAGTTGAAGATCTGTGTGTCTATATGGTGTTATATAACAGTAATCATGGTTAACATGTGGAATTTATTTTGATAATTCTTTCTTTTATGTTTAACAACCATCACATATTTTATTAATAATCTTCTTAAAAGTTTATTAACCATTGTAGAATGATCAGATGGATTAGAATTAGACATTGTGCTTGACAACTGAATTGAAGTAGGGCTAAGCCATATTGGTTCAAGTGACTATTAGAATATCTATCATTAATATATTTGTGTATGGATATTAAGTATATACTAGTATATAGTCCAGTCATTTGATCAATCATACATTAATCTCAGTAACAGGAATTTTAGCTAAACTAATCAGTAATAGTCTTCACAGCTCACTGTCCAAATTTGAGCCTTCTTGACAACCCGTCTTTTCACAATACTCTGCCATATTTGAAGTATATCTGAAGGGATTATGTGATTTTCGTGCAGTTCTAGTAGTTCTAAAGACTATTTACATATTTTCAAGACCCAAATCCACTTTCAAATTGGTCATCTGAATATTTGCTTTAATAATTGATAGAGCACCATATGGATATTTATAACCAATATAATGACCTCATTTGTCATAAAGGAACATTAGAATTTTGCAAGCCATTAGCTTCATGGATGTTCATATAAAACAAAACAGATCACAAAAATGAATGTGAGCTGTGAACACTACAACATACTAGCTTAGCTGAAAAATTGCTGTTTCTGAGACTAAAGTATACTTGGTCAAAACAGATGGTGAATCTGTCACTTTAAGGGGTTATCTAGAACTTGTCATTTCCTTTATATCAGATATTTGTTATACAATTGACAATCAATAACTTACACAAGGTAATGAAATATAGAAAACACAGCTGTTGACAACTTACCTATCAAATCTTTAACATGAAAATTACAGACACACACATATTCATCAGCTAGCTGTGCAATTTACATTTCTTTTGCAAACCTAACTGGCACAAATTCTCTAATCCACACTCCTGAATGAATTGACAACAAATATCTAACATTATGATAAATTATTCTCAGGGCTAAGTAAATTAGAGATTTCACAGTATACTGAAATTAGACTCTATTGTTAGTGTTAAAATACATATTGTATTGTGATTCCACCAAAACTAAGCGTTTTATGACATCATTATTTAAAAACCTGCTATTGATATTTATGGACCTATGTGATGGTGATGTTATTAAGCGCCCATTTTTAGTGGAATTGCGAGATCAATAGACATCTGATTGAAAATTGGAATGTTACAAATCAATGCTTTAAGTGTCCCCGATACACACAATTTTTAGAAAACCTCTTTACAATTCCCTTCATTTTTGTCTTGTACTCTTCAGAAAACTTTTTTTCAACATAATTTTCTGAAAATGCAAACTTTTATTTATAAATTGAAAGTACAAAATTACAAGATTTTGATAAATAGTGACCAATGCAAATAATGCAATAACTTTTTTGAATATTGCTTGAATGAAAATTTGTCAGTACCAGTTTTGCCTAGTCTTATTCATCATGTTCATAGCTGTTTTGTGTGATCTGAAATGCAAATTATTTTATAGGAGGGAACTTCACCTTTTTTCTGAATTTACTATTAGTTATGTTGAAATTTTGTTGTTTTTTTAGGAGGGAACTTCACCTTTTTTATGAATTTACTATTAGTTATCTTATGTTGAAATTTTGTTGTTTTTTTAGGAGGGAACTACACCTTTAATCCTTGCTGCTGCCAACAATCATATAGAATGTGTTCGTGAATTATTACGTCAAGGAGCAGACGCTACTTCCAGACGTTTGGTAATTATAATTCTTAGATCAGATTCTTAGAATCTAAAGATCAAATTTGCAAGGATTAACGTTATTTTTCATATATTGATGAACAATACGGGAGAGATTATAACATTACTATCCTCATATATTTCTATCATCAATCTATTGTCAAGATTTATGTCATTTTGCCTGTCATTTCACCAAGTGATGAGACTTGTTCTTGTCCACATACACAAGATTCTATGTTTGTACATACATGTTAAGTGTACTGTGTTTAATCCGACAGCCAATGGGCCTGTAAAAATATGTCAGAGTGGAGTAGTACACAAAGTTCTTGATTTTGATATCTGTCGTGACAGTTATTTTTGATAGTAATCCTGATCAGATATCTTTTCATATCTTAAGTCCCTTTTCGTTCTCATCAACAAAGGCAATTTTTAATCAATCACTTACAGTGTATTGTCTTTATCAAGATGTTGAATTATCAATAATACATACATTTAGATTTTTGGTGATAAAACAGACTGATTGTCGGATTTTACTGCTTTTTTCTGCTTCTCAATACTTTCCTTACTTTTGCTTCGTTTGAATGACAATGAGATACAAAATGTTAATCTCCATTTCATTTCATGTACCATACTTCAATTAATTTTGCTAAAATTTTAATATCCACTTAATCATAAAAAATGGGAACTGAGCTTGACTCACATCTAAATATTTATCGTGTTTATTTCAGACTGGTACCTGTGCCTTATTTTTTGCATCTCAGGGAGGATTTTTAGAAATTGTACAAATCTTATTGGATTATGGAGCAGATGTTGACCTCAGTAGTTTTGTAAGGAAATATATATATTTTTTTTTTACTTCAAAAGTTTTTTTTAATTTACTACAAATATCATCTGTGCATTATGAAGTGAGATAATTTCCTCACAAATTTGATTGGTTGATTATTGAAATGACCTGGAACATGTGATGAAATAGAAGTCCTTAAGATTGTGGATGGAAAGTGGAGTCATTCAAGAAACAAACATTAAACAAAACATGCATTTTGAAAACATTGGACAAAATTAATGCTGTGGTATTCATATACATTTAATCTTAGTTTCATTTGTCCTAAATTTTGTTATATGTAGGATGGTGGTACACCTTTATTTGTTGCCTGCCAGTGTAATCACATGGAAGTTGTAGAAGAATTACTGAGATTGGGAGCAGACATACATTCTCAAATGGTAGATGGAGCTACTTCTTTATTTATAACTGCCCAAAATGGCCATGTTGAACTACTCAAATATTTATTATCGAAAGATGCAGATCCCAATATTAGAAGAAAGGTAATTGTAATCATATTATTTATATTCATGATCTGACACTAAAGTAGCCATCCTAGATGAATTAAATGTCAGTAATATTCAAATTAAAAAAATTCGGTTTCTCAGAAATGCTTTAAAGCAAAGATTCCAAAGTATGA